ATATATATTGTCAACATTATATTTCCTCTATGGCGGAATATAGGGGAATCGATTTTGTACTTTTGGAACTTCTATCACGTGCTATGACGTCATAAGTTCGCAATTTCGCCAATGTTTCCAACTCATCTAGCATAAGTTTTAACACTCTTTCTAATGGGCAAATAAAAAGGGGGTCAGGATTTTACTCGAAAATCCTTATTGAAAATCGTTAGTGAAAATCGTAAGTTTGAAATTCTCAAACTTACGTATTCTTTAGAATTAAAGAGCCCGCGCTCATTGGCGGGCCAATCAGCAGCCCTTATTTTCGACACTTTTCGAGACACACGCGAAAGCAGGGCTGGATATTTTGAAATCAGCAAAAATCTCAAATCGATTTTTGTGTGAAATCTCATTTTCATTTCAAAATTTTGCACCATTTCAACAAATTTCAAATTTCAATTTTATTGCAACTTCCTCGTCATTATTTTTCTTTTTTGAAATTGCTGAAATTTCAGAATCTCAGATCTCAAAATTTTGCAAACCGCGCAATGGCCGCAGACAAACGTCGCGGTCTTAGAGCAAGACTTGTGATTGGTTCAGATGGACCTGAAATGCTTGAGATCTCAGAATTTCAAATTTCATTTCATTGCAACGCGCGTATCCAACTCACGCAATTTTCTGAGATAATTGAGATCTCAGCATTTCAAATATCATTTTTTTGCAAAATCGAAAATTGAGATCTCAAACAGAAAATTTTCTGAGATTGCATTTTTGAAATGGATGAGATGATGATTCATGTTTTTCGGTGTTTGAGATTTTTGTTGATTTCAAAATATCCAGCCCTGCGCGAAAGAGACGCGAAAGTCACTAAAGTCTCGACAAAATAAATTCGCGCACTAATTTTAGTGCACTAAAAATTTTCGACAGATTTTAGGACGCGAATTTACCAGCCCTGGTCATCACAATAATAATTTCCATACCTCTGCGATTTTCATGAAAAACTTTCTACAGTGAAATGTAAGAATGTTTGTAAAGATATGGCCCCCTCAGATTCAGGGAGAAGATGTTGTATCTACTTCTTTCGTTTTTCCAGCTACGTTCAAATCGTGAATCAACGAAAATTTTCTCAAAAATCCAATTTTTTGTCGAGTGGTAAAATGATCCTTCTATTGCTCGGAACAACTTGCTCCTGTTCTTTCCTTTTTCAATCGTCGGTGGAATGATCATGTTCTGCATCAGAAGAAAAGCGGAAGTTGCCAAGGTTCAAAATCGCGATTCCTTACTAGCCACCTATTTTCTTTCTGCAACCTTATTTTTTCTCAAGAAATTAAAAACAACAAATTTGAAAAATTACTGAGCGCCAAAAGAGTATCCATTTTATTACCGGGGACTATTCAGGGCAATTATGGTTGCTGTTGTCCTTTTCAATCATTTGAAAGAAGACAGTTCGGATAAGGGAAGTTTTTATAATGTTTAGTCAGAAGAATAATATGACCTGGTGTGAGTGTTTCAATTCGGCGGGGGACTCACGGGCGCTACTTATGAATGTCTTGTTGGGCAGTCTGGTAGCCACTCTCAAATTTTGTGTAACGGAAACGTCCAATCTCCTGTAAATCCCAAAGCATCATAAATGAACGAGACACAGGACTATGTGGGGATTGTCAGAAGGTTTGAACAGGACGAGAGTTTTGCGAGGATGTTGAACGAGAGATTGAATTCGCCGAGAGGAAATTCGGTTCAAAGAAGTTATGTTTCTAACAGGGTTTGGTTTTAACAGAAGAAATCATACCTCTTTATAGAAATTGATATTTATACATTTTTTGAGCAACGTCAACTTGATAGCTCAGCAAAAAACAGGTAAGAATGGCATTGTTTCATGTATAAGACAAGGCACACTCTTATTAACCTTCCTTTTAATCTTAAAAACGACTGAATAACCGATGTTATATCATATTTATGTTAAAACCGTAGGAGCTCTCAAATCGTGAGTTATCAAAATCGTAATCCGAATCTTCGCGGAACTCTGAGCCGTCAAAGTTTCAGCCGAGCTCACCGAAATCTGTTTGATCTCGCTGGTCAAGGTACTTTTTCAACCCTTTTCATCAAAAATTCCGTTGACTAAGTTCTCGCCTCTCCTCAGCGAAATCAAGGAAGAACCACTTCTCAGCCTGTTTGGAGAAATCCCTCGACACAGAATAACCAGAACACGTACAGAAACGTATCCCGATCGTACTCAAGAAGAGTGAACGAATCAATTGCCGAGCCACCTGAAGACGCTGACGATTCCGTATTCGACCAATCTACAGTTCTTGAGCCGCTGCCGATAATTGAGACAAACAACAATCGCATCGAAATTCCGCAAAAATTCTTGCCCCTGAAGAAATGCCAAAAGATTCAATACAGCCGCCAAAAATAATTCAAACTTGCAAAGATTTATTGGCCAAAGAAGGATCGAAATTTTTAAGAATGGGGAGAAACTGCTTCAGAATGCGGTGGAGCAGATGGAAGCAGATTTTCAAGAAATAAAAGGAAATGGCGCTTTGAAGTTTACCATGCTCTGATGGAGGCAATTACAATTCACTTTTTTGAATATTCATTTTTTCCTACAGTGGGTTGCGCAGGACGTTGCCCCCGAAAGAGCGGGTGAAGGGGCAACTAATCCTGCAATCACTTTGAGTAAGTCTAGAAAGGATTAATATAAAAAGCGCGGGCAAAGGGGCAACCAAATCTTATGGGTCATGAATAAATTGAAAGATTGTTTTATTTTATAATAAATTATTACAAGCCTTTATCTTAAGCCATTCTCAGGCCTAAAAATGAAAAACAATGAAATGCAAGAAGACATGGATTTGCTATCTGAACGATTTTCCTGTGGCATCTGCTGCAATAGGTACCGATACTCATCCCATTCCTTCCTAAGCCTTCAGTTATGCTGAAGTCAGTCCAGTAACACTTTCTCGCTGCAATCACGTCTTTTGTCAATTCTGCATTGAAAAAGTCACCGAATGTCCTGCATGCCGAAAACAAATTGACTCCGGCTCTACTAAGGTACTAAAAACCGGGTAGGCTTCATTTGCCCAAGAGCTTCATCTCCCCAGAGCTTCATCTCCCAAGAGCTTCATCTCCCCAGCCTGGGCAAATGAAGCTCCTGGGGAGATGAAGCTCTTGGGCAAATGAAGCTCTATTTCGACTTTTTAATATTTCAGAAAAAAATTTGAAATAATATTTTGAGAACTATTCATCCTTTTCATGTTTAACGCGAATTCGTTGCAATAATAGAATTAAATGAAGTAATATCTTTTCTCGAAAATCATAAATCATCCGAAAATATTTTACCAAAACAGTTATATTGGACAAGTCTGCTAGACACCGGATAGTTACTGATATATGCTCCGCACATAACCGTATAATTTATATTTTTCTTCATTTATCGTTATTTTAGAAAACGAGAAAAATAACAGATAGAGCCAATCTCATAATCATTAAGCTTGATTATTGGTGGATGATTATTTAGGAACGACGTTTCTTAAAGAAGAAAACGTTATTATGATGGCTAAGAATGAGTTTTGTCTTTTCTGAAACACATTTTTAGACTTCCAAGTTTATTGAAAAAATTAGTTTTGTTCCGAAGCCCGGCTCAACCATTGACCACTAAGTACAATTCGCCCACGCAATTAAGGGTATAGTCATCGATTTTGGTCGGGTCTCCAATTTTTAATCTGAGCACATTTTTAGAATCCCCATAAAATTCTGAGCAAAAACTCCTTATGATTATTTTGGCTATCTTAACCCATTTGGCCGCAAATTGCGTTTGAAAGTGGCGAAATTTAGTGCATTTTGACCATTAGCCGAATATTTTGAAATTTTGACCATTTTTAGGGGCTTCGTAAGGGTGCCATATGATACATTTTTAGAAAGCTTATATTCAGGGCATTTATTTAGGACCACGTAGGGTAAATTTGGGCTATGCCCGCAGGGCATTTTATCAAAGCGAAAGGTCAAAATTTGGTAGCTTGGTTCTTTTAAAAATTTTTCAAAGAAAAGTTTATGATTACAGTATAAGGCTGTGTCATTTTTAAGATAAGGGTCTATATTTTAAGAAAAAAACATAAAATCAATAGATTTATATAGAAACTGTGGACTTAAAGCGCCGTGAAAAGAGGCTATTTTTGCGTTATTTGGCCGAGAGCTCAACTTTGAGCGATCCGCAAACCATGATTTCCTTGGAAATAACGTAAAAAGCTGTGACAAAAGTTAGATCTAGGATAGATCTTTTATATGACCTATTTTAGAGCCTCCCACATATTCCAAGTCCCGAGTTATAACCCCCTGAAATCGGCCAAATCGACGACTATACCCTTAAAAGCTTCATTTCCCCAGAGCTTCATCTCCTCAAGAGCTTCATTTGCCCAGGCTGGGGAGATGAAGCTCTTGGGGAGATGAAGCTCTGGGGAGATGAAGCTCTTGGGGAAATGAAGCCTACCCAAAAAAACCCTCTTTCCTCTCTTTCTCATCTCTTTTCAGCCGCTTTACTTTGTCTAAAGAAAATTTGCTGAATACAGTATTCTGTATACATCAAAAATTCTGATACCATAATCATGTTATCAGTAAAGCTCTCCTGTCTGACCAAAAACTCTTATCTTTTTCTGTAAATACAAGTCGAGTGCGGCAAGCTGACAAGAGCCGCGGATCAAGTCTTTCCTCGTGCAATTTTGCTTCTCAAAACACGTCATTGTGACACTATGCTCTTTAATTTTTTTCTTCCTGGAGATTCTCGAGAGGGGGAACTTGCAGATTTTTCAACAGATGACTTGAAAAATAATTTCACAGATTTTCTCCCGGAAAAGTTGTACACGATCGGAGTCTCAGAAAAGAACTGATGACATCTGTTTTACCTTCGATATTCCTGCATTCAAAATAGAGTAATTATAAAAATGATTTCTCTAAGTTCGTTTTTTCAATTTCTAGAATAAAATGTAAGAATGTTTGTGAAAAAATGGCCTTCACAGATTCAGGGAAAAATGTTGTTTCTACTTCTTCCGTTTTTCCAAGTATCCTTTTCGAAAGCTATCACGGACACGAGAGTTTTTGACCATGAGTTCCCAAGCTACGTTCAAATCGTGAATCAACGAAGAAAGGGCTTCTGCGGTGGGACCATTCTTGATTCAAGACATGTTCTCTCAGGTCAGTTTTTTTCTCAAAATTTTGAGTTTCTTGCAAAAATTAACTTCAGCTGCTCATTGTAACGTAACTGCTGGTCAAATCGTCCACTATGGAACAGCATCAGTCGGCCCAGAAAGTGGTGATGGCTTCGTAACATTCGTCAGAAAAGTCAGCACGATCGGCCAGCGACTTCAAGAGTCGAAAATCTGGAGCAACGACATGGCGATTATCAGAGTTTCTCCTCCCTTTCGATTTGACAACGCAAATGTTCGACCGGTGAAATTGGGAAGCAAGAAAGAGTTCGACAAATATGTCGAAAAAGGGAAGATCAAATGCTTGTTGGTCGGGAAAGGACGAGTTTCAACAGGAGACAATATCAAGTACCCAAAGAATCTTCAGAAGGGGTACCAGATTTTTGACAATACGAGAACTTGTGAGGTAAGTTCTGATCAATTTATTGATTTTTATCACATTTTGCTTTAAGGGTTATTTCAAGAGAGAAACAGATCTACCGAACATTCCAACATCCGACGGCTGCTTTTTAACAGTTGGCTCTGATGGTTCAACTGGTTGCAAGGGCGACTCTGGTGGCCCATTGTTCTGCTTTTTGCCAGAAAAGAAGATTTGGAAACAATTTGGGATCCGGGGCTTAGAAACCTTTCATAATTGTCATCAAATTTTGCAAATTGAAAGAACCCTTTAAAAAGAATCGCGAGTTTTGCTGATAAAGACTGCGACAAGCGCACTGCTTGGTGGGCTCCTTTTGTCGCTGGCAAATTCATCTCAAAGGCAAGTCCCTTTGATCGAGAATCTTGTAAAGTCTTCACGTAAAATTAAGCATTCAAAGCAACACGATCACCTTCTGTCGGAAATCAACGACAATGAAGAAGACGACGACGAAACTGAGGAAGATGAAGAAGAGCAAAAGGTATATGAAGATTTTTTAAAAATCAAATTCGTTTAGTCGAGTGGCAAAATGATTCTTCTATTACTCCTGTTCTTTCCTTTTTCAATCGTCGGTGGAATGATCATGTTCTGCATCAGAAGAAAAACGGAGGTTACCAAGGTTCAAAATCGCGACTTGCCAGATCTTCCTGAGACTCCTTACTAGCCACTTCTTGCTTTCATCTGTTGCGCTTTTCTTGAAAATTTTAGGAACAAAATAAATTTGAAAACTTTCAGCGCGAGAAGAGTAACCATTTTATTACCGGTGACTATTCAGGGCAATTATGGTTGTTGTTGAAAAGGAGCATCATTTGAAAGAACACCGTTCGGCCAAGGGAAGATTTTATACTCGTTAATCCCAAAGCATCATAAATGAACGAGACACAGGACTATGCGGGGATAGTTGAGAGGTTTGAAAGGGACGAGACTTTGGCGAGGATGGTGAACGAGAGATTGAATTCGCCGAGAGGAAATTCGGTTCAAAGAAGTTATGTTTCGAACAGGTTTCGGTTTTCAAAGCAGAAATCATAAGTTTTCGTAAAATTATTAACATTGATATTTTTTATGCTGCTCTCGTATTGATTACTTTCGTCTATTTATAACAATAGGGCATTGGCCAAAATCGACATTAAAAAATAGGCTTTTTTCTGTTGAAAATTTTTAAGAAACCGAAGGAGTTCTCAAATCGTGAGGGATCAAAATCGCAATCCAAATCTTCGTCGAACTTTGAGCCGTCAAAGTTTCAGCCGCGCTCGAAGAAATCTACTCGATCTTGCTGGTCAAGGTAGACTTTTCAAATGAATGGAATCCCTGTTAATCCTGAATAAATTTAAAGTTCTTGCCTCTCCACAGCGCAATCAAGGAAGAACCACTTCTCAGCCTGTTTGGAGAAATCCCTCGACAGAGAACAACCAGGACACTTACAGAAATGTATCGCGATCGTACTCAAGAAGAGTGAACGAATCCATTGCCGAGCCACCTGAAGACGCCGATGATTCCGTATTCGAGCAATCTACAGTTCTTGAACAGACAGTTCTTGAGCCGCTGCCGATAATTGAGACGAACAACCATCGCATCGAAATTCCGCAAAAATTCTTGCCCCTGAAAAATACCAAAAAGAAACAATGAACCCGCCAAAAATGATTCAAACATGCAAAGATTTATTGGCCAAAGAAGGATCGAAATTCTCAGAAAATGGAAAGAACCTGCTTCAGAATGTGCTGGAGCAGATGGAAGCAGATTTTCAAGAAATAAAAGGAAATGGCGCTATGAATGTTTATCCTGCTCTTGCTGAGGCTATAGCAATACAAGTACCTATACATATTATCAAATAATCATTAATTCATATTTCAAAAACGTTTATTTATTCTAACTTAATGATTCTTATGGTCTTTAAAGCAATTGAAAGATTGTTTTATTGTTTAAGTTATTAAAACAAGCCTTTATCTTAAGCCATTCTCAGACTTAAAAATGGAAGTAAACGAAATGCAAGAAGACATGGACCTGCTATCTGAACGATTTTCATGCGGAATCTGCTGCAATAGGTACCGATTCTCAGCTATTTTCTTCCTAAGCCTTCAGTTTTGCTGAAGTCAGTCCGGTCACACTCTCCCGCTGCAATCACGTCTTCTGTCAATTCTGCATTGAAAAAGTCACCGAATGTCCTGCATGCCGGAAACCAATTTACTACGGCTCTACCAAGGTATCAAAAAATCCTCTTTTCTCTCTTTCTCATCCATTTTCAGCCGCTCTACTTCGTCTAAAGAAAGTTTGCTGTATACAGTATACATAAAAAATTCTACTACCATAATTATGTTATCAGTAAAGCTCTCCCGTCTGACCAATTTCTCTTATCTTTCTCTGTAAATTGCCAACTACAAGTCGAGTGCGGCAAGCTGACAAAACTTGAGACACGTTTTTTGCGCTCTTGACAAGTTTTTTTTCTTTTAAAATATTTTATTGAGTTTGTGTTTGTAAGTTGTTTTCGCACTAAGAGTTTTTCTATCTTAGTTTGTTTTTATACAGCAGAGTTATTTCTTTGACGATCACAGTATTGGTTGAAGAGGGAAAATGTACACCGTCCCGAGACAATCTTGGGAGCAAAAAAAGAATAATGGCAGTCGAAAGTTTCTTCCGAGCAATTTAGTTCTGAGCATTGAGCCAGAGGAATCGAGGATCCTCTGCCGCCCAGGGCTGAGAGGAGTACTCGGCTCGTGTTCGGTTGACCAAATCGCGGATGAAGTGATTGAGGGCATCCTGAACGTCTGGAGCAGAAGACCAGGTTCGTCGGATGATGACGGTCTTCAGAAGAGCGTGCCATTGGTCAAGGTTTTCGACGTATTTTACCTAAAGGAAGTTTGAATTTGAGTAATAAAAAGCGATATTTTTTGTTTGAAAAAAAGCCAATTTAGAAATATAATGAAAAATTAACTTACTCTCATAAGTGTATCAGGCTTGAGGAAGGAATCGGTCGAATCATCCCATTCAGCAAAAGTCATGTGAACGGCTCGCTTGGCTTCTCCACACAATCTCGAGTCATCAGTGAATCCGCAGAATTTGCTGACAAGGGCGTCTGATAGATCGTGAGCAGAGAATTCTTCAGGGACGCATTCCAAAAAGTTGCTTGGGACGATGTACGGGCTCCAGGGTTCTTGAAGGTCGGGCTCGGTGAAGTTTTCGCCGTCCCAGATCATGAAGCCGGACTGTTCGGGGCAGGAGACTTTTGGTGCTTCGTCGGAAGAGTAGCCGCGGATCATGTCTTTGTCGTCTTTTTTTGTGAAGGACCCAGCGGGCGAGTTCTTTGTCGAAGGAAAGAGCGATGTCTCCAGCGGAGGAAGAATATTCTGTCGGAGAGACTTTACGAATCCGTCCGGAGAAAAGAGCAACATCGCCCCAAACCTTAAGGGTGTCACAACAAACAGGAACATTGGCAATTTCTCTAGCAGCTGGGTTTCTAGCAATATTGAGCTTGTTTCCGTAAAACTCGGCAGCGTCAAATTCAAGGTAGTCATCGTCCCACTCGTTTTCTTGGGCGAGTGCGGAAATGGCGAAAAAGCTGAAAAGTTTCATTTTTCTATTTTTCGCAGTGTTTTACTCTGAGTAAGCAGTGTAAGAAGCCCGGAGAAGTGAGCGCGATTTTATAGCAGCGCGGTTAATTCCGCGGCGCGGGGCGCTAGGGAGCGGCAAAATGAGCTTTCGCGAGCGGGGGAAAGATTGATAAGGATTTGAGGGAACGTGTTGTTTTCATGCTGGGCTGAGTTTTTTCATTTCGAGATAGGATATCAGTCAATGAACGACATTAACATGCAGCATGTTACATGCTGATACGTATTTTGGTCAGAAGACATCATCTTCTTATATATTTCCGAATGAAGTTTTTGATTTTCTAGTTCATGGTCTCGCTAAAGAATGAGCAGCGCTCAAAAGTTGCGTAAATTTCTCTAGATGAAATGTTTTTCTCATCGCTTAGACCAGTAAATACTCAGTCTTCGGATTTATTCCGTCCGAAAGCGAGCAAAACGAGGTATATAGGCTATTTAAAATAGCCTTTTCAAAAAAAGCACCTGTTTATTTTATTGAAATTCAAGTCATTAAAATTTTCAGAAAATAACGATATCGAGAGAAGAAGAAAATCGAGATTCCGAAAAAGAGAGATCAGAAGGTCGACGAACCTTCGAAAAACGAGCAAGAAGATGATGATGGTTATTTACCAAATTAAACCTTCGACTTTTCCTGAATAAAATCAATTTCTTTTTATCACACTTTGTCTTTTTTCGCAACTTTCAGTTAGTTTAAATGGAAAGCGGTCCTCATCAGTATAAGGAACGACGAAATATGGGTTTCAGAAAAGTTGAAAAAGAGAGTTGCGAAAATTTGCGCAGAAATTAAAGCCTCTTCAAAAACTTTCGTATTTCGCGGTTTTTGTCCCTGAAAACCACGTTCGCTCGATCCACCTCTAAATCGAGCTTTTCTGGTTTGATTTAGAACCCTCGTTCCTCGCAATCGGAATTCTGAGGCGATGAAATTCAGAATTTTCGATTTTGCAAAAAAGGAATTTGCGATTCAAATTTCATTCTCGAAATTCTAGATTTTCAAAGCTGCCGCGAAAAAGGTGAAAAACATGTTGGATTACATGAACTTCAAAATTCTAATTTCAAAATTAAAAAAAAGCACGTGACATCTGGCTCGTTAGGTTTTTTTGCGAGAAACAGACGCGGAAAAGCTAGAATCTAAAAGCCTCTTTTTGATTTATAAATTTCGCTGCAGCTCTTGAGAAAAAAAGATGCAAAACCGCAAAGCGAATTTTCTTTAGAATGTGTTTGGTATTGAAACGTGTTCTGTCCCCTGAACCGCTCGCCTTACGGCGGCGGTGGTGTTGATGTTTTGTGCTAAACATCGAAATGGAGCGGTTTGAAATAAAAAAATAAGCTAGGGTGCGCGAGACGATTTTCCGGAAAACAAAATTAGTGGGACTTTATTGAATCAAGGATAGAGGAAGTAAATACGATCAGTAGATTTTCTTTATTTGGTCGTTCCCAAACGGTTTTCTGCATTTTGGACAAATCTTCGGATTCAAAGAATGCAAACAGTTGAAGCAGAAGGAGTGAAAGCAAAGGGCAATGCATGCTTGTTGATGATTTTCGCCATCGAATTGCTCGAAACAGACACCGCAAGAAGGCCCTTCGGTTTCATTGACGGTCTCATCTGAAAATAATGAAATTTTAATTATAAATAATAAAGATGGAATTCCATAAACGACCACATACTTTGTTGTTTTGATGTTAAATCATTTTCGATCTTTTTGATTTTGAGCTCAATATTTTTGATCTCTTCATCAATATTTTCTTGGTCGACGAGTAAGCGTTGAATTTCTTTTTCATTCTTCTTTTTTCTTGTTTGTGCTTTTTGAAGTTCTAGCTTAGCGTATACGAGTGACTTTTCATTCGAAATTTTTTCCTCGTTACGAAGTCTTTTGATTTCGTTTTCGTGATGCTTGATTTGCTGTGTATTCGTTGGTATAATCTGAGAACCGTATGTTGATGGAGAGTTTCGGTAGGTCTGTAAATTTTTGGCTTGTCGCTCAAATTTTTTTGCCAATCCTCGAGCTAAAGTCAATTTTCTCCTAGATGAAAGATTTTTCATTTCATCCTCTTGCGCCTCCTCTGACATGATTACTCTTATAAAACTGTGAAAAGATTTTTTAACTTCCTCTTCTTCTTTATTTTATTTTCCTTAGCTTTATTGATGACATTTATAGACTGTAAACGCAGAATAAATATTTGATCTAATCGAATCTTTTTCGATGCCACCCTAGTTGGGTGTTGAACGCGCTCAATTCTAGCGATGGATTAGTTCTCCCGAATCGCGATCGCCCCTGGGCCCAGCAAGAGTACGTAAAAGATATCATCAATCTCCACCTTCGCGTGAATAAATTCTTTTAATCAAGTCATTAAAACATCAAGTTAAACAAAAATATAATGCGCAGAAAAATCAGTTTTTAGCCGCAGTATTGTACTCGCTGGCAGCCGCAAGTTTTGACGAGCATATTATTGATGCTAGAAATTGTGTCGTCTTTGAAGATGTTGAGCGGGCTGTAGGAAATCGTTGCGCAGCCGTTGAAGTATTCTGATTCCTCGGCATTTTTTAAACTGAAGTCATACACTACCTGGAACAGAAAAATGACCTACCTCCGAGACGAAAACTGACAGTAACCAGAACAGGTGCCAATGTTAATCAGCTCATTGTCCTTCGCCATGAGAGGTCGCCAACCGCCAGAGATCTCCTCCAACTCTAGAGCTGTTATGAAAAGATCTTCTCGTTGGCAAGGCTTGTCGCAGTGGTCGATCTTTTCATCGCCGGAGAAGAGGAGAAGCCCGCGTTTTGAGAAGAAAGAGGACGGATCAGGAGGGGTGTAGGTCGGATCGCGAAGACATTCTCTTTTATTGAGATTCAAGGATGTTTTTAAGGGGATAAGAGGCAGAATAAGGGTGTCAAAATGTTAACTCTTTTTGAAATGAGCAAATTACACCCTTATTTGCATTATTTTTCATTTAAAAATATAAAATCTTTTCTGGGAATCTTCGACTTTTCGGGAAATCTGGCAGCGCATCTTCTCACGTCATCTAAGTGACTTGCAAATTGATCGAGTCCGAGAACGCTTGAAAAAGCGCCAAGAACTAAAAATATTAAAATCATGAACAAGTTAATTTTCGCTCGAGAAGTTGGCTTATATGGTCGGGCAAAATTAATGCGCTCCAGAAGAGGAAGTGTTGATCATTGATTTTTATTGATTGATTACGAGGATTATGCACGAAGAAATTGGTATATTCTTCTGTCTCTTGATAAAGTTCACTTTTAGAAAAAAGTTGGCGAGCAAAGATCTGAAAGAAAAGACCGAATCGATGTCATACCGAAAACCGAATGAAAATTGAACGATAAAGCCTTGTGAAGCTCCAGCTGCTTACACAAAGTGGCACTTGCGCTGCGCAAATCTGCCTCGCCGTAAAAACAGCGCATGAAATTGAGTTAGAAGGATTTCAACCGGTTAGAATACACATTGTTGCGAAAATTGATCAAGAAGATGATGGTACTTTTTACGATGAACTTGCTCAATATTAACTGAATTTCCTGACGATGCCGCTTTCCTAGCGACAACCCTACTGAGTTTGAACTATAATTGTTTGTTTTGATTATGATGTATGGTCTTATTTTGACCAAGTCCTGGGCATCAAATGGTCAGTGCATCGATTCTAAAACGACTATCCTCTAATACCACCTCAGTTATCTTTTTCTGAAGATCTCACGATGAAGCTTTTACCGACCTTTGTTTTCGGCGCTATCGTTGCTCAAGACTACTTCGACGCAGAAGGCGAGAGAAAAAAGAAAAAGACCAAAGTGACGAAAAGCGATGCTTGTGGGTGCACTGAGATGCCTAAAAATGGACCTGATGCGGTTGCTACTTGTGTTATGGTAAGAAATGGTTTAAAATAGTCACTAGATTTTGATAAACGTTAGAATGGCGGAAAACGAAAAACGATTGATTGGACTTGCCCAGCGACCGGAACGACTCAACGATTCAGCAATATTAAATGCAAAGGAATTCGTAAGAGAAAATTGGACGAGCAATGTGGTGATCTGGTCTGCAATTGTCGATTTGAAATGGACGCATTTGTTTCGACTATGAATCCTGATGAAGGGCAAGCTGTCGGTTTGTGTACCAATCCTCACAAAAAGCCGACATACAAGCTTTTTTGCGACGCGAATTCTGACAATATTCATGATGGCGGAGAATCTTTCCAGGAATTCCGAGTGAGGTGCCGAAACGGAGCGCTCTTCAAGAGCAAATTTAACCAAGTTCTTTGCGGCAACTCGATCATCGGAGGCGATGGCTGGGAAGCTGGGCCTGCTTCGATGCCCTCTGGCTTGACTTGCGCAGACCCAACGAGTCCGTTTACTGCGCGGAGAAAGCGCAAGATCAAAGACTTTGCGACCTCGAAAATCGTTGGTGGTCAGACAGTTGATAGAAAATCAACATGGCCTTGGATTGTGAAAACGCCAGGATGCGGCGGAACTATCATTTCAGCGAATCCGAGCGGAACGAGCGATTGGATTCTTACAGGAACGTTTTGAAACGAAACCTTTTTTTCACCGAATTCTCGAGAACTTCGATTTCTTCAAAACTTTAAAGCTGCTCATTGTTGCGAAGGATTGTCTTCAATGAATGTGATTGTCGGATCTGAAGATCGAAGTATTGGTGGAGCTTCTACTGATGAAGAGTTTCGGGTGACATCCCTTAGCATCGTCATGCATCCAGATTACAATGGTGATCTTGGATCTCCTTCATCGCCTGGAGCTGATGTCTGTCTTGTCGAAGTTCCGAATCTATCAGGAATGGTTTATTTCTTGCTTTGAAATAAGGTTAATTTGATCAATAAAATAAATCATGCTAGATGCTCAGCCTGTCGGATGCGTTGACTGTTGGAAACCAGCCTGTCTCCCTGCAGCCCATGTCGACGACAAAAGACTTTGCTACGTCGCTGGCTGGGGGACCACTTCCTCTGGTGGAAATTCGCCTACATTCGTAATGCTTTAGTTCAGATTTTGAAGCTTTCCTATTTATAAATTTAGCTCCGCGACGTTGGCGTTCATGCTTTTTCTCAAGAAGCTTGCGAATCAATCCCGGACATGAGCGGCGGAATCGTTCAAGATAATGAGTTCTGCGTTGGTGTTCCCGATTTCAATGGAGACGGCATCACTGACGGAGGGAAAGACTCATGCCAAGGTGATTCTGGCGGACCTCTGGTTTGCGAAGAGTCTGGCACTGCTGTTCTCTACGGCGTCGTCAGTTGGGGCTTCGGCTGTGCTTCTCCAGATCGACCGGGAGTCTACGCTAAAGTAGCGTCTTTTACTAACTGGATTTTCTCAACAATGAATGCATAAATAAACGAATCCAGTTTCATGAAAACGCATCTAGTTCCTGAAATCTAAGACTTTCGTAATCCGGCTCTCATGGAATTTTAAAAAGAGCCCTTCTAGTGCTCTTGCTGGGCGGAGATGATAGTAAAATCCGCGGTTCGGATTTGAAAATTTGACGCGATTGCGGTCAGCTCGACCAGCGTACTTCTGCGGTTGAGTTTAACGCGATTTCATGATTTCAACGTTCCGAATTAAATTTTGTTTTCATTACGCTCCTTTTTGCTGGATACAGGGAAACGAGACGACTTCTAGAAGGATTAAGCGGTGATGTTCCATCATGGAACTGGCGGATGAAGTGCCCGACCACTTGATTTGGTAGAAAACCTCGTAATTAGCCAATTTGCAGAAATAACGAAGATTTCTAGTAAACAGCTCTAATTCGAGAAGTTTTGATAGAAAAAAGTATAATAAATGCTGACTTTAGATATTTGCTTGATTGAATGTCGGCGAGAAATGATTTTCTCGGAAAGTCAATATTTACTGGGAGGTGTTCGCTCAGTTCAGTTTATGGTTCTTTCCAGAAAAGAAAAGAGCATGGAGATCATTTGTGCCGGTTTTCCGAAGACATCATCGAAAAGCTGCTCTACTTGTCTCCGGTAAAATTTAATGCGATTTTTATTCTATTGTTCAATAAACCAAAACAAATTCTTGATGAGGACCATAACAAAAGAATCAGTTTTACAAAGACGCGCTTTTTTTTAGGTTGGGGTATTTAAATCTCCCACTAACTTCTTTTTAGGCCCGGAACACCATATATATTTAGAATTAGCAGGAAAAATCTAGAAACTTGACCATAACCGATTCTCAAAAATCACTTCCGGTAGCGATTCTAGAGCCGGAAGTTGATGAAAGTTAGGTGTTAGGGTGAAGTGTGACCTATCAAATTGATGCTCAGAAGATTTTGAATTATGCTATAATCAAAATATCAGAAGAAACAGTCTTAAACGTGGTCAAACCCACCGGTAAAATTATGTTAAAAAGACATAAAATGATGAAATTCTTTTCAGTTTTTTCCGATTGGTTTGATTCCCGTTGGTGTTGATTTTTCTTAAACGATAGGAAATCGTCTGAGCATCAATTTGATAGGTCACACTTCACCCTAACACCTAAATTTCATCAACTTCCGGCTCTAGAATCGCTACCGGAAAGTCACATTGACGCGCTTTTTTAAGGTTGGGGTATTTAAATCTCCCACTAACTTCTTTTTAGGCCCGGAAGACCATATATATTTAGAATCAGCAGGAAAAATCTAGAAACTTGACCATAACCGATTCTCAAAAATCACTTCCGGTAGCGATTCTAGAGCCGGAAGTTGATGAAATTTAGGTGTTAGGGTGAAGTGTGACCTATCAAATTGATGCTCAGACGATTTCCTATCGTTTAAGAAAAAAATCAACACCAACGGGAATCAAACCAATCGGAAAAAACTGAAAAGAATTTCATCATTTTATGTCTTTTTTAACATAATTTTACCGGTGGGTTTGACCACGTTTAAGACTGTTTCTTCTGATATTTTGATTATAGGATAATTCAAAATCTTCTGAGCATCAATTTGATAGGTCACACTTCACCCTAACACCTAACTTTCATCAACTTCCGGCTCTAGAATCGCTACCGGAAGTGATTTTTGAGAATCGGTTATGGTCAAGTTTCTAGATTTTTCCTGCTAATTCTAAATATATATGGTGTTCCGGGCCTAAAAAGAAGTTAGTGGGAGATTTAAATACCCCAACCTTAAAAGCGCGTCATTATTTTTCATAAAATAATCGAAGCAAAAGACCTTAAGGTAAACTTCGAAATATAGTGCACAGTGAGAGTCTCTTTTGACACCCAAATGAATGGAAATATTTAGCTATGATTTTTTTTAATTATAATTCATCTTAGAACACTTGGCTTCAAAGTCGCCGATTACATCGAAACTGCCGAGTTCTTGTCCGAAATCTGGGTCGAATACATCAACGGACGATGTTCGATTCATAAAGTCATCGAAGAATACAACAAGCATGGTTTTCAAGGTCTCTTTCATCCACCTCATCAAAACGCCTTCTAAAATTTTCTTTCTAGCAAATCAGGACATTCCTGGAAATCTGTACTGGGAAGAGCTTTTCCACGCCTCTCCCAATGCAAAAGTGATTCTGACCGTCCGAGACAGCACCGAAGTCTGGAACAGAAGCATGGTCAACTTCATGCTGCAGGAAGCAAAAAGACTTGGAAATCCGGGCTTTTGGCTCTTTCATCGATTCTCCAGTTTGGGATGGACGAGTCCGAGAATGCTCAACATGCTTGAAATAATTGAAGTAGGCCTCCTTGAGATCAAAAATTGAAGGTTTTTCAATAATATTAGAAAGTGAAAAACACGATGTTTTTCCGCGCTCCCGATGTGAAATGGTTTCCCGCAGATTGGCGAAAGTTCACCTGGCAGAGTCAGAATGAAATGATGGGGAAGTATTGGGAATCGATGAAGGACAAGTACGAAGCTCAAATTCGACGAGTGAAGGAAGTCGTTCCAGAGGACCGTCTTCTCGTCTGGAATATCAAGGAAGGATGGGAGCCGCTTTGCAAGTTTCTCGATAGACCTGTCCCTAATTCTCCCATTCCAGTAGGTCAATTTTTGATTGTTAAAGCCAATTATCTTATTAGCACGATAATCGAACTGGTGACCACGAGTTCATGGAAAGATATTTCCTCGAAAGCGATGTAGGAAAAGAAATGAAATCGTACATGAAATGGTACTTTGCCAAATTTCTGCTCAAAACCGTGATCATTTCCGGCGCCCTGATCTATGAGAAGAAAAATGACTTCAGAATCACTCGAGCTCTTGTTTCTTCTGTCAGATCAAAATTGAATTTCTAAAAATATAATGAGTCTATTTTATAAGTTTTATGAACTCTAAAAGATCCAATTTTTTGACCCCTCGCCAAGTTTTAACGTAATTCGCCGATTTGTAAGTCAATATTTGCCCGGAGGAGTGCAAAGAATTTGAATTCTTTCGAGGTCGGTTTCTATTGCAAAATAAGAGCATGGAGATTATTTGCGCCGGCTTTTCGAAAACTTCGTCGAAGAGTTGTTCTTCTTGTCTAAGGTTTGCTTTTTTTCTAGTACTTCTTTTTCAATTTTGAAAACCATAAAATAAGTTTTTTAACATCAGACTAGATTTTTCAATTATTTCTAAAATATGATAAATCTTTCAAACCATCTTCATCTCGCTTCTTTTTCGTAGGACTCTTGGGTACAAAGTTGCCGATTATTTCGAAACCTGTCAGTTTCTTTCGGACATCTGGCTCGATTACTTGGAAGGAAGGTGTTCAATTCATAAAGTCATCGATGAATACAAGAAATACGGCTTTCAAGGTATCAATCTTCTCAATTCTTCATTCTTCTTATCTTGTTCAAGCTAATCAAGACTTTCCCGGCAACATGTACTGGGAAGAACTGTACCACGCTTCCCCAAATGCAAAAGTCATCATAACCATTCGAGACAACGCCGAAGTCTGGCACCAGAGCCAGTTCAATTTCATGCGTCAAGAATTTCAGCGCCTCGGAAATCCAGGTTTTTGGCTTTATCAACGCTTCACGAACTTTGGTTGGACAAGCCCCAGGATGAATAATATACGAAAAATTTTCCAGGTATAAATTCTCATCTTAAAAAAGTAAAGAAAAATCAAGATTGTTTCGAACGAAAAATTTTTCCGGACAAATGAGCCGGTAAAATGGTCTCCTGCTGATTGGAAAATGTTCACGTGGCAGCAGCAGCTTGAATACATGAAACCCTATTGGGAGGCTGAAAAGGACAAATATGAAGCCCAAATTCGACGAGTCAAGAAAGTTGTCCCAGAAGATCGACTTCTTGTTTGGAATATCAAAGAAGGATGGGAGCCACTTTGCAAATTTCTTGGAAAACCCGTCCCTGACTTCCCTATCCCAGTAAGTCCACAAATCATCATCTAAAATTCATCGATTCTCAGCACGAAAACAGAACTGGTGATCACGAGTTCGTGCAAAAATATTTCATCGAGAGCGAAGTTGGAAAAGAAGCGTTTTCCTGCATGAAATGGCACTTTCGCATGTTTCTTTTAAAAACTGCAGTCATTTCTGGGGCGCTTATTTTTGAGAAGCGAAATAACTTTCGAATAACAAGATATCTTCTTTCTTCTGTTCGAGGAGTCCTGAATCTCTAAGGAAATAAAATTCATTATCCAGTAAATAAGTAGCGTCTTGAAAAACGTTCTTCTTGACAAAGTAGCTCATAATCATGAGAATCTAACTTGGTCGAACTACGAGCGTAATAAGAATTGATGACATTTTACACGATTCTGACGTGTCGAAGAAGAAGAATTATGTCTTCTCGGCATATTTGGAATTTGAAGTGAAGAGGAAACTATCCAAAATCATGAAGCAAAGGGCCTTTCTATCCAGCTTTTTCCCACATTCTCTGTGGTTTTTTCATTGTGGTATATCCGGGGTAAACCCTTAAATCCACCTTGCTGTCTTTTCTCGGAAGAGAGTTTTGATTGCGCTGGTTCCAAAAATAATGATCAAACTCGAAAAGTTCCTTCCTTTGAACTCTTTTAAATATTTATCTTGTTCATCTATCCGATATTTTGATAGGTAAAAACTCCTCTCCAAATAACCTCAACACTGTCGATCGTCGCCCAATTTCGTTATCAATCGAATTTTCTCGCTGTAATAACTGAATCAAGCTCGTGTTTGATCAAGTACGTTATGCATTCTGGACGAAAAAAGCACTAGCAATTTTGAGATATCTCTACGTGGAATTTTCATTTTGGTTACCGGAGAGCGGATGAAGGAATATTTTCTGAGGTCGGAGATACTAGCAAAAAGGGTGGCATTTTAGGGATAAGAAATAACAGCGCAGATCAATTAACATTTGTATACCAGTTCAAAAACATTAAAAAAGAGGGCAGAACCAATAAAATTAAGTGATTTTATGGATCAGGCTTTTGATTGGCCGGTAGGCCTAATACAGCAATCTTATTGGCTATCCAAAATCCACTTCTATATTTTGATTTAGTCCAAAAAAGAGGGTTCGGGTAATTTTTACAGTGTTTTATTCTCATAAAATAATGTATATTTACAATTTTAATTACATAATTGTTGATACAAAATTCGATAATTACGAATTACAGTAAAAATAAATGAATAATAAATACTCCTTTTGAAAGAAAACTTCTCCATCCACCACTAGACACTGGCGAAAAAATGACTTCATTGAAGAAATTGTCCCTCAAACTCTTCATTTTGTCTTCTACTTTTTCAAGGAACGATCTCTTGAACTGAAAATCGTGAATAAGATTTCGTGAACAGCGAGTTTTGAAAGAACAGCGATTGTTTAAATTCTCACCTGTGCGTCGGAGAACGAGATTGCTTTCTGGGCGACGAAATGCCTTTCTACGTCGCCGCAAGAATTCTTTCGCGAATATCTGAATATCAAAGATTATAATTTATCGAAAAACTTAAAAATTTCGACATCAAGTTTTCATTTTTAGAACAAAAAATAAGAAACTTGAAACACTTCTTCGGAAATCTGTCCACTCAAGAGTAATGTTCACCCTGTGGTCTATGCCATAATCTTACGAAAAAATCAATCGCTCTGGTCAGGACCTTCTATTATTTTCGTCTCAACGTGTAATCTCAAGTGAGCCTCGCGAAAGCTCCCGGTTCACCGCTCCTGGAAACTCCTTTTTTTCGAAAAAAGGCAATAATAATAAGCGCTTCTGGTATTTTAAATTTTAAGCTCTTGAATGTCTTGTTGCTAGTTATTGGGTAAATAGAGGCTCACTTTTTATAAAAAGTAACAAGTTTCTTTTCTTAATAAAATGTAATCAAATGAAAACGTGATCAAGTAATTGCGTTGAATAACTTATCAGAATATTTTGAACACATATAAAAGGCTATGGTCAATTTTTGGAGTTAAGAAGATTTGGAGTAAGCTAAAAGGAGCAACTTTATTTTCCGGAGATACTCCAAATTGGAGCAAAATTTCAACGCCGATTTTAAGGGTGTTGCAGAAATATTTAAGGGTATTTGAATAGCTCAAAAGAAAGCCCGGGCCCCGAGGCGCGTTTTTGCCAGGGTTTGACAGGGCCGGGAGGCCCTTAACACCATTAAAATCGGCTTTGAAATTTTGCTCCGATTTGGAGTATCTCCGGAAAATAAAGTTGCTCCTTTTAGCTTACTCCAAATCTTCTTAACTCCAAAAATTGTGTCGAGCCCATATAAAATTAAACCCTAGACCGGTTCAAATTATGTCTATATTTTTCTCCTCAAAATGGCAAAAGAATTAATTTGGCTAAAATCTTTCTTCATTTTGATGAAAAAATCGTTTTCAGAGAACTTTGATAAACAAAATTATTAACGATAAATTTATCCAATCAGTACGAAACCCCCTTTTTCGTTAAAAAAAACCAGGCAGCGAGATTAGCCAAAACATGATTTTTATTTTTTCTTAAAAAATTGAGTAATTACTAATTAGTCTTGACAATGTCAAGTTGACATCTTATTATATAATTTTGTCTAAAGGAGTTGTATTTTTGGATTGTTAAATTTATTTCATGAGATAATTAAATTATGTAAAACAAGTGCTCTTCATCCTGAAGTGGCAAATTCATGATTGATTATGAAACAAAAAAGCAATAGTTCTAAAAGGTACTTTAGAGAAGACTCGATTTCTCGTTACAGTAAGGACCTTAGTGTGGCTTTGATTGAGCCACTTGACTGGCCTGACAGACCACTTGTGGTATCGGCAAGTCAAAAAAGAGAACTCAGTCTTAGATTTTGACAGCTTCGATTTTCGGCATATGCATTTTTTGCCATCGATTATGCAGAAAATGGCATAAAACAGTGATTGATAATTGAACTTTTTTGAAAATTCAAAAAAAGCTGAACTTTCTTTTTGATCGAAAATATAAGGGTATCACTTTGTTAATTTTCTGAAAAAAATCCGAAAAAAGAGTTTTTCGAGCCGATTAACCCATTTTGAGGACCAAATCTTTCGAAAAATGAAACTTACGGGAAAAAAGACTCGTTTTTGGAAACGTCTCGGCCCAAGATTTCAGATGGCGTCATCGGTTCGACGTTAATTCTGTCCAAGACGTTGAGGTCAGTCCCGATCATCATCATTAACTTGTCGAGGCCGCGCAATCTGCCATCGCTCGAAGAGTCGTTTTTGAAGACGAGAGGGAAGGAGAAGATGATTTCTTCTTGGTTTTTGTCATCCTGCCTTTGGATACAAAAATCTTCGAGTCTAATTTAACCTTTTTGAAACATCATCAAGCTAATTCTATCGATAAGACCTATGTTAACACGCCGAGGCAATCTCAGCTTGTTGAATGCTCAATTTCACGGTGTTATCTAACCGGAACTAATTCCACCAAAAAGCGGTTTTGATAAGAGTCGACACTCGTTGTCAGAAAAAAACCGCACCCGAAAACGTGCTCGGCTATTTTGCCGATCCTACTGTCACTAAAAATAATAAGCTGACTTTTTATCGCCCTATTTTGTCCAGAAAACGATTCTAGAGTGAACTGCTAGAATTTTGATTGTATCCAATTTTTCCTTTGAACTTTTGAAGACGAGACTCATTTCAGCGCCACTCTCGCTTTTCTCGCTCAACATGAAAAAGAATGAAATCAATCTTTTTCTGTTTTTATTAAAACAAACTTCGGAAAAATGAACCTTCCAAAAAGTTATGAAAAATTCTTCTAATGCGGAGTAAATAACATTCTATCCCTGTTTTTTCACGATCCTGTATGTTGTTTTTTCTTCTGTCGTAGTGGCGAATTGAGTTGCCGAAGGAGATGAGGATTTTCTTGAGGATCAGGTCGTCAGAGTCGATGGATATCGAGTAGACATTACCAGAATAGGTGAGAATCATCTAAATCAAGATTCATGTTGTTTCAAGGATGCTATAGCACACAGTGTCTATGAATAAGATATCTTATCGCTGTTGTTCAAACATATGGTACGGTGAAATAGATAAAAGAAAGTGTTCAATTTCTGAACCAGTAATTAAATTAGTTAACCATCTTTATATTTTATTCATTATTCTAGCTCCTCAGGAACCCCCCCTCCTCACTACTTTTCTTTAGCTCAAAATGACCGTCAGAGCCTGGGCTACAATCTGGGATAGTAAACAACCTCTGAAAGGTCGAGTTAAGGCTTCAAAAATTCCCTTTTCCGAAATTGGCCAGATTTTGGGACTTTGGAGGTATCAAAATGCCCTCAGGGTACGAGATCACCCCCAAGTATCAATAGTCAAAATGATCCTCAGCTCCTGGGCTTTCTAAAACGGTATTATATGCCTACCCTACTAAGCCCAAAAAAAAGCTCAATTATTAGTGATTTCCCCTAATTATGGAACATAATTTATGGTCATCTCTTTTAATTGATAAAATTGTTATGTCGATATAAATTGCGTCTTAGAATCTGGGGTCGGCAAGCCACCAAGCGATGTTGGGTGGAGGTGAGTGGGTTGACAAGAGAATATAATTTTCACTGGTCGGGGTGGGTGGTGGATTTTTTTCGTAAGCGTTTTTCCGATCCCAAAATTTATAGAATAGGACTTGATAACACCAATTCTTCGGGCATTTTTAACCAGTAGGAATCCATACATAAATGAGAATTGTTTCTCCGCGAAAATTAGAAATAATATTTCAGAAAAACAAGAGTCCGAGGCTAAAAAGAACTTAACCACAGATTGCAAATCTTTAGGGATTGGGACCCGTAGAATCAATAACTGTGGCCATAAGAAATGTCAAGAAAGATTTTGTGAAAATAAAAAAAAATCACAAAAAATTTTAAAGAAAATGTGAATAAATTTTTCATAAATCTTTCTACGTGTCAGATCGCTTATTTTTCAGAAGCGGAATATTCTATCCCCCTAGAATTCTGCTCATTTTCTACATATTCTGTCGTTTATTATTGAAGGTGGTGCTTTACATACCTGGTCGGCTTTCCTCTCCGCCAGCATTTTCGTAGATGCGACTAAGCTCGCCAAATCGGACATGTTCAACTAAACTCACTTCTAGTCCCAATTCTTCGAAAGCGCAAAGACAAGGTTTACCTCCTTTAGTTTCTTGTAGTCGATTCGGTCATCAGACAGGTCTAAAACAGAGACATTGATTAATTTTGCATGAATGAGGACGAACTTACCAAGGGGACTTTTGTTGACACTGCACTTCTTTTTCGTCGGTTCTAAAACATGTTTTTTCGACTAGAAAACCTCTTTATTGAGTTTTACCTGTATTTGAAAGGCATAAAAGAAGTATCTGAATAATCAACATTCTAAAAATACTCTCTAACCAAAAGAAAAAGTGGCCCTTCAAAACAGAAAAAAGTGAAAATAACGATCTTCTTTAAAAATAGCCGATAAAATCGCCTAATTGATGAGAAGTGCGTTCGCCAGCCTCATTTAAAGACGAGAACAGCTTCCTCTTTTTTCTCTTGCATGATTCTAAGCGACATCTGTGGGCCTCTCAACATTCTGAATTATATATTTTTATTTATGTCAAGCAACATGCTCGGCAAAAAAAAGCTGCATCTGCCAAGTCTTTTTTGGAGCAAATTGGACAGCTTTAGGAAATGTTCGCTTCATGAATTCATATCTTTTCAGACTCAGGTCGAAATCGAGGTCAAAAAAGTCTCTCTCTTTCTTTCTCGATTTTCTGTTTTAAAAATTTTTTTAGTTATTTAGTAGCAAGTTCTTTTTTTGCGCAAAGAGCGCGTCTAATTCCCCCTTCTTTTTTCCTCTAAATTAATTGATGAAATATTTTTTCTTTGGGATAATGCGCACCTCTTGCATATAAAATGAAGAGCCGCTCTGAGAATGTCATATCAATATATGCATGTCGTCGAGTAATAACTAAGAAGAAAACTGAGCACACGTGTTATTTAAACATACTCTGATTATTCTCATAGAATAATTGATCGCTTTCGATATCGAAAGGTACGGTTCGAAACCGCCGGCTACGATGATGACTGTAATGATGACAAAAGTCTTCTGTCAATACTGAACTAAAGTCAACTTTTGAAGAATCTTATCTGGAGGAAAACAGTAACAAATCGAGTTTCTTGAGCAGCTTATCAGTTTTCCACAAATCCCCTCTCTCTGATAATTGCGTGGTACTGATGTAGCCGAGCAAACCACATGACGACTTGAAGCTGTTTGGAGCTGCACCTGGCGGCTCAGAGAGGATGAAATGGAGATGTAATTTGCATTTGCCAAAAATTTTTGCGCTCACAAAATTCAACAGCGTGTTTTTGGACAGAACGTTCCAAAAAGAAAACACATGCAATCCTTGATACCGGGGATTCATGTAAGTACAAAGCCGCTTTATCGTCAAATTGACGTTTGAGGTCAATCTTGGTTTATTCAAAAATCACAGGATTAGTTGTGCATGTATTTGCTCAATGCCTGAGAAAGTAAGTTTCAACAATTGAACAGAGGAAATATTTGCCGAAATGCAAATAATGTCCATTTCGCTAACCTCACGATTTTTTGGAGAAAATCGCCCATTCCTGAAGCGGCATGAAACTTTTTCTCTTCCTTTTTCTTCTACCAGAATTCGTTTATGCAAGCGACCGAGAGTCAGGAAAAGCAAAATGCAAGAGGGAAGCGAAAGAGTTCTTGAATCAGTGTTCTACTGAGTGCATTGGCGACAGCGATTGTTTCGCCGGCTGCAGAAAACGGCTTCAGATAAGATTTATGTGATATAATATAAAATCTAGAAGCCATAAGATAGAAAAGAAATGAAAAATGTCAAGCACACTTGTCTCGTAGAAAGACAAAAAGTATTTGATCACCTCCATGAAACATTGGTTTTTAGTTCTTTCTTCAAATTTTTTTTGCTTTATACTTTTTTAGGAAACAGAAGGTAAACCAGAAATGGACCAGGAGCTGTTCAACCATGAGACCGAATTGATGGTGAGAAATCAAAATGCAGATTTGATTAAAAATTTGAATAGGAAAAAGAACAAGAAATCAAGGCTTTGCAAGATCAAAAAGACCAACTTATTAAACAACGACAAGCTGACGCAGAAGTGGAAGCGATCGTGATTTCCGAGCAGATTGATGAGCTACTCAAGAAGAAGAAAGAGATCGAAGCTCAAGCAGGTATAACATCGGCGACAACAACAGAAGAGTCCATCGGATTAGCCGAGGATCTCGCCAGAGACTTTGCACCAGATTTTGTCTTAACCATCATCGATCATATGCAGAGCAGTTCTGAAGGAATGAGATCGTCATTGTATTCACTTATTGCTCTTACTGTCGCTTTTGTCCTTGATTTCTGATTAAAAATATTTAACTTAATCGAATAAAATTAGTTTTTTTTTATAAGTCTTCTTGTTATTTTAGGAGTGTAAGAAAGTCTAACCCACATTTATTTTCGAAAATCCTCTCGCCACAAAGTATATTCTCCTCGCGCCGTCCCCGAAAATTAGCCCTGCCATGAAATTCTCGAGCCAAACATTCAACCTCTCCTTCCACAGAGAAATCGCTTTTCTCCAAAGCGTTTTTTCATCATGCGGCTTTCGCACGTTTCGCTTTTTTCTTCGCTTTTAGTCTTAGTTTTTTCTTCTCAAAGTTTGCTTCCGAAAGGGCTGAGATGTTCCAGGCCAGAGAGATTGCCAGAAGAAATCGGAAATGCGCCTCAGAGATCGGTGAATTTGAGAATTTTGCATGGATCGGAAACGGATTGGAATTGGCCGTTTATTGTGAGACTGGGGATGAGAGATTCGAATGGGATAATCAGGCTCTGTGGCGGGACGATTTTGAATCAGAGGTGGATTATTACAGGAAAGGGATTTGTCATTATTATGAAGAGAGAAGAGATTGATCAGATTCGAGCTTTTGAAAAATCCTCAAAAAGCTGCGAGCTGTGCATATGGAAAAGAAGTCGTCGGACTGATCGCTTCAGATGAAATCAACGGAAAAATCGAAGAATTCGAAACGCGAAACTTTGCCCGAGGCGTGTACTTTCACAAAGATTTCAAACCAGAGGGCAATTTCATGGACGACGTGGCTATGATCGAACTTGAACGGGATTTTCAGCTGACTGAGAAGCTTCAACCAGCGTGTTTGCCGGAAACGGACGTGGATTACACTGGAATGCAGTGCTTTATTGCTTTGGTTTTTCGATTGCTTTTAGAAAAACAAGAATAAGAAGAAATTCTATTTAATAATTTTTGTCATTAGTTTTGTTTCTTCTCCGAAAAACCATTTTAAAGCTGGCTGGGGAATGTCAACACGAGATACTCTTGATATCCAAACTCATCTTCTTGAAGCCCGAGTGAACATTTTCTCGGACAGTATTTGTGAAAAAATATTTTCGCCTTTCGATTTGTGGGACGGAAAATCATCGATTTGTGCGATGGGAAGTTCTGGAGAAGGATCATGCCATGGCGATGCAGGAGGACCAGTTATTTGCGTGGATTCTAAAAACGACCCAATCCTGGTTGGAATTCAAAAGAAGCGGCAAACTTGCGGTGGCCCCTTCCTCATTACGAAAACGTCCTCTTATGTCGATTTCATCAAAAACCTCATTTCGGCGCGAGCTTTGACGAAATGCGGCCCACCAGAGAGGTCATTCGATATCGCCGATAATGTGAAGATTGAATGTCAGGGCGAGACCTGCCACTTGGGCTGTTACATAACCCATCAGATACCTAATCTGAAAATGATTACCTGCCAGACAAATGAAGAAACAAACGGTATTTCCAAGTTTTTCCCCCAAAAAGCTCCTTTTTTGATCTTAATTTTCAATCTTCTAGAGCCAGAATGGAATCCACTACCTGATGACGTGTCCCAAATCAAATGCCTGACTCCAAGTCGAAGAACTCAATGCGGCCATGTTGAAGAATTCTTCGTTGTCGAAAAAGGCGTCGTTGTCGAATGTTCCAAGTCAACTTGTCAAGTTTCGTGTGCGCAGAAAAACCAGAGTCCTTCGTTAGTTGAACTATTTAGTTTTCAAGACTGACTCATTTTTTTCTAGTTCGGACGCGGTAAAATGCTTGAACAGAGAACGCAAACTCTGGAATTTACCAGCTGGCTTCACCTTAAAATGCGAGTACCGCCCTCTTGCGTTCGACGACGTCCAGGAGGAAATCATGGCGCATTATAATCGAATTAATCTCGACTTTGATAACCTTGACGTCGTAGAAGCCTCAGTCGTCACTCAAGGCAGAGCTCATAAAATTACACCCTCTATTTTATCAACCAGGTGAAGTAGATTCATTATTGAGCCTCGAAAAGCACCTAAAACAACGACGACGTGTACCAAGAACAAGACCCCTGTCAGCACTACTAGATTCAGACCAAAGAAAAGAGCCGGAAGAAAGAAGCAAATCAAAAAATACTTGACAAGTAAATATAACATGACAAATAATCAAAAATCAACGACTACTGAAAAATCAATGACAAAAACATCAACAATCACAACTTCAACACCTACAACCACATTTACATCAACAACAACAACAACGACAACCCCAGATATAACAACGACAACATCAAACCAACTATCTACAACGACTTCAACATCATCATCATCATTCGTGACCATTTCAACAATGCCTAACCAACTTCTCACTGAATCCACAAAGAAAAATTGGAAAAAGGGAAAAAAAGAAAAGCGTTTTACCAAAAAGCAAAAGCGCCAACAAGCTCGAAAAGCAAAGCTTGAACGGGCGCGTCCTTACATCTTCAACAACATCAACTACAGCGGCGGGCTTCGACCTCAGTACCCAACAAGCCGCCCCATCTCAACAAGACCTCCTTGGGCTCGACCAACCACAAGGCCACAATTCTACGGTCAGCCAATGCACATGACGGCGTGCGGAAATGTCCGAGAAAAATTCCAGCTCGATGAAAAAATCAGCGTTCGTTGTTATCGAGGCATTTGCTCGTTCACTTGCGCGCTGCCACTCAAACCATCGATTCAACAAATTTCCTGTGTCAATCCAGCAAAACGCATTTGGTCAGTGAGAGCCTTCTCGAAAGTTTACTGCATCAACCCATTTGAATCGAGTTTGAATAAATATCAGACGACAAGACCGCCAGTGACTCAGGAAAGGATAACCACATTTGAATATGAATGAGTTTTATTGGAAAAAAAAGGATGAGTGGTTAACCCTAAATAATCAAATGATAACAAGAACCAAACCCATCTTTACAGGCTTCACTATCACCAAGAAAACAACAACGACTTCAACAACAACAACCACGACATCAACAACCACATCAACAACAACCACGACAACTACAACCACAACCACAACGACAATAACAACGACAACAAAAACATCAACTACAACAACGACAACAACAACAACCACGACTACAACAACAACATCAACTACAACGACAACAACGACGACAACAACAAGAATAGCAACGACAACGACACAAGAAATACAGCCGCCGTCCAGAGGTCCAAACGCAAGCCTTATCTCCTTCGACAATTCCGGCAAAACAGTCGTTTATAATTTCGCGTCGGTCACGGAAAACCCTTTCAAACTTGCTCCACAAACAGTCGCTCCAACCACTGAAAGCTCTCCAACAACGCTATCTCAAACAAAAACAACGCCAAAGCAACATCGTTTCTCGTTCGTCGGTGGGCCAGGAAAGAGACCCGCAAAGCGACCAGGAAAAAAGGGTCCAAATAGAAAGCGTCCAAACAAAAAACGACCAGGGAAAAAGCGACCAGCAAATGGAAAGATTCATGGAAAGATACCCAACAAAAAGCAGCCGACAAAGAAAGCTCCTTCGACATTCAAAAAACCGATTAAAGGGGTCAGGCCAACTTCTGGAATAAAGAGAATCGATAAGCCATTTACTCAGTATTGCGGAAATCTCAGAAATTCAAAAGAACATGGTTATTGGCTCAAGAAGCACAACTTTCACGTCAACTGCCACTCGCCCAAAGGAAGATTGCAGGTAAGCAAAAGCTGATTTTTTCAGAAATTTATATTCTAGATTTGCTTTATCAAATGCGAACCCGGACCGTACGTCGCTGAGGTCAAATGTTTCAAACACAAAACCGGCCCTGCAAAATGGTCTTCTCTCAAGAAAGAACCTTCCTGCTGACGACCAAAGCTTTATTTGACCTTCTATTATTAATTAAATTTGTTGATACGTTTTAATAAAGAATCCGCTTTTCTACTTCTATTCTCGCTTTTTTCAGAAATTTTCATAAAGCGTAGGTTCCTAAGAATACCTTGTTCAACAAAAAACATAGGCTCAAATTTACCTCAGAGCTGCTGGTTCTTGTTGAGCTGGGAGCGCTGTCCATGGTTATTCGGAATCCATCGATGTTGTCCTTTTCCAACGAAGATTGACTCGAAGAAATATAAACTGCTTTTCCAGTTTCAAAAATTAGCCAAAGACCTAAATTTAGTGAGTTTCTCTCGCCACCATTCTATCTGCTTACAGCAAAGAATTGGGAGAATAATGAAAATAACCAACGCTCCCATATAAATTTGGCATGGCTCGACTCCCTTTTCCATAATGACTTTTGTAAGCGGCTCGAAATACCATTGATGTCTTGAACTTTCGTAAATACAAAACAGCAGCATAATTACCTCGTCATTTCAGCTCGATGTTCTCGATGAAAGATACAAGAGCTGATGCTCATTGCAGACCCCGCTAATACGAGATGAAGGATGTTATAGAAAAACATAATGATCAGGGAAATAATAATGGTGCTGTCCAGGAATTTTTTCTTGCGATTTTCCTAAGAATATTTATTTTATAAAAAAAACTCTCAATTTTGTACCTTCGAAATGCTTGTCGGAGCCACGAAAGAACCATTTGGTTTGGCAGTCGAAACAACAGCATCAAGTCGCAAGTAAACTACCCCGACCTTAATCGGGTCAAATAACCATCAAGCTATTTCGTCTTCAATCCGTGTTTGACCCTTATTAATCCGACAAGCGCGAATAACAAATCCCATCCTCTGCATTTATGAACCCAAAGAGGCGCTGCGAACTGAACTTCTGTGTGGATGACGATTTCTTTTAGCGAAGCAAGGAAGATGTAGAAAATGAACCATCTCATGGAGCCGGCATAGATGAATTGGACGAGGTTTCGATATTTGACCGTGAATGGGTGGAACTCATTTTCGAGGGCAGCAAGTTTAATCGCAACGGCGTCTGAAATATTTTTTTATCATGAAGAATTGAGTTGATTTCAGTTTTCAGAAGGTCGTTTCCGGACCTAGTTGAACCTGATTTTATTCTGAATATTCATCAAAACGCGCTAGCAAGTCAAAAAAAACACCCCTTGTACCTGTCATTTTGATTGGAATAGAATTGGCGTCGGTTTTCACTAGCAAAAACGAAATCGGCATCAAAAAGATGAAGAAATTGACAAGTTTGAGAATCGGTCTCGTGATGCAAAAGCATTTTGGCAATTCTTCTTTACAGCTCTGCACAAGATAGCTTTGAATATCATCTGGTATCGATTGCAGCACAATATCTATTGGATTTTTTAGCTGCGTTCTATTGCAAAACAGAAAGACATCTTGCTGCTCGTCTTCTGGTGAAAGACCAGCGAGATTGAAATTTGGAATAACTGGAATTTCGTCTCCTCCGAATTGTTTGAGCCTGATCCTTGGAGCTGGAATCTGATAAAATGAGAAATCGACTCGTTTAGGTTATCTTACCTTTCTACAAAGTCGTTCATCGCAAACAGTAATAAATTCAGGTGCAGCTGTTGTTGTTATTTCTTTCCGCTTTGACAGTAACTTCCGCTGCTCTTTGTAGTTTTCAAACTTCTGGCATTGAAAATCTCTGATATCTTGAACTTCTTCTTTACAAAACTTGCAAGATTCTCCGAGAATTCCATCTATTGAACTCGAAGCTGAGCATTCAAGAAGCCGGGGGCTTTTCGAAACTATACAAATATTATATTTAAGCATGAAATCAAGGAAGAGAACCTGAAAAAGCTATGAGTCCTGAAAACTCATAAACAGCGTAACAAGTGATGATCACAAAGTAGATCCCAAGCTCGGCACGAATCATCATCGAGCCACCCGATTTCGTGGAGAACTCAAATTGGCGCTTGTTAATTGAGTACCACTGGGCGAGAATGGGAATAAAACATGCGACGATCAAAATAGGTCCGCCTTTATTTAGGCTTTAAAAGTTCAAGATCAGGAAAATTTTATCGAGAAAGGGTTATGTTCTGTTTCTTTTCAATTTAAAAATGATATACCGAGTGGCTTATCCTAAATATAGCCGTTCCGAAAATATACCCTCCGAATTGTGTTGTCGTCTGAAGAAGAAAAAGCTCAATCGCAACGGCCAATATCAAAAGCGGAATAATCCAGATGAGCGGCTTTTTCGGATCCATTTCCTCTCTCTCTACTCGCGTGTACTATTTCCTATTTTCAAACAAAACCTTTCTTGAGGGAAACGCTCAATCAAACGAATACGGTCTTTCAGAATAAAAATCAATTTATAGTAAAGTAGCGAAATAGACGGAGCAACATGATCCTTTGGAGGGCAGACCTAGCTTCTTTTAATATGTTTAATAGCTAAATATATTAATATCTTCTTTCATTCTTTGCTCATGCTAATCTGTTGTGAGCCGAGCTAGGTCGCCACCACAGACTTTATCTATAGAGCGCGAGAAAAAAAGAAGGAAAAAAGGGCTGAGGCTCGGTTTTATATCTTGACGCACGATTTTGATTCAGAGCAGTGATCCCTCAACCAAGAAAAAAACCAAAGATTCAATCTTTCCTGCTATTTTAACAAAACTGAAAATTCGAAGAAAGACTGCAAAAATTGAGAAGAGAGAAAATCACAGAAGAGACTCAGTTGGTAAAATTTAACTTCAAAGTGTAAGAAAACTTTCCTTTAACTTCACTAAAATATTCTTTACTAAATAAGACTTGGTTTTAAGAAAAAAAAAAGAATTATCAGAAGAAAAAACTCAAATAATAAACGAGAATGCTTCCTGACCAAAAACGTGATGAAGAACTTATTTGGATAGATAAACTAGGAACAGAATAAAATTTCATTTTGAGGATAAAAAACTGACTTGTCCAAAGCATACTACCCCCGATACGCCTAGAACAAACCCATTAGCCAACGAGGACCTACTTTTGGCTGTTGGTTAAGCTTTTTTGCGACAGACAGCCTTCTGAGAAATTCGGTTAATTATCGCTATCATAAGCTTTTGCTAATTCAAGTTCATCCCGACCGCGTCAATTCGCGATCTGTAAAAGGCAGCCTTAATTTAGCGCCTAATCCAGCTTTTCCAATTGTCCCATCTGAGATCCAGGCACACTCAATCGTCAATCGTTCGTTGTCTGTTTATATTTCAAATTATCGACTTTGAATAATTTTCAATAATTTTAGTGACTAAAATTTAGTCGAGTCTAGTCAGAAACAGAAAGTTGTGTCAGAAAAAAATGCTGCTTACCTGATAAAATGAACGGAATATGATGATTTGAACCCTCGCATTAAAATAAGATAATGGCCTTTTATTTTGAACATGTTTAACCCGATAACGCTGTATTTCCTTATTATATTTGGATTATATGCTTGAATATATGAATATTTGCAAATGCATTTTTGCCTATCGACAGTAATACATTTCTTTCATAATGAAAGCAAAAATCTTATTTAAGGTCCTGCCATTAGTCTTGACTAAGGGGAGTGGGGCTGTGAGTGAAAATAAATTTTATTTATTCTGTTAAAAAGCGCAAATGCTTCATCCAGAGTGCACGGCGGCATACGATTGCCTAGGCTGGATAATCCTTTTATTCGTCGTCGTCCTGGCCATCTTGATGATAATAGGTAAAAACACCGCGCTCGGCGAATACCAATTTGATAATGGCGGCCAAGAAGCCCTGATCAACTGGGTTTATTCAGCGCTCGTTTGACAAGTCTTCTTTAAACCAGTTCGATCAAATCTTGCCCAAAAATAATTGTCCAAAATGCAATTGAAAATTATGCGAAAAATTTTAGTGAAAATAATGATGATGTGCAACAAGTCCCGCTCATCAGAACAAGGTTAAGGGCTTCGCTTTCCAATTTATTTCGAAGAAAAATTTCATCGCTCTTAACCCGGCTAAACAGCGCCGCAATTAATGTCCCATCTGGCTTCGCCGATGATCGGTGCGGCTATAGGTGTCAACTCTGACATATACGTCCAACTCAAGCAGTGTCAGGTTCCCGTTTCCTTAATTTTTAACATCCATCGTCATTGTTATTACCCAGGACCTGTCAAAGAAGAGAATCAATGCAAACAAAAAATCCTCACCATCCTCAAAAATGCCAAACTCGAAAAAAACAAAACTAGATGTCAATGAAAATCTGTCTCCAATAAAATCGTGATACAAAAATACTTTCAACTTCCCACAGCTCCAGTTGTTCAATTATCAATTATCGTTCAAAATAGAAAGTTTCAATGGGAAGTACCGTTTCAGTTAGATAAGTGGCCACTTATTTTAATCCGCCGAAGAAAGGTGTTGGAAAACGATATTTTCGGTACTTCTTTTGCTCAAAATAGAAAAGACTTGGCAATTATGGCAATTATCATATCATTCTATTTTGAGTTGTATAAGAAATTGTATAACAAATTTTGTATATAAGCGGCCGCGTGTTTCGAACTATCACAATCAACAGCAATCAAAATAAAAAATATCGAATATCTCAAAACAAAAAAACAGCAATGAAAATAATCGCAATGATCTTCGCCTTTTCTGAGGCATTTTTTAGACCAGAAACAACTTTCTACCGTGGAGAGCCTTACCAGGTAACGAATCTCCAAATTTTCTTTAACGTATCGTATTTCTAGAGGCTTGCACGAGTTGATCGAATGGCTTTGAACAAGGAGCTTTATGGCTTTGAGCTTCAACGACGAGGAAGTATCGTCAACGAACTTGGAGCTAAAATTTTCAGATTGCAAAAGATGGCGATTCAGCATCGTCATTCTCGATGAAAAATACATATTTTGTGATAAAACAATTCAAAATTGATATGAAAAAATAAAAGAATCGAAAAATTGTCGCTTGTTATTTCCATTAAGGATAAATGTCCCCTTCATTCAAGAAGAAGTAAGAAAAATAATTTCATCAGCAAAATGCAACTGCAGCTAATTAGTGATAACGTTTCAAAATTGAACCCAGATCGTCTGGCAAAACCACGGCGGCCGGGCGCGGTTAGCCCCATGCTCGGACAAATCTGTTTCGAATCAATTTCCTGGGGTAACTAATTCGGACACTGATTTAACCAGCCAGAGCAGTTAGCCGAGCGACAGAAAGCAAGTTTCGACGATGTGTTGGACAACGCTAAAACGTGAACTTTTTTCAATCTTTGTTTTTTGCCTTTTTCTCAGAGAAATAAACGCAAGAACTTGTGGCTCTTCTGATAAGGTGAATGGAAAATTCGTTCACGTCCAAAGATTTAAATCGTCTCCGGAATCGTGTACCTACGATCTGAATTTTCCGAACGATGCTTCTTCAAAGCTTTCTTTTCAAAAAGAACCGGCTTGCATCGAACACTCAATAATCATCCGGGACAGCGAAAATACCTTTGGCCCTTTTTGCTCGAGCGTGGAAGAACGCGGCGGCTTCGGAATTTCGGCAATCATTCCGAATGCGAAACGACTCTCGACGATTACAGAAGTGGTGTTCAAAGGGCCTCTGGAAGTGGAAATCAAACCAACTTCGGAGAGACGATCGAGATTTAGGCTGCTTTTCACGTGGGAAAAAGTGGAGGAGTGCTCGCTTTCAGACGTTGCTAAATTTGATGGTATTTTCTCCAAAATCGCAGCGGCTGAAGGAAAATTCGCCGCAGCCCGTGTTTGGAATCGACTCTCAAATCAGCTTAAAAATTTCGACGAAGACTTTCACCAAGAATCTGCTCGTTTTTGCGCTGCTGAAACTTTGCAACCTCCATGCGAGTTGGTGAGATTTTCTCCTGACGCATCTTTTGAAGAGATTTTTGATCAAACGAAGAATCTTTTGGATTTTCTTTCAGGCTACTGTCAAAGTGGATTTGCTTACAGGAAAGGCTTTTATTTTGAAAGACAAGTGTTGTTAAAAAGAAGTATCAAAACAAGCCGTTATCAGATGGTATGATATTTTGAACGAAATGCTTTTCAACTCCGGCGAGACGTCCCGAATCGAAGTTGAAAAAATTCCAGAAGAGTTCCAAATTCATGTTATTCAGCAAGAACCTATGCGAATGATTCTAGAAAACGAGTTTGTTGTTCACAAGCGACTTGAGTTCGAAACAACTGCCTCAACGACAATTACAACTAAGAATACGCCACCTCCAACAGCAGGACCGCCGAGCAAGTTGCTCATTGAACCCATTTTTCCTCGTAAGACGGTTTTTTCGAAGCTCTTCCTCAATTTTCTTCTAGAAATGGACTACCCAGAAACATGCGGTTGGTTAAAAGAATCAACGATGAAAAAATCGATGTGTTCGATTTCCTCCCTTTCTTCGTGCAACACTCCCTTATTCGCCGATGTTCTCTCCCTAACTTCCTCCACCGAATCTTGTCCAGTCAATCATTCAGCGACGATTCTCGAGCGAATTTTCGAATACGCACAAAAACTCGCTTCCAATTCTGGGTTTTTCAAGGGACAGTGCGCGACAACCAAGAAACAGCTTCCTTGTGATTTGATGATGATCAATTTGGACAGAGAAGACCAGCTCAAGCCTTCGAGTTTTATTCGAAAAATGAGGATGATAACAAGAAAGATCGTTGCTGACTGCGAAATCAGCCATCGACACGAGCTGCAGGAGCTTTACAGAGAAGGTAAGATGGAAATTCCTACGTAAATAATCTAACGCAAAATTTCAGTCTGGTCTTCGATCAAATCTTGCGGCCCAAATCAAAACACAAAATCCGACGATTTGTCTCTTTTGATCGGCGAGCGCGGCTTAGCTTTCCAAAAGCCGAGGAAAGAATTCTGCCGCATCTCCGGCTATGCCTCTCGAAATATGAAATGGTTCTCTTCCCGCCTCGGTCTTGTCAAGGATCAGGAGCGAGCTGTGGAATTGTTCGAGGAATTGGCTGAAGAGATCGCGGATATTGGGGCAAAAGCGGCTCATAATGTCGGAGAAAGATGCTTGTTAGATGGAGATGTGTAAGTGAAATGTTCTTACGAAGATTAAGTGCTCAAACGTACTCATTTAGCGCTGATCGGATTCCCTGCGAGCTTGCGTTCATCCCTAAAAATGAAGAAGGATGTCAACTTGGAGCACGATTAGCGCGAGTGGTCAAATACCTGCAACAAAAATGCCCACTTCTTGTTTCGCAAGCTGTTCCGAGAAAACTAAGAAAACTTGAAGGTAAGCTCAAAGTCATTGATAGCAGAATTTAGTTTGATTTCAGAAGCATTGGCAAGGGAAGAAGGAACATGTCCAGAACTAGGGACGAAGATGACAAGAGATATTAGACTTGTGGCGATGAACACGCTATAAATTTAAGACAAAATAATCTGTACATTTGAATAAAAAAAATCCTGAAATCCAGATCCCCCGGGAATTTTTCGCGGCTTGCATTTCAAGCTCTGTTTATATTTGTCCTTGCTCCTGTCAGGAAAGCAAGCTGACGATAGCCAGAGCTCATAAAGAACTCATTCCAGATTTTCAAAAAGCGAAAAAATGGAGAGCAAGAGAAGTTCGATTCTCTCAAAAGCCTCCTCTGCCGGGGGAGGAGTGAAGCTCCAAAGAAATTTGACAGTTTGGGGAGGAATTGCTCTTGTTGTTGGGACGATGATTGGATCTGGTATTTTTGTGTCGCCGACGGGGATTTTGAAGGAAAGTGGCTCTGTCGGATCCAGGTTTGAGCTTATTCGAGAGATCGTGATAATAGTACTTATAGTTTGGTGATTTGGGTTATCACAGGGGCAATTTCGACACTTTGTGCCCTTTGCTACATTGAACTTGGACTCTTAGTGGACGCTACTGGCGCCGAGTACAGTTACTGTAACGACGCTTACGGAAGTCTTATCGGCTTTCTTGTTGGCTGGACCTTGATCATCATGGCAAAACCAGCCGGTTTGGCTGTTATGGTGACTGCTTTTGCTGACTACACTTCCGCCCCATTCTATCCTGGCTGCGACGCTCCCGAAATGCTGAAAAAGTTTCTTTCCATTTGTGCAATTTTGTTCATCATGATCGTCAACGGCTTGTCCGTCAAAGCCTCCGAGCGAATGCAGATTCTTTTCACCGTCGTCAAGCTCATTTTAATCACCGCCATCATCATCGGCGGCTTTGTGGAAATCGCGAAAGGAAACACGGAAAACTTTGAGAATGCGTTTGAAGGAACAAGTCCTTCTTTGAGTGCCTGGGCAGTGGCAATTTACAATGGAATGTGGTCGTATGACGGTTGGAACCAGCTGAACTTTGTGTCGCAAGAATTGATCAATCCTGAAAGAAACTTTCCTCTCGTCATCATTGGTGGCATTCCTCTAGTTACGCTGCTCTATCTTCTCGTCAATGTCGCTTACTTCACCGTCATGTCTCCTACTGAGCTTCTCCAAAGCCCGTAAGTACAAGAGGCATCAACCCAATCTTCAATCTGTGTTTCTAGAGCAGTTGCTACTACATTCGGTGCAAAAGTTTTTGGCTCTTTCGCCTGGATAGTCCCAGTTGGAGTAGCTTGCTCAACTTTTGGCTCCTCCAATGGCGAAGCTTTCACGTCTGCAAGACTTGTTTACGCAGCCGGAGGAAATGGGCACTTCCCAAGATTTCTTGCTTATCTCAGGTAATCTTCCTTGATTTCATTTTTCCCAACTAAATCTTCAGCAACGAGCGATTGACTCCCCTGATGGCAGTGGTTTTCAACGCTGTGATCGGAATTCTTATGGTCTTGCCGGAATCGTCGAACATTGAGAATCTTCTTGACTACTTTAGTTTCGCCATGTGGACAATTTACGCCCTGACATTTATTTCTATCATTATTTTCCGCTACAGAAAGCCATATTGTGATGTTGAAAGAAAATTCAAGGTGAATTTTTTGAGCTTTTTTTGCTTCTTTGTTTGTTTTCTTTTATCGCCTCTGTCAGCAAAATTCGCTCAAACATGCTTTTTAAGATTTGGCTTCCGCTTCCTGTCCTTGCTGCCGGAATCTCGCTGTATTTGGTCATTGCGCCTCTTGTTGAAGAACCATCCTTGGCATATCTTCTTGCTACTCTCATCATTTTTGGTGGACTGATATTCTACATTCCCTTTGTCTATCTCGACTGGGACCTTCCCTTTGGAATTTACAACAAAGTCGAGATTTTCTGCCAAAAATACTTTGAAGTTGTTCCTGTTTCAGCCGATGAGCTTAAAAACGAATAAAAATCAAAACAAATTTTAACACTGAATCCGGATTTGTTTTATAAGGTCGGTCGTTTCCCTGAGAACAGATATTGCTTGCATAGAAATTCATTTTTGAGTGAAAAAGCGGCTTCGAGTTTTCGTCGAAAAAGTTGGCAAATGATTGAAGGAAAAAATATGAGCTGAAAGAGAAAATATGGCTAGAATATACTGAGGATAATGAAGGATCAATTTTCTTCGAAATTTTCGATGATGACCAGTTACTTTGGTCACATTGGTCATCAGATTTGCCAAGCCTGAAAAACTATTGGCTTAACAAATTTGTCGGGGAGGAAGATGTTATTATTCTTCAAGACCATGATGACTGTTATTATTGTTTCGACAGAAAAATTAAGATTTGCGCTCATCATGGAAGCGAGATCATCATTCGCATATCTTTAAAAAACCGAACAGTCAAAAAATACGTTGTTCCTGATCGAAAACTCAATGAATGTTCTGACTTTGTATGTGGTTTCGGAGTTGCTAGAGATCAGCTTTATTTCCTCGTAACAGCACCTTCATTTATACAAGTCCAGCATTCAGGAAACGAAGATCAATTCCATTATCGTTATTTTGGAGTTCTCTCTGAAAACAAGGATGAAAACAATTTTCTTGCCAACACCATCTGTTTTATAAGAGAAGATGTTTTCCTCAGTGGAAACGAGCTTAAAATACCGGCTAAATGCGACTACTTCCATTTCAACGACTTGACTGACGAAGAAGAAGAAGATCTTTTTCTATTTCGATGCTATAATGGAGGGACGGAAGGAGCTCGGGTCAAAATAAATCAGCCTCCCTAGAAATTCAAAGTGCGTAAAAAAAAAATTATGTATTATTTATTGTGTTGATGATTGTTGACTCCTTGAAAAAGATAAACTAGCTCTGTTGTATGGACTTCCTTTCGAGAAATTTCTTGAAGAGTTGGACGAAGATGTATTTCAGAAAGATCTAATTGAATATAAATATGGCGATGTAACCAAGCAAGCAATTTGCGTCGATCTTCGTAAGATCTTTTTCTTGTGAGAACAAGCAAACTAAGCCTCTTTTTTATAGTCTGTCATCCGTCAATAAAAGGCGAGGATGGGGAACTGCTCAACCTCATTGAAGCGAGAAGGGAAGAAGTTGAGTTTTACCGAGATTATTATAAAGAAATAGCCAATGGTGATTAAATTCATTCTGAGCTAAGACGACAACATTGTGGCTTGAAATAAAATTATCTGATTCAGAATTATCATAAGTTATTGATTCATAACATAGTATTTTCTTTTCTTTTTTCATTTTCTATGTATCAATTCATCTGCTTTAAATTTTCTTCTAATAAATATTTTTAAACTATTCTCATTTCCTTGAAACTAATAAAAAAGCGATAATTTTCTACCGACCGCCGAATCACCTCCTCCAATCTACCGTTCCAGTCGATCGCTTTTCTGAATCATCCGCCCCATTTTCGATCTTTATCAGACCTTGACGGGGCGCTAGACAAGAAAACTCAAAAATAAAATAAGTTTTTTTTCTTCATCTTTTTTTGAAATCGAATACTTGCCTTTTCCGCCGCCCGCTGAGAAAATCGATATCCACGATAAATTTGTGAAAAATTGGCGCTTGAGAATAATTTTTTCGAAAAAAGCGGGCGCAAATTTTTCAAAGTGGAACAATAAAAACGACGAGGTAATCAAATTTGCGAGGGGATAACAAAAGCAGCCTAACAATCAGCCACCGAGAAAAATAAAGAAAAGGTCGAGGAGAGAAACAAAAAACTTGGAAAAAAAGAGAAAATGTCGCACATGGGAAGAAACATGAGGAATGATTCGAAAATGTACTCGCATCCTGCTTATTCGTAAATCAAAAAAGTCTTTTTTATTCATCATTTTCATGGTTTTTAGTATTAGAAGAAAATAGCCTTTGGAGCTTACACTGTAAGCCTTACAGAAGGATAAAGATTGTTAAAAACGTCTCTGAATCCTGTGTAGAAAACCTGAGTCAGGGTCAGCTGCTTAGGGAGAATTTTAAAATAAATTGCAAAATTTATTTTGGGAAGCCGCTTCGCGGCTTTGTTTTTAAAAAAGCCGCAACGCGGCTTTTCATTTAAGATCTGTCAGACCCAGGGTTCTAAACGGACATGTCCGTGTACGGATTTTATCAGTGTCTGTCCGGTCTTGTCCGTACGGACAGACTAGACTTTTGGTCTTTTGGTCGAGGAAAAAACGGACAGCCTAGACCGAACTTTTGTAGAGATCCGGACAAAATCCGTATTTGTCCGTATTTGTCCGTGAAATCCGGACAACTCCAGACTTTTGTCCGTGTCTGTTAAATCCGGGCAGAATCCGAAAAAATCCGTAAAAAGCACGACTTGAGTTCGAATCCGTTTCAAAAAACCCTGAACCAAGGTGATTATTTGTTAAAATAAACCAGGTTTTCAGTTAAAAATTTATAAATATCAAAATTTTTGACTTTTTGCCGGAAAATATCGATGATAACTTTCAATTGATAGCCTATCAATGATAGGTCTTTTGAAGGTGCGAAGCCGGAACTTTGAGGACTAAGGGAAAATTGGTTAAATTTAGAATATTAGGTTCTTCATTATTCCGCTAATTCATTGTGAGTCCTAATTTGGGACCAGTATTGCAAATTTATTGAGCAAGTGAAATGAGCAATCACTCAGCTCAGCAATTTTCGGGAAAAGCCGGCTCAAGGTGTTAAGCGTGCTCATGCTCACAAAAATTTGAGCATCCCGTGCTCACGCATGCTCATGCTCACTGAAATTTGAGCAGCCTCGTGCTCACGCGTGCTCGTGCTCGCGCAAAATTTTCAGATTTCAAACCCCGGTCGGGTTAGCCCGCTAAAGTCATTCAGCTCGATCATTTCGAGAGAACTCAGCTCAGACCAATTATTTTCTTCATAAAGCCAGCTAAGGTCAGCTTGGATAACACCTCGATCGTGCTCAGGCTCCGCGAAATTTGAGCACGTGCTTATGCTCAGCCAAAATTTGCGACTTTTCAAACCTTGTGCTGAGCTAAGCTAGCAATTTTATGAAGTCTTTGGGCTAAGCCTAGCCTCTTCTGAAAAAAGCAGTCGCTTATTAAACTTGCGACTCTTTCCCAGCCCAGTCCCTTGATTTTCTAAAATTGCCTTGAGAAGAATTCGATTTTTCGATGTATTTTCGGTCAAATTTATTTCTAAAAGATTTTTTTTTTGGTCCAGTCGGGTTTATTTCGATAAAAATTCGTTTTCTCCATGAAATTGTACGGACATTTACGGACAAGACCAGACTAGACCAGACTGTTTCTTTAAAAAAAATATGTCCAGATTAAACGGACAAAAACGGACTAAAACGGACATGTCCGGGACTAGACCGGACAAAAATCCGTTTTTTTGATCCGGACACGGACAGACTAGACTTGGGATTTTGTCGGAGGACACGGACACGGACAGACTAGACTTTTAGATTTTGCCTCAAATTTAGAACCCTGGTCAGACCCTGACTCAGATTTTTCACCAAGGTTACCGAGCCAGGCCAAAATTTTTACTGAGACAAAGTCAAAATTCTCGATTTTCTTTCTTTCAACTGATGAAGATTTTCTTTTGCTAAGTCTGCCTGAGAAAGTCTGTGAATGCGAAATAAAGCTTTTATGATGCGAATGAGAAAGAAACTGGTAAAATGCGCATCGATCTCCGTTGTGCCACGATAAGACTCTTAGAATCGAGCTGGGCAGGCTCAACGCCAGGATAAACAAAAATATTCTTTATAAAAGCTGTTTTGCCGAGTATTTTCTTAGCAGAGATTTTTTCGGTTGAATAAATAAAAACAGAGAAAACGGGTAATTTTTATGAAACGATTGAGTTTCACCCCTTCGGAAAGATATAACATTGCCTCGGGGTAAGAGAGAAGTGTTTAATTAAAGAAGAGATTTCCGATTGAGGAATTTTTCTAGCTCTTGTCGAAAAAACCGCCTGGAGGGAAAATAAAATGAATATTTAGCGTGCGGACGTCAGAAACAGTCGTGACAGGAGTAGATGATCAATTCATCAAATCAAAAGAAGGGATTCTCAAGATCCTTCAAGTGGTCTTTGGCGCAATTGCTTGGATCATCATGGCTTCCCTTCCGTACATGCGGATGATTTACACGCAAGGACATACAGCGCCGTTTCATGCTATCATGACTCGTAAGTTTCAATATCTACAGTCATTTTTCTGACAGAAATCCGATTCTGAAAGATTTCAATTTTTCATCATTTTTTAATTGAAAGACCTCAATAAAGGCTTTTCATATTACAAAAATTATCAAAATTGATGACTTATCAATATTTTAGTGGAGCTACTTGCCTGGATTGTTACAGTAATTATTCTCATTTCAAAAGCTTGCGGTACTGGAATGAATAGCAAGGGCTTCGCTGGCTGCATGTACAAATCAACTTGGGTTTTCATCCTGAATTTCATTCTTTTTGCGTTTTTCTTGATCGCTGCTTGCATTTTGGCCGCCAATGCTTACAGATTTGACCTTGGATCGGTAAGAATAATCAAATTTATTCTTCATAAGCCATTTTAGTCGGCATATTCTTCATTCGGAAATCGCGGACGAATGCAAGAAATGAACCGATACGGCTACGAAATCGGACGAAATCAGCAAAACGGAGAAGGAGGCACCTTCAATCTGGGTTCCTGCGATAGCTTCAACGTCAATCAGCCCTACTGTGCGATGCATGCTGAGGAGTGCAGAAAGTTTTTTGATGACTGCATGAAAATCGCCTCCGGGACTGGCTGTAAGTACCTTGTAAATGCTACTGTCACACTGAGAGTGGTACAAAAGCGTATTGTCAGAATTAATCAAACCGGTGTTTTCAGACAACAAGTACTTCGTCAACGCAATTACTGCCTGCGTCTTTGCATTTATCACGACGATTCTTTACCTGGTAAGAAAATTAAATTTGCACCTTTTCATTTAAAATAAATGAGAGTCTCATTGTGAGGCGAGCTCAATGCCTTCAATAAAAATAAACCTTGTGCTTGCCTGACACAGTTTTATTCCATTTTTCTTAGGTAAGCATGGTTCTTGCATTCAAAGATGGCGGGTGGACTCCATCTATTCCCGATCTCGCATCTTTCAACCCGCTAGAAAAAGAAGAAATCTCGAACGACATTGAATTCGGCAACGACGATGATCTCAATCGCTCGCTGAGAAAGAACACCTGGAAGAACCAGTCGAAGCAGGGAAGATCTTCAAAAGCTGAAATCACTTATTCGGAGGCAAATGTAAGCTCCAACACATTTACATTCACTAACTCGAAATGATCAAGGTTTATAATTGCTCCTTTTCTAATTCTATTATTTTATAATCAACCATTTTTAGTCCGGCATCGTGAAACCAACACTCTCCTCAACCCTCTCGAAAAATTCCGTCTTCACTTCCAACGGCGCCAATCTCATCTAAACTTCCAAAAAATACCTCCGAAAAAAACCGAAAATATCGAAACTTCAAGAACCAAGAACTCATCACCCAAAGTCTGCCCGAAATCTCAATCCCTGTAGTTTGACCTGATTCCTTTTTTGAAACCATTGTGAGCAAGAAAAAAAAATAATATTTCATTCTGTCCAAACAAATAAATCAAATATTGCATTCAATACTTTCTTCTTTGGAAAAGGTGGTCTTCTGTGTCTCACTTTTGCAATCAAGACGTTTCAATTATTGATACATTTTACAAATGAATGTCGTAATGAACAAAAAAGAGGGCGCAAGTTGAAGAGAAGAGATTTAAAATGCGATCAGATCCCTGTTAAAAGTGCATTTGACAAGTATTCTTGAGAGTTTTCAAAATGAATTTTTTGCTTATTCTAGCTGCTCTGGTAAATCTCGCTTTTTCACAAGGAGGTAAGCCCTTAAGCTCAAATTTTATCAAAAATAAAATTTTTATTTGACATTCAGAAGCGAGTAACTGGATGAACATGCTTGACTACGAAGACCCAAGAGGTAGCGATCCGCTGATGGACGCGATGAACATGTACAGTGAAGATCACATTCCTGCTGTCTACGAGAAACGCTCGAAATGGATGCGAAACCGAATGCGACCTGCAAGGCATTAGATTTCTTCGTTTCAAATAAATTTCATTGTAACAAGCCTGCGACGGTCAGTTTATCTGGTCAATTTTGTTAGGAAAGAATCATTCGGATTTCTCTTCAGCAGCCATCATTGCTTTCATACATTCAGCAATTTGAGCTGACAGCTCTTCGTTATTCGCAAATGTCGCCATTTTCTCTCGGAAAGCTGTGATCTTCGGGTATTCTTAACGAAAGTTTATCCCTTTTGAATTCACAAAGAGGCTTACTTTCGGGGCAGAACTTGAAGCCAACAAAGGTGGGGACGTAAAGAGAGCAGGAAATAGAAATGTCAGCGATGGTTGGTGAATCTCCGTTGAGATAAGCGCCTTTGAGAAGATGTTGCTCGATGAATTCGAATTTGGCTTCCATCGCCTTAAAATAATTTTATTGCCTTCAAAGCAAAAGGACGGGGAACCTTAAGTTTTTCCGCGTCAGGGGCTTGTTTGTAGAGCCAGATGGGGTAGACGTATTCGCCGATAGCTTTGTACAGAGTTCCGAGATCAAAGTTCAAAAGGTAGTCGACTCTAGCGCGGGCTTGAGCGTCAACTGGGTAGAACTTGTTCTCCTTGTCGTACTTGTTGCACAGGTACTGCAAAATCGCCCTGAAAGGACTGATAAATTGGATATTCACCTTCCCAAATACCTTGATTCCCAAAGAACAAAGTCGCCATCCTTGATTGTCGGAACAACATGAGCAGGATTCATTGCGACGAAATCTTCGGCCATTTGCTCCTGCTTCATCAAATTGATGTTTTTGATCGAGTGCTCGACATTGAGCGCGTTCGCTGTCTTTTTTGGATTAATTTTTTTCTCTTTTAATCATTTATACAACAAAAATCAAACCCCTTTCAAAAGAACAGCTCTGCAAGGAGCAGAAACGACCATCGAGAAAATTTCAACCATTTTTTTTTCTATCTAAAATTTTTAATTTAATCAAAATTATGTTTCAGTATTATCGCGTCTCTCGTTGTCTTATTTATCTCCATGGAAATGAACATGAACAGGAAAAAAGTAAAACTGAATTAGTAACGGCGGTTAGTTTCGAAAGTGGAAAGTCGTAAACATGCCCCTATTGATGCGTGACGCTCGACTGAAAAGGCTCTTATTTCAGAATTATCGACTGATTTTCTTGCCCGCGGCGCACCAACATTTTTTCGTGGATTATATAAAAAATTTTTTTGTAATTTCGTCAGTAAAATCTTTTTCGATGAAAAATTATCGATTGTCTGACCTGGCGTGGAATCAAATCGGAACACGTCTGACAAGCCCGTCGCCTGTCGATTTCTAACAGCCAACATTTCAATGGCCATGATCACGATTTTCCAGACTTCAACTTTGATTTTGACCTCTTCAGCAAATTTCCTTGAAAAGCGCGGAATCATCCACCGGCGGGTAAACCGACATTTGGTTTGTCGCACTTGTCAGCTTATGACATCTTCGCGGCGCTAGATTTTGTATAAAAACCAAGTTCGCTTTTCAAGAAATCATCAAACAATTGAATCATCAATCAAACAAAAAACATAAAATGAAAATTTCCATTATTTTTTTCTCAACAGTCTCCGCCAACCCAGCTCTTTTGGGCGCTGCACCAAGAAGTGTTCATCCCAGCGCTTCGAATCTCTTCAATATCATCACTTTCAAAGCTAATGCTGCTGGATTCGGAGATATTGATGTGGAAGATCTTCTCAAATACGGATGCCACTGCAATATCTACGATGGGCTCGAAAAGGGCCTTGGCAAACCAGTTGACGGAATCGATAGCGCCTGCAAGAGATACTACGAATGCGTCACCTGCACAGAAATGAAGCGCTCCACGAACTCGGAAGCTTGTGTTTGGAACGAAACAACATACGAAATCGGCTCGGATGAAAATGGCCTCGCATGCCCTTCGAATGTCAATGAAGGTCTCGATTCAACAGGCTGCTCTCAAGAAATTTGCCAGTGCAACATGCAGCTAGCAGATGATCTGGTCGCGAAATTGGAGAGCTTTAGTGATGATAACACGCACAGCGGGGGGTTTGATAAGGAAGCTATGTGCGTCTCTAGGAATTGGTTTTAATTCATTTATAATGAGGATTTTAAACAATTAAATTCCTCTAAATAAAAATTTGAAACCAAAAAAGCGGCCAAAAACTTGGCGGAGATCTGAAATGCTGCGGCCAAAATCCATTCTACAATCTCTATCGAGAGGGAAACGGAATCCGAGAATGCTGCAAAGGAAAAGTCCTCAACACAATCACCAACGAGTGCTGCGATGGAAACGTCTCACCAATCGGCACTTGCTCAAGCAACACTGCTGGCAACAATGGTGGAAACAACGGCGGAAACAACAGTGGTAATAACGGTGGAAACACTGGCAACTATGGATATTAAAATATGGATATTAAAATGGATATTAAAACTGTTCTTCAACCTTTTTGTTCAAAAAAATTTTCGTCTTCGTTAGTTGGATAACACTGGATAGAAGCGAAACTTTCCGCTAGAAAGAATTCGTGAGACCAGGAATTTCTAACTGTATCTTTTTAAATAATAAATGCCTAAAATATGAGTTTTGTTTCTTTTGGATATCAAGGAAGAAATTTTATTTTTTGAAGAATTTGGACATTTTTCTCTGCGAGTTTCTCCATGTGTTTCTTGTCAGCGAGCGGTGGAGGGAGTCGTCAGTGACTAAGATGTCATTCCCGTCAATGTCGTCGAAAGTTGATAATTTTCGGCTATTACGATCGTTGATTAAAAGCTTCGCTGCAAAGATCTAAAAGAGGCTTCTTTAAAAGTAATAAGCACTTTTTACCCAGTAAAGTATTGCTGTAGTGAAGGCAAAAATGCAGCTAATAATCGCGCCAATAAAGTACTGAAAAGAATGAAGATACTGATAATGAGTTTAAAAACCTTGTCATGAAGCTCTCCCGCTGCGAGGCGCATGCAATCGTTGAAGAACTCCGTACATTCTTCTTGATTACTTGCGCAATATGGCTGGTTGACGTTGAAACTGTCGCACGATCCAAGCTCTAGATGCGTGATTTCATAACCCTTACCCCGGTTTCATCCCTTTTCTCTTTCCTAATCAGTGTTTAAAGATATCAAAGAAACCGTCGCCAGGAGTTCAGCTCGTCTCCGATTCCAGCTGAAGCGGAGAATCTCGATCTTCCGAGCGAGAAATTGCCAGAAAAGACGGAGCTTATCAGTGCTGCCAATAGAAAAAATACTCCGAGGATGACATTTATTATCGCCAAGGACTTATTCGGGAGGGAAACGAGAAGGGTCAGGATTGAAACTAGCCAGCTTATGACCTCAACTAGAAATTGTTATAAAAGGCTATCTTACTCGAAAAACGTACAAGCAAGAACAATATGGAACGGAATCGTGTATCCTCCTGTGTAAATCATTTTCGTATACGGCAAAGAAGCCATGATTATCCAAGCTACAGCTCCTGTCAAAATCTCTAAGAGAATAATCTTCGAATCCTTTCCGAAATTCTCTCGAAATCGCTCCATTTACGGCTCTTTTCTCTGCTGAAAAGTTGGCTTTGAGTCACGTGAGGGAAGAAAAGGGTTGTTTGTTCTGGGTAGGATACTGAGGCTACTGTGCCAAGGGAGCATTCTGTTGGTGACCTTCAGAGGAAATCAAAGAGACAAAAGAACTACTGGAGCTTCGCCCTTTTCGCCAATTTTCTAGACGTCTAATTTGACAATCTTCAAGAATCGCCAAAAATTCTCTAGATGCCGGCGCGCCGCTCTCAGATTTGGAAATTGAATCAGTTAGAGAGAGGTACGCCTGCTCCAAACAGCAGGGTCCGAAATCCGTATTTTATGAGGTAGAAAAGAGACATTGAGAAGCTGCTGTTACTAACAAATGTTTTCAGAACAAGCCCGTCGATCTTCCTGGAAGATACCTCGTGCGACCGCTTTTCCAAAAGGAAGAAAATTGACCCTAATATCGCCCTTTTTCGGGGCGATGTTAGGGACCGGCGCATCGAGAAACTGAAAAGAATTTTCAGGAAGATGCGCGGCTCGTGAAGAATATTGAGTTTGCTTGTCCGGAGACCTATTCGAGTGAGAATCCTAGCGACAGCATGATGAGTGAGGAAGACAGCACACGAGTGCATGAAAATGAGGTTTAAAGTTTATGCTTTTTTCATGGCATGACCTTTCTTTAGGGTGTCGAGAAGGCTTCTCAAGAGTCTAAGGATGGCAAAGCAACGGAGAAACTAACTGAAGTGCAATTTACGGTTTCTCTCGAACTGAAGGCGCTGCCCAAGCCGGCTTCTTCTCCCGAGAAACAAAAGAAAACAGAGTCAATCCAACCAAAACTCGCAAAATCTTTAATTTCCTAGCATTCCTTTCAAAGCCTCTTCATGTTCTGCCATTCCTTGCAGCAATGAATTCAGTGAAATAAATTGAACTTCAGGAAGAATTAAAATTTATTTCCTAGTTTCAGGTTCAGTTTTGTTGTAATTCAGGTTGTATCCATTATGTGCAGTCGGAAAGAAAATCGTAGAAAATGAAATTAGAAAAATAATGAGAAAAGAGTTTTTGGCCACCAAAATAAGGAAAGGATTGTACAGTTGATTTTATCGGATTTTTCAGAGGCGCATAAGACTGGAAATTGGTCGAATTATTACGAGCAGATTCAGGAGCGTCTGAAAGTAATGAATAAGAAAAGAAAAAAGAGTCGTCTCTTACCGCGAAGCTAGAGATATTCTTCCTTCTTGTGCCTGTAATATAACTTTGCAACAAGCAGGTCAGTTCGTGCTGTAGCTCTTCAACCGTGTCTGTATCTTCGACTCCTGGTCTATCGGGCGAAAAGAGCGTGATTGCGCAGAGAATCGCAACGACAGTATCGTCGACTTTTTGAGAAGACATTCGGTGGTGGAATCGGTAGATTTCTTCAATCAAACGAGAGGGGATTCGAGATTCGGCGATGTTCAGTGAGTGGGAAGAGATGATGAACTCGTTGGATTCCGTGTCGAAGAGTTTGTTCAACTAAAGAAGGGTTTATTTTGGCAAGCAGTTTATCGATTTTCTCAGTTTTGAACGCTAAAATAAGGGTGTCACTGAGTAAGTATTGATAAAACCTATTTAGAATGAGTGTTTTCTTACCCGAATATGAACCAATTCAGCAATAGATCCATTCAAAAGCGCTCGTTGGTCATTTTTCGACAATCTGTTGAAGGGTTCCAAGTTCTTGGCAAAAGTAGCGACTTCATTAACGAGCTGCCCGAGGGTCTTTAAAAATAGCACCTGCGCCAGGTTCACTTCTTCGATGCATCCATTCGTTGCCTTTTTGATGACAGTTAGACTTTCAGAGCGGCGGACTGGCGAGAATTGCTCGTACAAGCCGACCAGGCGGGTGAAATCGATGTCGACGTCTGTTTGTTCTGAAAAAGATGATGATTACTTAATGTTGCAGTCGAGATAGAATGCTCGACCCCGTCCCGATTTGACCTGGCATTTAGTCATGTCAAAAATATGACGCAAGAGAGCACTCAAACGATCCCGAATGAAAGCTTCTGACTACGCCAATGAATCAATAATTTTGAATTTCAAATGATTGCTTACAGAGCATACTCGAGCTCCAATTCAGCCGAGTTCGAAAATAAGGAGAAGCGAGTTCAAAATAGATTACGTAACAAGCAAGCTTTCTCGTGAGATGATTAGCTCGGTGAAAAGAGCAATGATCTGATTTATTACTCAAGATAATAGATCTGAGGAGGGAGCTACGGTTTCTCTCCAAAGGTTAAAGTGTTTGAGCAACCCATTATCGACAAAAATCTTGGTTTGAATAAATGATCTTTTAGCGCCCTTTTAGCGCTTTTCTCCGAAGATTGCGGCCTTTTGATAACTTACGGGATGTTTGCTCGGTGGATTCAGCAAAAGCTCTCTCGATATTATTGAGTCGGCCGAGTTCGTCGCCGCTGAGTTCCGGAATTTCGTGTTGGATTCGTTTGATTCGATTGTGCTGGATTAATTCGCGCTAGAAAATTTATTAGGAATATACTTCGTGGAAAAGAAATCTACCTTTCGTTTGATTTGCTCGTCCGACATGATGCACTCCTTCTTCATTCCGATCAAAAGGCACTTCTGGATTCGACAGGCCTGGCAGTGTCTCCTGTTGTTTCTGTTGATCTTGCAGTTGCCCTCGTACGCGCATCGGAACTGCTTTCCAGCCTGAAATCAAAATGTCAAGCCATCAACCAGGGTTCAACAAAATTCAGACTCCAGCGTGGGGTCATTGCGTAAACGACGCTTTTCCCGAAGCAAGAACAAGATTCACGTGATGCGATTAGGACGTAATCAGTTCCACTTCTGCGGAACCCTCTTCCAGGCCGCCATTGGGTAAATTTGATGTAACAAGCGAAAAAAGGGATTGAAAATAATCTTGAGTTCATGTGGAAAAGTGCCCTCTGTAAAACTCTTTTGAGTAAAATAAGGGTGTCACTTCGTTAATTCAAGAAGAAAATTAACAAACTGAGAGCATTATTTTGGCCAAAAAAGGATTCACGGAAAGTTCAACCTAAACCCATTCAACCTTTCGAACTTTAGTAGAAAATTCTAGACCTAGAAATAATAGCTGAGAAATAATTACCTTCATGGTTCTCCTGAAGAACCCCTTGCATCCCTCGCAAGTAAGAGCATTGAAATGATAACCGCTGGCGATGTCGGAGCAAACTTGGCAGGTTTTGGAGACTGGGGTTGATGTTACTTCAGTAGTCGTTGTTGGCAGCACTGTAACTCGCTCTTCGAACAACATTTTTTCGCAGTTTTAAGTTTATTCTATCTTCTTGAGGATTTTTCTTAAAAAGGAGTTAATTTTGGGTTTGGTTTAAAGTGAAAGATAAGCGTTCGCCGAGGTAAAGTTGTTTTATTGATTGCTCTCGCGTGGTGGATATGCCCTGAAATGGCCCTGTCTACTTTTTCCCACTGCCCTTGGTGTCCGAGTTCATCGCTTTTTCCCGTATTTTTCCTGATGCAGGGGCAAATTGTTTACTTTTCTTATTGAAATTCAAGTCCTAAAGTCTTCACCAACCTGAGTAAAACCGACAGAGGCTATGTCACATAGCCGGTTTTTTGGTCGGATGTTTTACGGTCTATATAAATTTTGACTATAACCGGACAAATCTGACCAAAACTCAAAACCAAAAATGATTACCCCTTTTCTTGCTTTAGACTTTTTTGTTCTATTTAAATTTGTTAAGAATCCAGCTACGTCACAGTGTTCTGATTTTAACGTGTGAACTGGCCTTGCTCGCTTTTAACGAGCTACTCAATCATCTTTTTGATAAAAAATAGACATGTCATCTCGGGTTAAGAAAAAATGATAATCATTTCCAAAAATTTGAAATTTCGAAAGTCAAAATCCTAAAAAAAAATTTAGAAAATTTTTATTAAAAAAGAACTCTCTGAAAAATAATTTTTTTCTGGAAATTAATTTTATTTTTACCTTTTTATTTATTTTTGTGATTTCCTGATCTCTTAGGTTGATATTGATCGTTTTGGTCAGCTTCTTAGAGTTTTCTTACGAAAAAGGTGATTCTAGAAATTTCAAAAAAAAATCTTAAGAAAAAATGTTTTGAATCTGTTGATGTCGATGTCGACTTATAAGGATGGGCTGGTGTCGCTGCCGTGGCCCAAGAAACTCTGATGACTCACGGGGAGCTCGCAGAGTCCGAGTGAACTCGGGCCGACCTTGTCTATTTTTTCTCTTTTTCCTCCTCTGACTTTTTCTTGGGCAAATGACCCATCACTCGAATCAGCAATTTCTTCTCTTTCATATGGCGCCAAAATTTTTTAAGGGCATCAATCCGATCAGGAGTAATTCAAGTTTGACCTTCAATAACAGGCATTTCGCGTCGCCTCGGCGCGGTTATGTAATCGTTCCTAACCCACGTGAACCGCTGCGCCCTGCGACTGTCTATTTTTTGCCTCGTAGAAGGTCATCAAGTTCAGAAAACGCACAAAAAGCTACTACTACCGCATTCAAAAATTATAATCGATACTTTTTTATTGACAGATATTTTCATTTATGCATCTTTCGAATATAAATTGAGTATATAAATAACAAATTATAATTTATAATCAAAGCAGAGTTGCAAATTTTGTGAGCTAGCTGAGCTGGGCCATCTGAGCTACAGCTAAGCTCAGCTCAGCTCAGCTCAGCAATTTTGAGGTTAGGGTCAGTTCAGCTCAATTTTTCTGAAGAAAACTAGCTCAGCTCGGCTCAGCTAGCTCAGCTTAAAAAAATTGTAAGCTCAGCTAGCTCAGTTTGAGAAATCATCAGCTCAGCTCAGCTCAATTTTTTTGAAAAAATTCAGCTAAGCTCAGCTCAGCTCAGTTGTTCTTAAAGGGGGCCAGCTCAGCTCAGCTCAGCTCAATTTTTTTGAAAAAATTCAGCTAAGCTCAGCTCAGCTCAGTTGTTCTTAAAGGGGGCCAGCTCAGCTCAGCTCAGCTCAATTTGGACCTCAGCTCAGCAAGCTCAGCTCGGAAAAAAATTTCGAAATTTTGCAACTCTGAATCAAAGTGAAGTATTGAATATCCTCGCTAAACTAGAAACTCGAAAATTATCAACTTGACAATCGTAAGTAGGCTATACAATTATAACCATGAATCGATCCTTCTTACTAATGCCAAGTTGACAATCTTCGATTTTTTAGTCTGGCGAGGAGAGACGCTCAACAATTATTTTTGATTAAAATAGGATAGCAAGAGGAGAGCTTCAACTCCAATTTTATTTTTACTAAAAATAAACTACCTCTTGATAGTTTATTTTGACTATTTTGAGACGGATATCTCTCGGGTTCAAGCCCTGGTCAATATATTTTATAACTAAATTGCAATTTTTGATCAGTTTTAGATAGGATATGGTTGGCTTATAAATTATAAGTTTAATATATAAGTTTATAAGTTATAAAGAAAGAAAAACGTCAAATAACGAAATATTAATTTTTCGGTTACATAACAGAACATTTGATTTGGCGATTTCGTCAGAGCGTACTTTTTAATCAGCGATTTTCAGACAGAGCGTAATTTTTTGATCAGCGATTTTTAGACAGGTCACTTGGTGAACTAAATCGACGGGGTCACAAAACGCGCTTGATACTCGTCATTGTCAAAGTCCGATTTCTCGTTCTGATTTTACCCTACCAGCTTTCTCGGGTCTATGGTTTATTATGAATGATTTAATCAGGTAATGTCCGTAATGCCTTGAAAAATCTCCAACTCAATCTGTAATGGACGTTATGTAATCAGATCTAAGATGAACTTGGTTGTTTTAGTTAGTGAACCGCTCAATGGAGATTCTTCTGTGGCAGACATCCCAACGAGTAATTCAATATTTGCAGTTCTTCATTTGCTCAAGCAGATGACCCTGGGAGGCGAAGTTCACTTGGGAAGACAAGTTCACTTTTTCAAGACTAAGTTCACGTGTCATTATTATTTCGAAAGAGTTTCTTAACAGATAAGTTTCGAAAAATGTTTTCAGGCCAAAAAATCACTTTTTAACTGTTAGTGCCATCTTCACCGCCGTCTCAAACCGAGTCGAACGGTATATGTATCGCTTGAAAATTCTAGAGTTTCGGGTACTTCCGGTCAGATTTACGAAATTCTAGTATTCCACTGCCGTTTTTGATACAGAAATGGTACTATGGCATATAGCATGTCAAAATGACCGCTAGGACGTGAGGAGTGCAGGGGTCTCAAAAATAAGTACTTTTGCAAAGAAAAGTACCTAAAAATAATTATTTTGTGATTTTTAGCACTAAAAATATCAAATTTCAAGAAATTTTCGATTGAAATGTAGTTTTCTTTGTAGATTTATTTATAAGAGATAAAACTTGATTATCCATCTGCTTTCTGCTCGAAAAATAAATAATTGATATTTTAAGTGCTAAAAATCACAAAATAATTATTTTTAGGTATTTTCTTTGCAAAAGTACTATTTTTTGAGACCCCTGCACTCCTCACGTCCTAGCGGTCATTTTGACATGCTATATGCCATAGTACCATTTCTGTATCGAAAACGGCAGTGGAATACTAGAATTTCGTAAATCTGACCGGAAGTACCCGAAACTCTAGAATTTTCAAGCGATACATATACCGTTCGACTCGGTTTGAGACGGCGGTGAAGATGGCACTAACAGTTAAAAAGTGATTTTTTGGCCTGAAAACATTTTTCGAAAATCATCACATCGAGAATTTTCTTTGTTAGTGGCAGCGGAAATGAACTGAAATCAACTATGATTTTGTCCTACCGGGCAGAAGGATAAGCCCGTGCCACCCACAATAGGTCGCGCGGGGGAGACATTACCTCACCCTTTTCAAAAAGAAACTCTACTGGACTTAGAGCCTAGTATCAATCATGGAGAAAAGCGTCACTTTCTGTTGCTACTACTGCCGGAGAAACGAGACCGTCTTGTCAAAACGCTTAAATTATTCTGACAGTATTTTGGAACTTCTTTATAAATTTATAAGGAATATGACTTGTGAACCTAAACAACTCGGAAAATGAACTTTGGGAATGCTCCTGCATGAACTTAAGGCTATTACAGTATAAATATGGGGAGGAGGCACGAATCGACAATTTGGAAGGATCTGTCATTGAGTCAATTTCTTGGGTTAATCCTTGTTGATTTCAAAATGACAGTTTTTCACAACAGTGAGGTTAAAATTTCATGTTTTCAAGGTTGATCCCGAAGGCGAAAAAAGAGAAATTCATAGAATCAATGTTTATTTGATTATTGAAAATGAAGGTCATTTTCTAGTCTGATGCAGCTTGAAGAAGTCTGACAATTCCGAGGAAGAGTCGACAGATTTGAACATACAGAAGACACGCAGCAAAGATCCACAAGTTATCGATGCTATCTGCGCCCATATCGTCGGCAGCCTCCTGCAAAAAGTCGGCGAAGAAGATCATTCGTAAGAAAAACATCATCCAAGTCATGATACCGACGATGAAGGCCAAACTAAAAATTTTCAAGAAAAGCCTTTCAAAAAAAAACTTACATAGCGCAAACGTAGACAATTTCAAATCCAAGAATCCACCACATCAAGAATCCGCAGGGAATGGTCAGCACAATTTGAATTATGAGCATGAGTTTGAACTGATTCTCCATGTCCATCAGCCAGTTCAACGCGATGCAGATCAGCAAGCAAATCAACACGCCATACAAAGCAGAGGCAACAATTTGATTCGCAGCGAGTTCCTGGGGACTGTTAGGTTGGCAACCTTTCGAACACATCGAAGCAGAGACGTACACAGCGCAAAATCCAGTAAAAGCACTAGAATTTTTAAAAAAGAAGAGTTTTATATCTTTTTTTACCCAATGATATTCGTAAGAACAATGAACGATATATAGCATTTTGGAGCTTCCGTTAGCAGCTGAGGTTTGAAGAAAAAGATCAAAATGGCGAAAATTACGAGCAAGAAGGCAACCAACATGACCCACCAATTTGCGGAAAGAGCAGAGGCAACCCAAGCTTTCAGTTTTTCGCTACATAAAAAAAGTTAAAACCTGACGTTATGGACGGCATACTTGTAGGCGAAACCATTGCAGTAAGCCACTAGGACGCTGAATTGAAAGAAGACAGCAACAAGGACTTTCGTGGAGAACCTTGAGCGCCCACGGCGATCGCTTTTAAAAGGGATGAAAATTCTAAAATCGCAAAAAATCTTGCAACAAACCTAAAAAAATCGCTCATTTTCTCGATAAAACTGATGGTATAAAAACCTCTTTCTCAAATTAATCTTCCTCCCAATATTCCTTTATCAAATTTTCTCAGCTGGCTACTTTTCCTAACTCGATCAAATTATCTTCAACCCTTTTCCTGAAATCGTCGTCCGCCATTACTTCTCTAACGCTTCCTTCTTCGCTCATGCGAGTGTTACCAAACTGCAAAAAATCATTAAATAAATTTGTTTTTCATTGTCACTATTTGTCCTATGTCGTAAATTCCATCCATAACTTACTTTTGCCGGGTATTTCTCAAAAAATGTTCCTCTCTTTTATTTTTAGGAAAAAAGAAGGGACGATGAGTCGGATCCAGTTAATGATTATCCACGGTATTTAGCGAAGGCAAATATCCGAAAGCTGTAGTCATATGTCGAATTTGAAATTTTTACGAAGCGCGAATTCCATTTGCAAACAAGGCAAAGCCCTGAATAATGGTAAGGGGCCCATATTTATGGCAAAAAGAAGAAAACAAGAGTTTTTCTCTGCCGCTCAGTCAGTAATCTGGAATCCAGATGAAGGTTCTTGTTTATTTCTCTTGGTTGAAGAGAAATTTCTTGATCATTTATAAATTCGATCGCTTTTCGAAGACGATCCTGGCATTCAATAGCTTTATGTGGTCCCAAACTTGGTCATCCGGAGCCGAAGTATTCGTCTTTATTTTCAAATTTGCCAAAGAGCTTTCAACGCTCAACTCGCGCAAGAGATTAAAAAAACGGTAGACGCATGTTATGTCTCCGAACGTCCCGAATGTCTCCGAATGTCCCCGAATGTCCCGAATGTCCCCGAATGTCCCGAATGTCTCGAATGTCCCCGCCATTTTTCTCAAAAAAAAATAAAAAAAAAACGGCTAAAAATCGAAAAATCAGTTACTCTATTTTCCGCGATTTCATCAAATAAAATTGTTTATAAAATCCTTGTTTACCCGTTGCGCGTTGCCAAACCGCCCTGTTTAGCTTGGACGACTGGCGCTTACCGCTGCATTCCAAGTATTCGGTGCTTCGTCTCAATCCGATAAAACCATGAGTCCCGGCTTCTCCCGCCATATCACAATATCTGAAGAGATAAGGGATAGCATCACACTGCATTTTATAACATCATGAAGCTTTTCGCCGCCATCCTCCCAGCCGTCATCCTTGCTCAGGACGATTACGACTACGAAGAGCGAAAGAAGAAGACCCAGAACTACGGAGTAAGTACAGTCATCTGAGAACTAAAAACCAAATGTAATGTGAAAAGATAAAACAAGATTTTTAATCTTCATTTTACATAAATATTAAGGGAAACAACAACTACAACAACAACTACAACAACAACAACAACAACAACAACAACTACAATGCCTACGGTGATCCCCACTTCATGGTCCACACCGAAGGCCAGGAGTCTGTCTGCTTCGACTACACCCCATCTCCCGACACCGAGATGAACCTCCTCATCGATCCTTCTTCCTCCCTCTCCGTCACCGCCCACGCCACCAAGGACGAGAACGATGGAAAGACCCGAATGACCACCATCAACTTCTCCTCTCCCCAGGGTGCCCACCTCGCCTTCAACCTCGACGGTGTCCACCACTCTGGCATCGGCGCCGCTGGCCCAACCGAGCCAGATGCTCTCACCGGCGTCCAGACCTACGGTGACATCAACTTCATCGTCCACCACCACAACGAGATGAACCACCAGTCCGTCAAGGTCTACATCCAGAACGGCCCAACCTTCACCGTCAAGATCTCCAACCACCACGGCGGTCTCAACTTCGCCGTCGATGACCCAACCAGCATCTCCGACTCTGCCCGAGGTCTCCTCGGTGGTTTCATCCGACCCAACGCTTACCACGTCATGCCCCTCAACACCATGACCGACGATGATGAGCCAATGGCCAACGTTGTCATCAACAAGTTCGCCGTCTCCGCCACCAAGGGTGACTTCCACAAGACCGACAACTGCTGGATCGTTGATGACGATGAAGTCGCTCACATGCTCGCTAATCTTTAAATTAATGATTTCCGATTTGGCTTCTTTATCCCATAAATGACTGTATGAATTTTCGCCGTTTTCTGTGCATGTTCATATACGATATATAACATTTCCTCTTCGAAAAATTGTGTGTCGAGTACGTGTATGAGATGAAATGATTGAAACATTGAAATACAGACTCGCATTTGGAAACAAACAGTTGTTTATTGAATGTATTAGGGCAATGGTTCTACAAAAAAAGCTTCTTTTTTAAGTCTTTTTGAAGATCAAATTGAATCAACTTCATAAGAAGGTCGTCTTCTGCGTTCTCTCGTTGTAACCATTTCAGAAATGAGATAGGATTTGATTTTTCTCGAGAACGTATATGAGAAAGGTCCCTTAATCTAAATATTGTTCTAGAATTTTTGCTGAAAAAAGGCCGAATCACCCGCTAGTTGTGATGAGATTATTTTCAAGTCGATTCATTCCGAGAAGATCGCGTTTGAGAATGTTCATTCCCGCTGTGAAGGCAATTAAAAAGTAGAGTTTCATTGATTCTTAGTTTTTGATGCCGATTGTCTGCTCCGTTGGTTTATAAAATAATTTTTTCGATGGCTGTTGACATCTTCTGACGCTGTTTAAAGCGTAGGGAATATCAATAATTGAATTCAAAAAGGAGTAGAATGATGATTTAATATCAATTTGGAACGATGTGATTATTATCTTTCTTCGGCGGATTCAAATAGTACTTGCTCAGTTGTTGTTTGGCAGACGCAATATTGAAATTGAGACTAATTTTTTTTCAAATAGATTCAATTTCAATGTGAATAAACAGTGCACAACTAATTCTCTTTCAACTTTCTTTATACGAGAAGCCATTTTTATTTTTTTCTTCTTATCATAAAATAAGATAATGCGAAACATGAGCCAAGCGCATGATAGAAATCGGAGATCTTTTCAGCAAGCGATGAAATTATACGCTGACATTTGTCCGGCGATTGCCAACAGAGATTATATAAACGACTTGCGGGCAACGCGAACATAAAGAGATTTCGGTTGCAATGAAGCTTGGAGGTAAGCTACATATTTAACGTCATTTTCTTTCATCTATATTATCAAGCTGCTCTTTTGGGCCGGTCTCTCGCAGCCGAGACATGTTCTGCTCGCTGTGACGGTGGGGAGACCTCTGAAAACGCGCTTTGCAATGCTGAGCCTTGTTCGGTCTACACTGACGGATCAAATGTATTTGGCGATGGAGGCACTTTTGACTCCCTAGAGAGCTGGATTTGCTCAGCCGGATGTTCAATGGAACTTGTTCAGCCCGGGTATTACTCTGACAACGCTGTTTTTGTCTCTGGAAGGGGCGTTCAGGGTTCCGCAGTATCTATGGATATTGATGGTGATTTGCTGTCAAATCAGGTTCTATTAAATTGCTCAAGTACTTTTTCAACTGTAAATTAAGGACTATAAAGGCCGTGTTTTCTTCAAGCCTGCTGCTGGCAACGAAGCTGGTACTGTCAAAATGATGGTTCGAAATCAAAAGAAAGTCGACAGCTCAAATCGATGGAGTCAACTTTCAAGTACTATTGATGTCCCTGCTGGAACTGAAGACTCAAGTTGGATTCCTGTGGATTTTAATTGGAACCCACGGGACTCTGTCAGCGGATCGCCTCAGAACTTCATCTATCGGCTCTATCTCCTGTATGTCGGAGAAAACGGCCAGTTTGGGGACTACTACCAGGATGAGTCCTTCATTGTTCCAGCTGCTGATCTGGTTTCATTTACATCTCTGATTACTGATGGCGACTTTGAAGCAGGAACGAGTATGTGGTACGCACCAACTGGCTCAGAAGTAACTTACATGAGAGAAGACAACGGCAACACTTATCTTCTACATCATGGCAGAACCGGAAGCTGGCAAGGACCGATTCACGATCTTGAAATCACGCCGGAACTGTTATCTCAAGATATTGAAGCGACATGGCGGGTCAAATCGACTACTTCTGAGCAAGTTAGTCTCACTGGTAAAATCGACGTCACCCTCTCCGATGGCACCACTGTCAATCTTCTTATGCCGGGTTGTTCCGTTCCTGGAGGCGATTGGATGAAAGCAAGTGGAATGGTCAACATCGGGAAAAATGTAGAAGATACTTCTCAGGTAACGAAAGTAAGCTTCAAGCTTAGTGGTCCAGCAGCAGGAGTTGACATTTCTCTCGACGATGTGGACATCCATTTCTACTCTGATGATAAGTCCTGGGAGACAGCCGCCGACAAGAGAATTAATGCTTATCGAAAATCAAATGTTCTCATGAATGTTAATGTTCCAAACGCGAGCAAGGTTAAAGTAAAGATGACAAAGAACGCCTTCATGTTCGGTGGGATGTGCGACAAAGACATGCCAAATGTCCTCGACGACTTTGAGAACGATTTCTTTGAGCTTTTCAATGGTGGTGTGATGCGAAACGAAATGAAATGGTATCACAATGAGCGATTAATGGATGTGTACAACTATGTCGACGCAGATTACATGATCGACCTCTTCGAACAGAAAAATGCGACGCTTCGGGGCCACGCAGTCTTTTGGTCCGTCGACAAACACGTCCAGCAATGGGTTCAAGACATTACCGACATGGCACTTCTTGAAGAACGAATGATGATGCGAACTGAAGACGTCATCGGCAGATATGCAGGACGAATCCCTAACTGGGACATTTTCAACGAAGTTGCTCACGGCGACTATTTCAGGCGAAATTTACCAGGTGGAGACGCAATCTGGAGTAAAGTCATGGACCGCATGCTCGAAATTGATCCCAATGTTGACCTCGTCTTCAATGATTACCAACTCAACACGGGTGATTTCAGTGAGTGTTTTCTTGATGTCACCTCTTCTATCCATCATTATCTCAGTCATTATGGGGTCCAGTCGCACACCAAGAATCCTCGACCCCTTGCTATTGATCAGCGAATGAATGTGATGGCTGGAAAGAATCTAGAAAATCGTCTGCTGATCACTGAATTTGACAACGAAGAAGTCGATGTCGATCGAAGAGCAGAAGAACTCGGTGATTTTATGAAAATGACCTATTCTCATCCGAATGTCGACGCCATCATTGTTTGGAGCTGGCTTCGAGAAATTCAGAAACCAGATTGGCATCGCGCCATGTTTGAGTCAAACGTAGAAGGAATAGAGACTCAAAACCCGATAATCCCAAAACCTGATGTTTGCGATAAATTCAACGTACTCTGTAACTATCCGCTAAACCCAAACGCCGCGGGTTACAGATGGCTCGAACTCGTCAAGAACGAATGGAATACAACTTCTGGCCATGCGAATACCCCTGAGCTGACACCAGCGCTTCTCGCTGATGAAGGTGTCAGTCTCTTCAGAGGAACTTATGATGTCACTGTTTATGACGCATCAGACAACCTTCTCCACACACAGACAATTCACGTGACTGATCACGATGCTTGCAAATCGCTTACAAGAATCAACTTTGAAAGTCTGGCGGAGATCGAAGCACTTGCACCGTCTCTCGTCATGATGGGAACGACCACCACTCCTGTAATTGAAGAAATGGCCGGATGGGTGAAGAATGCTGTCAGAATCACTGGTCGAACAGCACCGTGGAATAACATGGCTCTTGATGCGTCACTTTTGCCTACTGGAGCTGAGATCTTCTTCGGCGGCGCTTTTCGAATCGTTGAACCTCTTGATGCTCCTGTATCCGCTTTCATTACTGTCAAACGGATGAAAGATGATGGAAGCTGGGCTTACTCCCAAATCGATCGAATAGAAATCCCAGCTGAAGAAGTCAACGACTGGCACACAATCGGAGGAGCCCACACCATCCAAAACGGCGACGATAAAATTTACCTCGTTGTCAAGGACTACATCGGTGATCTCCTCGCAGATAGCTGGTATGCCGACAATCTTGCCGACTACAAAGCTTGCAACGAGAACACTTTCACCATCGAAGATACTGGATCGCCGCCAGATCCATGCGCCGATGTTACCTGCGGCGAAAACGAAAGTTGCGTCGATGGAACTTGTGAGTGCAGCAATGGCTTTATTTTTGATGAATCAACGCAGACATGCGTCGCCGATTCAACGTATTCCTTCACTTCTTCTTTCGGAACAACGTTCAAAGGAGAAGTAACTGACGCTGGAACCGTCCACTTCAAGGGTATTCGATACGCCGAGTCTCCAACTGGCGATCGTCGATGGAAAGGCCCACTTGCCACGACGACTTATCCGACTGAATACGACGCTACTCAGTACGCGCCAAAATGCATGACTCGCGGCTGGAATGCAAACAGCCCCACTGCTGATGAGACAAGTGAAGATTGCTTGTTCGTCAATGTAATGACAAAATCAGAATATATCGAAAGCGGCGAGAAAAAGCCCATTATGGCGTACATTCACGGTGGCGCTTATAATTTCGGAGATGGTCGAGTCGAGTATAACAATCTTGTCCTTGATCAGGGAGTCATCTACGTCTCGATCCAGTACCGACTCGGCCCATATGGATTCCTTTACCATGAAGGTGCGGATACACCCTACAATGGAAACTGGGGATTACTCGATCAAAATGTCGCGCTTCAGTGGATTCAACAATTTGCTGGCGAGTTCGGAGGTGATGTCAATCAAGTAACTTTGAACGGCTGCTCTGCTGGTAGTGCTTTGACCTGGTGGCACTTGACCGTGCCAGAATCCTGGCCACTCTTCCATCGGGCGATAACAAACGGTATCGGCGCATATGCCAGTTTTGGAAACAACTCCGACATTGAGATCAGCAAGGGCTACGTCGACTACACCATGGATCAAGTCGGCTGCAGCAATATCGCGTGCCTTAGATTAAAGACTCCATCCGAGCTCAACACGCATTTTACTGACGCCATCAAGCAAGTTTACAATCCAACGAAAATGTACTTGTCGCCAGGTTTTGCTCCTGTTGTTGACGGACTCATCAAAACGAAATCAACCCTTGAGTCGCTTCTTGCAGGAGAGATTAGGCCTAATACTCCTATTTCTTGGAATTACGCTCGGGATGATGCCTGGGGAATGGTCGATGGCGCATTCAATGATGCTACTGATGTAACTTCTAGATATGAGTTCATTCTGACATAACTTTTTTCTAGAGACTCGACGTTTTTGCTGGACGAGAAGACGAAATCTCCGCTGCTCAATCTGCATCCGGGTTCCATGTTCCTTCTGATTATTCCGATCAGATCCTCCGAGCCATCTATGGAGACGCTCATTTCACCAACCATCTCCAAAGCACTTTTGGCTGTTCTGATGTTGACGGTGTCGCTCAAGATTGCCAAGACGCACTAAGCAGATTCGGTGTTGCTCACACTTGGACTTGCAACACTCAATACGGCTTTACTGGCGAGGCTCTTACCAATCCCGATATCGGACCAATATACCCCATGGAATTGAGCTACAAAACTTGCGAAAATAACGATCAAAATGAGAAAACGCGAACTTGCCACTGCGCTGATAACCAAATGATCATGGGCAATCAAATCATCGGTCCTTGGCTTCCAGAAGACGAGCAGTTTTTCAAACTCGGCATGCGCAACTACTGGGGTGAGTTTATCAGGACAGGTACTTTCCCAACAGGGGATTTCGGAACGATGAAACCAATCACCGAGTTGAATGGCGATCTGAACTTGATCGACATCACCGGAATTCGACAAGAACCAGCCTATGCCGAAGAATGCGCCGCTTTGAACGCTCTTGCTGACGAGATCGGCTACCTTGAGCTTTACAACAATGGATATTTTCACGTGGATGAGCCTGAGAACCCAAACGAATTCTCTTTCACAACTTCTGACGGAACAACTACGTTCACTGGAGAAAAAACAGCTTTCGACAACATCCATTTTAAAGGGATCAAATTCGCAGAAGCTGAACGATGGGCGCCTCCAGTCATGAAGACCAGCTACCCAGCTTCTGTTGACGCAACAACCTACGGTGCTGCCTGCATGAATGCTAACTGGACTCCAAATACCGCGAGCCCACCTGAGTACTCAGAAGATTGCCTCTTCATCAACGCACACACCAAGGCCGAATACATCCAAAACGGAGAAAAGAAGCCAATTTTGATCTTTGTGCATGGCGGTGGTCTACAGGGCGGAAACGGCTACGAAGAATTCGATGCGCTGATCTCCAACGAAGAAGTTGTCATGTTCTCTATTCAGTACCGAGTTGGCCCGTATGGATTCATGTACAATCACGATTCAGTAGAAGAACACAAGGGCAACTGGGGATTCCTCGATCAGCAGATGGCGCTCGCTTGGGTTCAACAATGGGGAGGTGAGTTCGGAGGTGATGTTGATCAAGTGACAATAGCTGGCTGCTCCGCGGGCGGTCAATCTATTTGGTGGCATCTCACCATGCCCAGTTCCTGGCCATACTACCATCGAGCAATTACAACTGGAATCGGTGTCGGCGGCACCTGGAACACTACTGCTAATTTGGAAGTGAATAGAATGTACAACGAGTACGTTGCGTTGCAAATGGAATGTGAAGACATCGATTGCCTTCGAACAAAAACACCAGAGGAACTCAATCCTCTCTTCAAAGCTGCTCCAAGCATGTTCTTGTTGGACGGAATCTTCCACGACGCTCAGTATGGTCCGCAAGTGGACGGAGTTTTGAAGAGCAAGACGAATCTCGAATCGCTCTACGCTGGAGAAATCAGGCCCAACACGCCGATTTCCTGGAATTACAACAGGGATGATGTTTGGAACCTCCTCGACGGTGAATTTGCTAAAATGGTCACAGTAAGTCAAATGAATATCTCCAATGGTAAAAACTTTCAATTTTTAGCGTCTTGATGAGCTAAAAGACAAGCTGGACGATCTTGAGGCACTTCAGATTTCTTCTGGCTTTGAAGTCCCATCAGATTATACCGATCAAATGCTCCGAGCTTCCTATGGCGATGAATTCTTCGCCACTTACATTGAGCCTGTTTTCAGCTGCCCTAATAGAGAGAATGGTGAAGTCGTAGACTGCAAGCCAGCGATGAATCAATTCCAAAACGCTCAAAAATGGAGCTGCAACACGCAATTTGCTCTTTCGGGCGCGCCAATGACCGATCCTAACATCGGTAAAAACGGATATTGTAAAATACGCTTCAATGAATTCAGGGCCTATCTATCCATTGGAGCTTACTCACGAAAACTGCGTCTCTGACACTCGAGTCTGTCACTGCCACGACAAATTTATCCTCTTTGGAAAAGCGGCGATCTACCCTGGACTTGGGGATAAAGAGATTGATTTCCGAACCGCTAGTCGTGAATACTGGGGCGAATTTATCAGAACAGGGACCTTCCCGAATGGACATTTGGGCGAAATGAAAACGATCTCAGAATTGAATGGGTAAATTTATGAAAGAGAATTTTTTTTCCTTAGTACAATAATTCTAGTAAGTTGAATTTGCTCGACGAAGACGGAATCGTCCATGACTATGCGTACGAGCAAGAATGTGCAGCTCTGAATGCTCTTGGAGACGAAATTGGACATCTTCGAATGTACCAGAACGGATACTACCACAAATATGACCAAGGTAAGTTAAAATTAACGAATTATATGAACAGCGATTCATATGAATTCGAAAATAACAGAACAAATATATTTTCTAATGAAGCTTTTCCATCTTTACTGCTGAATAAAACTCTATTTTCGCACAAAAGATGCTTCGAAATGTCAACTTTTTTCATCTCAAAAGGTCATGCTTTCATTAATCATTTGCATATTTATTTCTTATCGAAATCGCATTCTCGAGCAGGTCATTACATGTTTTTTCAGTTAAAGAATTCAACGAAATCCTAATATCTTCCATTTTTTCGTCGATCTTCGCAATATTAGAAGAAATCTCGACAGGGACTTGCATTTTCTGTACGTTTAAAATTACCATCGTCGCCGTCAGAATCCCCTGAATCAAAGATTTTCATCAAGTTCAAAGCAAAAGGGCTTGTACCTTTGCTTCGCCGAGCGTTTTCGTCAGTTTTGCGGCAGTTTCAAAACCAGAATTGAACCCTTTCTGCATCTCTTCCTCCGCATTCAATTCCATTCCAAGTTTGAAGCTTTCTGTTTTGATTTGATTTTCATGCTTTTTCGTTGTCAGACGCATCACTTCATCGTCGTTTGCTTCTTCGTCCCAAATATCGTCCATATTGATTTTTTCTGAAGTCTTTTCTTATCTATCAGGATGAGATATTGACATAAATTGAAGATCATGCGAAATTGGAGTACAAGAAAAAGATGAAGAAAGGTTATCTCAAAGAAGTCGAAAAAAGGAGGGTTTGATAAAGTTTTTGCGCGTATTTGAAATGTGTAATCGTTATTGAGGAGGTCGCTAAAAGTGGCACGGTATGGTAAGTACGATACTTAAGTAAGTTACTAAAGTAAATACAAATACAAAAAAGACAACGTAAAAGAGAATGATGAAGAGAGAATTATGTTCAGTTCTTTGACTTCGACGTTGAAGAATGAAAAACGGGAGAGGCTGCCATCAGCTGTTCGATGTATTTTCCCAAGACTTCGTTTTCTGACCTAAAAAACGAACTACTCTCAGTATTCCAGACTTTGACGGACCTGAGTCGGATATTTTCATCTCTAACAGACTCGACTCGCTGGCTTAGATCTTCAAGGGTATTTTGGAGTTCTAGTATTTGCGTTACGAGCGCTTCTTTCTGCGTTAATTCACCAGGTGTTCCTGCAGAGCTCATTCTTTATCTGAACAAAGATATCATCTCATATGGATGGACACAGGTTTATTTCAGTAATTCAATAAGTTACAGTAGGTGAAAAGCAGTCTTAAAAGTCAGTTACGCGGCCCTTTCGCTCCCAGTCGCCAAATCTTGTTGGTTCAACGCCACCAGGTCCTCCCCGTTCGCCAGTTTCTGGGTTTACTAAAAATTATTTGAGAAAATTTCCCTTTGGGACGAAAGTTACCTCCACCAGGGTGCTTCTGAATAGGCGCTTCTTCCATGTAAAGCTTTCCCTTTTGACTAGCTGGCATTCTTCTAACCGCTTCAAGATCGGCTTCAGTCTTGTCGTCGAACTTTCCTTTTGGGTTGACTGGAGGCCTAGCGGAAGTGGTTTTTGCGCGAACGATCAGTTTTGCCGGGTTAAGGGCTCGTTTCAGCATTCTATGAAGATCTTTGTATGTCAATTAATTTCTAGAGATGTCTAGGGATGTATCCTTGAAAGATGAATTGCGGGACAGAATTTGAAAAATTAAAAACTAAAATATGATAAAGTTTCAGTAGCATTTAATAAATTCTAAAGGCCGAGCTGTGCTCGGGCAGCTTTTTGGATGTCCTTGGGGAGCTTCCAAAGTTTGTGATTTCCCGACATTTGCAGCTTGATATCGAGTTCGATTGGGTCCGAGCAGATGAATACGTAAGGAGCTTTGCTGCTACCGTCGGGGTATTGCACTCTGTAGTCTTTCTGTAAGAAGAAGCATAAAAATTGAGCGTTGAAAAGAGAAAAGGTACCTGAGTTAGACAATCGTCGACATTCACAAAGCCCAGAAGGGAGCTGATCGGCCAGTCAAGATCCTTTCCTTCCGGATGATCTTTCAAAACATCGTCCAGGGTTTCTTGATCAGCATGCCGAGAGGAAGAATGAATCCAGAGCCGACCACGATGGTTTGTCGGCCAGACGCGGCCCTCGTGGATTTTTATTCCCTTGATGAGGAGAGATGCCCACGGCTGATGCATGGTCAGACAAGTGCCAGTGTCGGACATTTCGCTCAAACGGGCGTCTTGAATTCGTGATCTAAAAACGTAAGGTCTTCTCGGCGGAGTCTCTTTTTACCTTTTAGCTTTCTTTTCCTTAGCAGGTCCATTTTCCTCCTTCTTTTTGAAAGTATAAGTTAAGTTGTTGTTTCCCAAATCTTCATTGAACAGAAGCAGTTCTTTATTATTCCTTTTTTCGACTACAACTTCTTCCACTTTGTTTTCTTCGATAAATTCGTCCAAGGTCTGTTCTTCCATATCTCCGCTCTCCAAATTGAGGCTGAATTTTTGGTTCATTCGTGATCCAAATCGATGCTCTCGGATTTTTTCTTCGTCCACTCCTCTATAAATAAAATGGTCAGAGCAGAATTTTAAAGCAGTATTTTACTTGTAGTAATCCGTTTCATCGTCGACAACTTCTGTTCGTTTCGCCGAATTGCGATCAAAATCCAACAAACGATCCTTTCTAGCGAGCGCTTTTTTCAAGTTCTCGTCGGTGATGTAGGCCACGTCTGGATAGAGAACTTCTTTGCCGCAGAAGAGACAAGGACCTTCGCCTTCTTGCTCGCAAACGATTCTACCGCAAGCAAGACAATTGTTGATAAGCTCGTGTTTTTGGGCTTGGCAATCGCAGACGTTCCTTCCTTAGGAAGAATAAGAGATCATTATCGAATAGAAATAATTAAGCTACCTGGCATGAGGAAGCCTCCATCCTCCGCTTCATCCAGCGTTTTAAACTTTCTTCTTTTCTCCTTTTTCCGCCGTGGTTTCGGCTTGTACGCTTCTGGCATTTGAAACGATTCATCCTCCTTCGGCAGGTTTTCTTCCGCCTTCTTTGAATCACTCGGCGGTTCTTGCGCTGGCTGGACTGGCGGATTCTTTGGTCTTCCCTTTCGACGAGTTTTCGCCTGGCCAGTTCGTTTGTCAACGATTTTCGGGGCGTCGGAATAGGTTGTGCCGAAGAGGGATGAAGCGAGTTGAGCAGCTGATTGGACCTGTGGCTCCGAGGAATTGCTGGGAGGAGTTGGGGTTGCTTGAGAGCTTCTTTCTTGAATCGGCGAATCCCTCCCGTTCAGCTGCCCCGGGAGCGCACTATCTTGAAGCAAAATATTTCTCCCTTTCTTGTTTTTCTTTCCTCTCCCTCCTCCCCCTCTTGGCGCTGAATTTTCTTGCTTTGGTGCACTCTAGCTATTGGGTCGGGAACAAATTATGCTGGATCGAACTCGAAAAGATCTTACGAAATCTACGGATGTGTTTTTAACTTGCTTCGTGCCGACCCATCCCTGACCAAATTTTCTTCGGACCAATTCGTCGATGAATACTTTTTGCTCGCCGAAAAGTTCGGAACAGTATTTTCGAAGAGCAGCTTCTGAAGGTTGATTTTCAATCGCCTTTCTTTGGCTTTAAACTATCATTTTCAGAGATATTTTTTAATTACAACAAAAGTAAAAAGCCTTTCCGAAATAAGTCCAGCATCCGAGAATCCAAGCAGCGTTTCCATCTGATGAGCCAGCCATTGTCTCATCCTTTCTTTTTCTCTTTCTTTTCGAGCAAATCTGAAATGAAAAAAAAAGAAAAAGTGGCTGGTTCGATCCTTCGAGAAAGGGAAAGTTCGCGAGTCGGGGCGCCAATTGGCCAGAAGTGGAAATTATATCAGATTTTTGTAAAATTGAAGAGAATTGAAAAGAAGACTGTGTTTAGCAGAAGAAACTACTTTTTTTATACAGGTAATTGAATAATTTGAAAATATTTTTTTCAATTTTTAAGAAAAGGATTTCTATTTGCTAAAAAAAGATCTGCATGTAGATGACCTTTTCAACCTCTTCTGATAAGTCATTATTAAATGACTTCTATTAACAAATTAGATAAATAATATAATATGCGAACTAGGGCACCCTCGCGCGAAGAAAAGCGGCGAACAAGGGCACCCCTTTCTTTAGCTTATTCAGAGTAAGTTATTTTCGTTTTCAGGTAAAAAATGTCTCCCCCTCCAAATTTCCACAACCCTCGAAAATGGGTTCGCTCGGAACCCACAAACAACGCGATAAAAACCAACACCAAAATCGTCAAAAACCAAGTCGCCAAACCAAAAAAGGGCCCAGTCGCCTCTCCCTCTACACTTCGCAAAACTTTCAAGAAATGGATCAACTCTCTTTGAAATGAAGCTGGTCTTTTTCACGGCGAATTAATCGGATCCCTGAAAAGCCAGACAATCGAATATACTGTCGCTATTTCAATGCTACAGGGATTTGTCGAAATCACAAATATTGCAAATTCGAACACGATTTTTCCCGAGTTAAAATTTGCCCAGAGGTAATTATTGATGATTCTTATAATTGATTAAACTAAAATTCGTTTTCAGTTCATAAGACGCGGAGAATGCGAAGCCCCAAACTGCAAATTACGCCATGTGATCGACCCCCATACGATGGAGCATTGCGTCCATTTCACAAAAAGCACTTGCTCCAAAGGCAAGAAATGCCCCTTTCCGCACGTCAAAGTCGCCGAGAACGCGAGAGTGTGCATAAATTTCCAACAAGGATACTGTGCCAAAGGGCTTGAGTGCAGACTGAGACATGAGAGGAAAAAGAAAAAGGACAAGGAAGATCAGAAAGTTATTAATCCTTTGGAAGCGCTGCTGCCTTTCAAGATTCGGATACGAAATAATGAAAATTTAATCGATAACCGAAAAATTTTGTCAAAAGCCGCTTGCGGCTTCGAGCTATTGGATCAATCCATTTCGTATCCGTAAAAAGTCAGAAGCAGAAAAAGAGCAAGAACAGCTCGAGAAAGAAATCTTAGATACAGAAATCCAGACTGGTTGGCGATCGCTATTCGCTGTTCCTAACCAGCCTCTCCAAACTCTCCCGGATATTTCTGAAATGCGGGAGAGCTTGGAGAATCAACCTGAAACGGGGCAGGATGATCCTCTTCCCCCTAAAAAGAAGGAAGAGGAAAAAATCACCCGTCGTTATTTGTCGACGACGAAAGTGATTAAAAATTGCTCCTGGGACATACCAGGATTATGTATGAAACTTCTATGAAAAAACTGGTCAAACCAAAGAATTACTCAGTTCAGCATTTTTCTCTTTTCTCTGCCAAAATTTCACTTATCGCTTCAATTTTTACAACAAGTCAGAGCTAAAACAAGGTCTTTACTATTTTACTTTTAGATTGTTACAGTAAAATACAGTGAATAAATGGCCAATACAGTGCAGCTTCCAGGAACACAGTTAGGCCTCGATGAAAATGTCAGAATCGGACCAGGGTTGAAACGAAATCATTACGATGGCAGTATTCATGTCACAGAGGTTTGTACTTAACCAATTGTTGCGTTTTCAATTTTCTTACCATGCTTTCTTAGTCTGGAGTTGTGCGAGGCCTGAACAATTTGGCATGGATGGAAGGTGCGCGAAAACGCTACATTCCTGTCAAGGGTGACTTGGTCCTTGGAGTTGTGACGCACAAACATCCGGATTACGTACGAGTGGATATAAATGCTCCGGAACTGGCGACTCTTTCCGCATATGCCTTCGAATCAGCGACGAAAAGAAATAGAGTGGCAATCAATATTGGCGATTTAGGTACTTATCTTTTTGCAACTGACGCTTAATGAAATGAACGACTTTATTCTAAACGATAGGCCGCTTACCGGCTCAGAAAAGTCTCATATAAATAATTTTAGTCTTCGCGAAAGTATCAGTAGCGCTGCCAGACTTGGAGCCGGAAATAGTTTGCTGCAACATGCGAACAGGCAAAGCCGATGGAATGGGAGTCATTCAAACGCAAAAGTTTTCGAACTCGATTGTTGTGAATTTACAAGCGGCGAGAAAGGCCCTCTCGCCCGAAAGTGTCTTTGGAAAAGGTATGAAATTCTTGCCTTTTTCAATTGAAAAAAAAACCTTTTTTAGCAATTGGAAAACACGGGCCATTCGAGTGGTGTATTGGCGTCAATGGACGAGTTCTAGTCACGACGCAGAAGATGAAAATGACGACCCAAATCTGCCGCATTTTTCCTCTGATAACTTTTCTAACGAATGCTCAAATTGAAGGACTTGTTGATACTGCGCTTAGACCATGAAGAAGACGAATAATCGCCCAGATCTTTCGATAAATCATTATTTTTTTCAGAATGAGCAGCGAGAAAGATTCACCGAAAGATCGGTCTTCGGAGAAAATCGGGAAAGTGCGCACCTCGATTCTAGCTCCATTGAAGAGCAGAAACAGGGGACGAAAGATGAAGATACAGCTGAAGGAAGATCGAAAAAGATCGGTGCAAAAAGACGAAAATGATAATCTAGCGAAAGTAAGCAAGAACCAACTTGCCGCTTTGGAGAAAGAAGATCAGCCTTCGACTTCTCAAGTTTCAGGACTGACAGAAAAAGCATTCAACCAGAGGTAAGATGTAGTGACTGGGAAGTCAATTGTGGCTTCGAAATCTCAAGCTGACCTTTGCGCGGCTTCTCCATACTTTATGGACGAAGACCCAAGCGGGTTTTCGGTGGAGGCAACACTGATAGGAGCCCTCTTGTTCGTACGGGGACTCCCCGTCGGGGAGAATGGTGTTTTATATAAATTTCAGCTCCTTCCTAAAAGTTCAACGCGGATGGCAACGATTCAAATTCGGCTGGAGATATTTGGAGGTTCAGAAAACCGAATCGGGGAAAGAAAAAGTAAGCATCTTCGGCCCAGAATCAAAGGAATGGTTAGAATTCGTCAAATTCGTCGGACCACCGCCACAAGAATAAAAGTTCAAAACAAAAAAATGAAACAAAAACAGATACTGTTCTAAAAATATTTTAAAAAGGTGTCTATTTTGCACCACTGCCGCTTCCTGCTGTAGATAAAACTATTCTAAAAGCCTGAATAAACCCATTTTTTGCAAAAACTTCCCTTCATTGATAATAAATCTCAAGAATGCTGAGTTTGGCGCGAATCGGACCAAAACCAAAAGCCCTTTCAAAATGGCTTCTCGGCTCTTTTTCCTGCACCGCGGTTTATCACGGTGCTCTTGCTTCTCAAAAACGCACTGTTCTCGCAAAAACACCTCCTCAACTACAAAAGCGCGAAAACAGCGAAGCTGGAATGACCTGGTCGTCCTTTTGGAAGTATCTTGGTCAACACTGGCTCGGTCTTTTCGGCGCGTTTTTGAGCACCCTCGCCGCGGCGTATTTTAATGTTCAAATCCCCATTTCGATTGGTTCTATCACTTCCGTCATAACAACCATGGTCAATTCTGGCGAAGCAATAAGCTTCAAGGAATACTGGGAGAAAATCAAGGAGCCGGCAGTGCGATTTGCGTTCGTTGTAGCTTCCCAGGCGGCAGCTAGCTTTGCCACGATTTCGATGCTCTCGCATGTGATGGAGGGAGTGGCGGCGAAACTGAGACATGACTTGTTCGATGCGATTCAAAGAGTGAGGCTCAAAAATATTTTCAATCATCGCTAAAGACTCTAGCCTAGGCTGTTTATAGATCTAACATTATTCAAGGCCAGAAGCGGCTTCCGTACTTGTTAAATCGAGCGAATATTTATGTCAGCTCAATTATTCTTGAGCCGAAAAAGGACAGGATATCGAATTCTTTGAGTTTCATCGCACCGGTGAATTATCCAAGCGAATCAACCAAGACGTCCAAGAACTAAAATCAGACGCCAAAAAGCTCCTGAATTCCGGTATCAAGGCCATCGCTCAAACCGCCGGCGTCGTCCAAGTTCTGTACAGCATTTCCCCAACGCTTACCGCCAGTTTGGGCGTCGGTGTCGGTGGAATTGTCACAATCGGAACGATCATTGGAAAGATGCTGAAAAAGCACTCGATTCAGGCAAACAGGGATAGCTCCGCTTGCCAGAATCATTGCTACGAATCGCTTTCGAATATCAAGACTGTTCGGGCGTTTTCTGCGGAAGACACCCATCTGGAATCGTATGATGAACTCGGAGAAGTTGCTAAACGATCAGCAAGAAAACTTGGCTACGGGATCGGCATATTTCAAGGTCTCAGGGTGGGCAAAAGCTGGCTCTGAAACTCTCGCCAAGAGTCTTGGACGGTCTAAGTTGGACCCCTTAATATTAAAATATTAGGCTAGCCTAAACAAGTAGACTTGCTAGAAGATTTTCGCCCACCCAAAGTTAGGCCTTACAAATCTTGCATTGAACGGCCTTGTTGGAGGTACAGTCATTCTCGGGGGCTCAATGGTCGGTTCGAATCAACTTTCCGGTGGAGATCTGATGGCTTTCCTAGCAGCAGTCCAAATGCTCCAGAAATCTCTTGCTACGGTTTCCCAAATGTTGACAGTTTACATGAAAATGAAGATTGCTGGCGATCAGGTCTTTCAGTTCATTACTCTTGAGCCGGGAAAGACGGTGGCGAGTCAGGATGGAAGACGAATTCCGCATTACAAGCTCATGGGAAATGTTTCCTTTGAAGATGTTGACTTCAGGTAAGAAACGGTGGATCCTTAGATGAATTCCCGTCTTTTTAGTTATGCAACTCGCCCAGATGATCCAGTTCTGAACAAATTCAACCTGCAAATGACTTCACATAAGGTGATCGCTCTTGTTGGCGCTTCTGGCAACGGAAAGTCAACAATCGCAGCTCTCCTGGCAAGAATGTACGATCCAAGCGGAGGAAAAATCACCATCGATGGAGTTGATATCAGAAATGTCGATCCGAAGTGGCTCAGAGGCGATCTCATCGGCTATGTCGGTCAGGTAAGTTTTCTACTAAAATCATCAACCACTCAGTTTTTCTAGGAGCCAGCGCTTTTTACAGGAACAGTTGCAGACAACATCCGCTACGGTAAACCAGACGCCAGTGACTTGGAAATTGAAGACGCGGCTCGCCGCGCCAACTGCCACGAATTCATTTCAAACCTGAAAGACGGCTACTTTACGAAGGTCGCCGAGCGCGGATCAAGCCTTTCTGGTGGCCAAAAGCAGCGCATTGCCATTGCCAGAGCGATAATTAAAAACCCCGAGATTTTGATCTTCGACGAAGCTACGAGTGCGCTGGATAATGAGTCCGAAGCTGTTGTGCAAAAAGCGATTGAGGAAAATTTCAAGAATAGAATGGTGCTTATAATTGCTCATAGATTATCAACTGTAAAGAAAGCAGGTGATTTTACTACGTTTTCTGCAAGTTTCCGATATGAAATGTTTGTTTCAGATGTGATTCATGTTGTCGAAGGAGGAAAAATCGTCGAATCGGGCAATCATGAAGAACTGATGCGAAAACGCGGTGTATATTTTAACTTACAAAATCAGCAATCTTCCAAGTGATTATTCATTCATAATTTTAATAAATGAAAGTTAAATCATTCCTTTTTATGATGACGATTTTACGTAACAGCATGCAGAATACAAAAAAGTTCGTTGTTTGCCCTTCAACTGGGCATTTTCGGCCCAAAGGTCGTCAAGGTTATCTTGTCTCAGATATTGTTTGTGAAAGAGAACTTGTGAAATTTTAGCATGGCGTCGGAGTCGACTCAGCTTTTAGGTCAAACTAGGGAGGAGGATAAAAATCACTTTGACTATTTCCGTTTTATCGACATGATAAGTCAAATGTTTTCTTTATCCAAAATAAGTTTAAAGCAACGAAGAATAAAAATCGAGAGAGATATCTTCAGCCAAGAGGAAATCGACGATGCTCAGTTCTCGCCTGAACCTGCACTTGTTTCTTCTCAGATCAAAGATTATTTCTACGGACTCGGGAGAAATCTCTTTCCGCCGCTTGAATGGGTTCCGAAATACAAGAAACAGTACGTAATTGGGGATGTTATAAGCGGACTGACTGTTGCTATGATTCGTCTTCCTCAAGTATTTCCTCTTCATCTATTCGCAGAGGGATGAATATTGATTCTAGGGCCTTGCATATGGACTTCTAGCCGGGCTGGATCCAATAAACGGCGTTTACCTCGAATTCTTCCTTTGTATTATGTACTCGATCTTCTCCACAGTCCCTCAAAACTCCACTGGAACATTTTCAATCATCGCTCTCATGACTGGCGCAGCAGTAGACAAGCAGTTTCCTGCCCTAGCACCGACCAATGGAACTACCCTTGACACTCTCGGTGCAGAACAAATGCCGGAGAAGGTCAAATTTGCCTCAGCACTTGCCCTTGTTGTTGGAATCATTCAAGTGCTCTTCGGTTTATTGAACTTAGGAGCGGTTTCTATCCTGCTAGGTGAGTTTTCACATTGATTTAAATCGATGAAGTTGAATTTAGCAAAACCCGTTGTGGCTGGTTTTACGACTGCTTCTGCCATAATCGTCACATTAGCACAAGCTACTCATCTTTTCGGAATACCGGTCACGCGCTTTTCTGGTTTCGCCAGTCCGCTCAGGACAATCGGATCGATTTTCCAAGGTAAAAACCTAAATCAACCACGAAAGTCTCCGAGAATGGATTCACTTTTACTAATAAAACTCCAAGGTCTGGCTGGGGGAGTAAATATGCCAGCTTGCATCATTTCTGCCGTCTCCATTCCTTTTCTTTACTGCTCAAAACTCGCCGCAATTAAATACAAAGAAAAGCTCAAAGGCTATCCGATTCCAGCTGAGCTTTTTCTGGTCATCATCACGACTACGATTTGCTATTTTTTGCCAGAAGACAATGAAGTGATCGTTGTTGGGCAGGTTCCGAGTGGTCTTCCGACTCCAGCTGTTCCTCCTGTTGGGAAATATTTGAGTGATTTTATGTCAGGTACGAACTAGTAAACAAACCCCCGCCCTAACCCTTAGATGCGATTTCCATCGCCGTCATCGGATATTCAACAAACTTATCCCTTGCGAAAATTTTCTCCTCCCGCCATGGCTTTACCTGGTCAGCTAATCAAGAAGGATTTGCCCTTGGAATCGCCCATATCTTCGCCTCCTTTTTCACCTGCTTCCCTGGATCGGCAGCGCTTGCACGAAGGTTTTTTCACGTGTTTTTGAAATTGATTTCGGTGTTTCAGCGCCGCGCAGTGCTAGATTATATTGTGCTCTTGATTCGCATTATTTGATTCATAGAATTTTTTCATCAATAAGTTCTTGATCGGGGCTGAAGGATTTATTTCATAAGGGTGATTACTAAATGGTGATTTTCGAATTGCATGATTCTGATTCTTATTGTCAATACTATCTAACACTGCCATTCGCCAGCTCACTGCAAGAATCCGCCGGAGGAAAGAGCCAGTTCTCCTCAGTCATAAGCGCCTCGATGATGTTCTGCATCATCGTATGGGTCGGACCGGTCTTCAAGACGCTCCCACGCGCTGTCCTTAGCTGTATCGTCGTCGTCAACTTGAGATCAATGTTCTTGCAGTTCTATCAACTACCTGTAAGTCCTCACTAGAATAATTTCTTCTAAAAATGCAGGTTCTGTGGAAGACTTCTCGAAAGGATTTCGTCATTTGGCTCTCTGCTTTCTTTGGAGTGATCCTTCTTGGCGTTGATTTGGGACTGATCACTGGAATTCTCTTTCTTCTCCTCTCTCTTGTTAGGGATCAGACAAAATCGATGGTGATTCAAGTTGATTCTTACCAAAGATCGGAAATTTTTGTTCGCGTTAATGACAAATCAGGTTAGTAAAACCGCATCAAGCTGCTTTTTCAGATAATTTTTTAAGAAAGTCGGAAGAAGCCAATGGTCAGATTCACAGGGCCGCTGAACTTTGCCTCAGCAGATGAGCTATCGATTCCTGCGGACACTGCGGTACTTGATCTTTCACATGTTGCATCATTCGACTTTGTTGGGCTTACAAAACTTGCGGGAGCTCTCAAGAACTTGGAGAGAATTTCTATCGTTGGCTGCAAAGAGGATCTAAGGAATGGTTCAAGCGCTTCATCCGTAAAAAATACTTGATTTAATCTTGCTGAACCGCTAAAAGAAACGGAGTCAAAAATCATGACGATTTAAAAACGCTAGAAATCTCTTTCTACGCTAGTCTTATTGATGCCGAAACTGCCTCCAGTTCCTGAAGACTTTTCACTACCTCCAAGCTAGCTTTACCAAGTTATCATTGTTGCATTTCACTCTCATGATATCTGCCTTCTCAGTGTTTACACAAACATTCAACTTCTATTAGTATTTATCAATAAAGCTCAAAACTTATCAGTAAGAAAAACGTTGTCTTCTCGTTTTAAAGTTAGATATTTTTTTATTCAAGAAGTACATGTATTATCTGGTCAAACATTAAGAAACCTAGACAAAAAGATTTTTGCATCGATCTTCCAATTCAGCCCGTGCTTTCGCTTCGCCATTAATTTGCTCATCCAGCCGCTCAACTTCAGTCATCAGCATCTAAATGAATGGACTTCGATAGAACAAGTTGAAACGCTGCATACCTTGACATCCTTGAAAATCTCAATCATAGCATCGCGATGGGCATTTTTTGGTCGAAGCTGGATTCGTTGTGTTCTGGACGCTTCTTCGTATTTGACATCTGCCTCGTGATCCCAGATGTTCAAGTCTATATTGTATTAGAAATATGATATTCTCGTCGAGTTTTTACCAGTTTCAGACTTGCTCAAATAGCAAACTCCGCATCCCAACCGCGCTTTCTTTGGGCCCTTCGAAGTTTTTGGCCGTTTTTCAGCTAGAAATTAAGCATCTCATCTTACAAACGGATTTACCTTTAATTTTTTGCCTGGAATGCCATTCTTCAAAGAAAACTTTTGATTTCCCATACTCAATTGGTTCAAAAATCGGGCTTTGAATCTCCTCTTCCTTGCTTTCTTCTGCCTCGATTTCTGGTTCTTTCTCAGATTTCGCGCTTTCCTCGCCATTCTTTGCGGTTTCTTCTACTTCAGGATCAGTAAGAGCATCCGCAATAGAGTCAATTATCTTTCGCCCGGTCGATCTTGCCGATTCAAGAAGCTGAAGAGATTTTTCGTTATCCACTTTGATTGTTTTAATTACCTTTCTGGCTGTATCTGGCTCATCCTCTTCCTTGACATCATCGATTGTCTCCCTCATCTCATCGAGCTTTTCTAAACGATTGCGCGCTCAATCCACCGTACTACACCAAATTACATATTCGCTGTCAAATTACCTTTGAATTCGTCTAAAACATTGGTGATGCCTGTGGTTTGCAATTTGGGAGAAAGTGACGGCGGCGTGCCAGTTCCATTAGCTGCGGTATCATCGCGCGGAGACGAATTGAACACGACTCCTGAAAAAGAAAAACATGTGGTTGGAAAATGACACGAGTTGAAATTAATATTTCAAAAAATGAGAATTGATGGGTGAGAAAAAAATCTCTTCTCTTACCTCATAAACCTGCGAAGAAACCTGAGTCAGGGATCTGAAAGAGCCTTTAGATAACCCGAAGGGACTCTCCGGTTCCTGACTCAGGTTTCTCCACTGGTTACCAAGATAAAATCTGTAACAAAGTACCTTCAAGTTGAAGTTTCGGTACATTCTTCGGCAAGTCATTTTCTGGTGCAATAGTTTTTGACGAAATAGAAGACACCGCCGATGCTTTTGATAATCGACGCTTTGGCACTTCAGTTGGTCTAATGTCCCGTTTCTTCGATAAAAGCACTTTCTACATAAAATGAACCAGAATACCATCTATCGTTTTTAATAATAAATCAGGGGTAGACATAATAAACCATTCCTGGCGGTGCGACTTCAGATTCTATTTCAACATCTGTTTCGGGTCTACTCTTCGGGGTTGTTGGCGGAGCTGGAAAAGAAGAACCAGCAGGAGGGAAGCAAATACTTTTCGTTACTGACTTTCGTTCCGGAGAAACCTCCCGCTCAGTTGTGAAACCAGAGGTCGAGCCGTTTTCAGCATCAGAGAGCAAATCCAGTTTTCTGGAGACTGAGAAATCTGAGTCGCGACCTCGACCAGGCGCTGATCGAGCTCTTTTCAAGCGTCATCAAATTACTGCTTTTTGGCATATTAGCTCAAGAGTATTAGTTTATCTGAAAGTAGGGCGCATATGATAATGACAATACATCAATAAATTAAGGAACGCATGTCTTCTTTGCATAAAAGATGTTTGACACCTGACCTGCGTCTTCTGAACGAAAATGAGCCTCTGCGGGAAGATCTCTGTTTTGGAACTAAAACTGCTTCGATAAGGGTTCGTTTTCTACCAATCTTTAGTCTTCAATCTTATTGAAGCAAGTTTCTTGTATCCGAAAAGATATATTTATCTCTCTACTTTGGGCGTGATTTTTCATCAGCGCGGCTAGAAAATCACCCTAGAAATCATCATAATCCTGCTAAATCTTGTTGAATTTCACCGTTGTGGACATATTCTTTTTCTCAAAAAAAAGCTGCTTCCGTATGAATTTTGCGATTGTGGATTTTGGAAAAAACCAGTCCAAAAATTGACCATGAAATATTCACGCTGCAGACACAAAGAGAAAAAATACAGTATTCGCCGGTGCTGCATTAGAAATTCATAGAGCCAGCTTTTACGTGCGCTTTGAGAGAACATAATAGAATCCTCTTATTGGAAGGTTTATATTAAAAGCTGCAGCCTGCAAGAAATTAGAAATTAATCGCGTCAAGCTCAAATGTCAAGAAATCATGATAACGAAAGGTGTTTTGAGAAGATTTGTTTTATTCTTTAGTGCCTCTTATCGTATCAACAAAGGTATCCTGAAATTTGACATGTGACTGTGAACGCAGTAGGACTCTACTTGAACTACGTTGATGTATGTTTGATGTTTCACAGAAAAGTGGTTGATGGGAGATCGTTGAAAAATTTCACCATTTCTTATTGATGCTTTATTTAATTGTTCAATGAATTTTCTTGGTTCCTAAGGGTTGCTTTAATTCTAGATATGAGTAAGTTTTGTGGTTAAGTTCGATTCTCAAATCTTAAGTCAATTAAAAACTCATACTTGATGTTTTAAACATATTATTGTGGTTTTTCGTTCATAGAAAATTTAAAGAGAAGAACCCTTTTTCTAGATTTCTCAGTTTGAGAAAAGCAAGTTGAATTTGAAAGCATTTTCCTGACAACTTCTCTTGTAACTTGCACTCTTCGTGTTCACTCATGTGATCAAGAAGCGTCTTTGAATTCTTCAATAATTGCTGATCTAAAATATTTTCAAAAACAAATTCGCTTCCCTCTTCTTACAAGCAAAATCGCGGCCAGGCTGAACATCTCTCGTCTTCATTTGAAATCGTCTATTTTTCTCGATATCAATCGGGGCGTATCCAGAGTACCTTGAGTTCCAAGATTCTACGGGACTCATTAAAAGGAGAATGTTAAGAAAATGCTTCAAAAACATCTTGCATCGAAATTGATTCTCCGCGCTTTATATGATTTACCCGGCAATAGATAGATTTCGGATGAATATTTGAAAACGATTGTCAATAATCAGAAATTCAATGAACCAATTCGACATTTTCTCGGTGATTTCTTCCGATCCCATCCGTAATAAAAATTCAGATTTGTCATTTTTGACAATTTAACGTCTTTTATTAACTCATTAATATCATCAAAATTGGACATTTTCGCTGATTTTGGCCTTGATGAACAATCTGTTCTTCAGTTCACTCTAAAACAGAACAGAAGTAGAAAGAAACCACCCAAGACCCCGATGAGCGAGGAAAACTTGCCCCTAAGCGCGTGAGTTGTCCCTGCGGTCGACTTTTAGTAGCAACACTCGCGGCGCATTTTCGATGGAGTTATTCTCGATGTCGCTCCAACTGAAACTTGTCATTAAAAGGGAGCATCAATTACACCCCTGGGTACTCTTTCAAAAGTGTTCTATATCTTCAGAAGGCAATTTTAGAAATATTAAAAAAAATGTGGAAGGTAAGACTCATTTCTACAGAGATAATAATTTGAAAAGAGGACCCTGACTGAGAGCTCTACACAGGTTTCCGAACTCAGAAATTAATTAAATTTCAGGGACTTTTTACTTCATTTGTTTTCCTGATGTCTTCAGCCGCTGCGAAACCTTCTAGTGATGGATATCAAATTCCTTATTTATTCAAGGTATGTCTTCATATCTTCTGATCATAAAATTGTCACAATTCTAGCGCTTTTCTGCACCTGTCCAGAGAGATCCAGGTCACCAGATCCCGTTCCTATTTAAACGATCTCCTGTTGAATCACTTTACGAAGACTGATCTTTTCAACCCATTTTTTTCTACAAATAAAACTACTTTAGAGGAGAAAGCGCAATTATCACACGAGCAATTTAAATTATCCTAGTGGATTTTGATGGATCATTTCGTGATTTCTGAACACGCTTTTTTCTTATTTTCGTTGAGCCGCGGGTACTTAGCCATTGTTCAAAAAAATAACAAGAGCGTTTCTTTTTGTCTAGCGAAACAAGTGCAGCTAGTAAAACGAGGCATCAGAGGCGTTTATTATTCCGCAAACAACGGGTCCACACGTATTTGTTCACATATTTTCGCAAACTCAGAAATTCCACATTTTCGTTTTCCATTTTTCGCCATAAAAATATCGGTTGCGCCCCGGGCACGAGCAAAAAAGGCTGAGACGATTGATTACTGAAAACCATTGAAGCGGATTAGCAAAAGAGATAAACAGAAAACAGTTTTGAAAGTAATGAAAAGGGCCTTTGAGAAGAGTTAAGTGCTTAGCACTTTTGACAATAATGACGAGGGAGCTGTTTGTCGAAGAAAATAGAGGAAGCGTCAGAAGAAGAGTGGATAGAAATGGCAAAGAGAGGAAGCCAAATAGTATCAGAAAAAATGTTAATAGTATTGTTGGATTCAAGAAAAGAAGGACGAAGAAAAATGATGAAGTTTATAGGGACATGGTAAGTCGGCTTATTTTATGGCTCAGTTAGGGTAAGGGTTCGATTAGGGTTGTGTGCAAAAAGACCCTTTTTGGGCAAGAAAGGAATCTAATATGAGAATTTTTATTTCAGAAAAATGTTCTTGGTGTTATTGATATTTTAACTATTATCCTCAATGTTCTTCATATTTTCATCGGCGCTAGAATTTTTTTCGCCTTTGGATCGATGATGGAAAAAGAAACATGCGTTGATGGTATCCGTGGAAACAATGCTCAACTGCTGGACGCAAGCGAGTTTACTGAAATCGGGCAGAATACGATGATCACCGGAGGAATCATGCTCGTTTTTGGGATCTTTGGTATGATTGTTACGGAGATGGAGACAGGAGTATTGATGTTGGTGATGACTACCGTGCGGATTTGCTTCTTTATGTATTCAATCTTGACGTCTGTGAGAAATTTCATCGAACCTGAGAAGGTCTGGTTGAGTTCAATGACTCTCGGCTCCAAATTTACGTATGAATTCGAGCAGGACAACCGCTGCTGCGGGTGGAATAATGTCTTCGACTACTGCGACCGGGACAAGATTTTGCAAATAATCTACGACGTCAGAACTGGGAGAAAGGATTTGGTCACGAAGCACACTCGACAAAGCTCGTTTTTTGAAGAATATGCCGATTCAAAAATATACAACTACGAAAGCTTTGAAAGTGAGATTTTCTACAGCTCCGAAATCGCGAGTATTTCAAAGCTGGAGGAAATCAATGATGGTGAGGATCCTTGCGAGCCGGATTCTTTAAATGAATACTGTGTCTGTGACGAAATGGAGAAGAATGACTGGACATTGAATATTCTTGATGAACCCTGTAGAACCGACTGCGAGGGAAATATCTTGTATGCACGAGAATCTTGTCCTGGGCATCATTCTAGAGGTAATAGACGTTATGATCTTTAGCCTGTAATCTTTACCCGATTTTTCAATTTTAAAAATGAACACTGAACTTCAGACACGAAGGAAAAGCCCATTTGTCTGCTCAACGGCTGTGGGGACATTCTTCTAGCGCAGTGGAATTTCAAGCTTTGGCTTATCCGAATTCTATTTTTCTCCTTTATCGCTTCGATGATCGTCTATGCTTATTTCAAATACCAACTCGCCTTTTACTACATCGACGAAATCAACAAGCGATGGGTCAGATTCGTTTCCGTCGCCCCCGAACCTCCCTTGTTAAAAGAAAATGAAGCTTGTGTCGTTGTTGATGGTCTTTTTGACCCAAGAAGAGTGTCACCGAAAGACAATTTGAAAGAAAAACTGCTTTTTCATTTCAATTCGGAATTGAGAAAGCTCAAAAAGAATGAAAAATTCGAATATGATTGCGATTCAAACTCGTCGGATTCTGATGAATCTTCAGATTCGCCAGAAACAGCTCTGTAAATTCAAATTTTCTGGTTTAAAGACAATCAAAAGAAGCATTTTGTGTTTTCAGGTTAAAATGTTTATTTGAATATATACTGTATAAAATAAATAAGAACAGTTCTTATTGTGACACAACTCTTGTACTTTTTCGGGCGATTGATGCTCTGACATGCGTTTGGCGACCAAAGTTGGAATAATTCTTCGCAACTGAAGTCTTTCTCTTTTGCATCATGCTTGGTGGGAGATGTTTGTTCAACTCGTGTCGTTTGTGGAAGATTTTAATGCAAGCCTGTTCAAGGGAAATCAATTTAAGGGAGAGGATCGAAAGCCTCAGATTTTGATCCCAGAAAAAAATGATTCCCCTTCCTCTCGATTTCGATATCTCTCACCAATGACAGGAATCTTCTTGAAAACCCAAATTTTAGTGACGCAAAAAGTAGCAAGAAGCACATGAATAACAGCAATACCAAGTTGAAATCCCCATGCGACGACTATCAAGCTCTCCGGGCTTCGTTCAAGAGAGCTAGAATAGAATAAGTACTGTAAAAATTCATGAATTTTCTATTTTACCCAAGACCTTGAGGTGGAGGATCTGTTCTTTGAATCAAAATTTGCACCGTTCCCCAAGCTCCGGCGATCAAGGGATGAAAGATACCATGAATCGGGACTGAATTGGCAAAGTTTAGTATCCACTTGAGCTTAACTATTGAAAATACCTTTAGTGTCGAACCAAAGCAACTCAACAAGCATGAAAACTGTCGGAGAATATTCTTTGCTGGTGAGCCAGAACGCAGAAATGTGAAGAGGTCTGGTCATATCTCGATATCGGCAAATGCCGAGCCACTGAGTCCACCAAGAAATGGAAACGACCAGACGTAAGGCTCCCTGGCAGTTGAAAAGGAATGACAGGACTTTGTTCAAAAAGTGGGTGAACTTGCCGAAGCCTTCGACGATTCTTGCTCTTTGGAAATTTATGTACAGGGTCAAACAGGCGGCTGAAGCAAGAAATAGCATGAGGAAGAGAAAAAGAGCTTACCCATGGGGAAATACGATCCAAAGTACAGGGATCGCTGTCCCTCCCAACCGTTCAAAGTCAGAGTGAGTGACCAGATGGCGATAACCACTCGGATAAGAACGAAGGCCCGGTCGTTGTTGATCAAGGTCGATGAGATGAAATTCATTGAGGGTTCTTGTCCAAGCTTGCAGTCCTGACAAGGCTTGAGTGAGAGTGGTCGCGCATAAATGAATGTTTGAAACAAAGTTCGAAATTTGCTGGCAGTACTGCCACGACTGCCACTGGCAGCTGCCAATTTTGGCAGTCACTTGGCAGTGGCAGTTACACTTTTCAAGGACTGGCAGTTACTGGCAGCTGCCAACCGACTGCCACTTCGAAAGATATTGATTTTTCTTTCTAGAATGACAAAGAAAAATAACGTTAATGATGAAATTTTGCTCCCGAGACCTATTTTATTCCATTTTTCTTATCAAAAGAGACATTTCAATTTTGGATAATGTTTCTTTTATATCGCCAACTTGTCAAAAACGCTGTTTTGAACTTAGTTTGACTTTAAAAAAATTTACAAATAGTATCAAAATCGGCAGTTTTTGGCAGTCAACTGGCAGCTGCCAGTGGCAGCTGCCGATTTTGGCAGTCACTTGGCAGTGGCAGTTGCAATTTAAAAAAGCTGGCAGTCGCTTGGCAGTGGCAGTCGCCATTTCATTTCGAACTCTGGTTTGAAAAATAAAAAAAAATCGAGCCTTTCCTGAGAAAATTTTTCCCAGCAATTCATGGGTTCGTCGCCAAGACGCTTCAGCAAGCTCATTCTTCGCCGAGTCCACCATGTCAAAATGTACAGGAGAATAACCCCAATCATTGTTAGAAAGCAAACTAAAGGGAATTTTGCACTTTTCAAACCAAGCTTGATAAACTTACAATTAGTCGTTGCTGCATAGATCGGCGCTAAATTTTCGTAGGTAAATCCTCTGTCGAGCCAATAATCTTCGATCGTGTGATTTTCCAGAAACGGGTACTTGTCAATGTCTGCTTGGGAAAAGTTTCCCATCTTGGCTCTTCAGTTGAGCTAAAATTTAAAAAATCTGATGCTGAACGGATTTGTCAATACCTAAGTTACATCAGTTCTAGAGATACAGTACAGAAATGATTCGACTACTTGTGAACAATACCTGAGTCAGAGTACCGAATTCAAAAAATTTCATATTAGTCTTGTTTTAAATCCTTTCCTAGCCTTTTCAGAACCCTGACTCAGGTTTCAATCACAAGTTGCCGGGGACATTTTTACACCAAGTCTTAATCTTACAGTCTAAGTCATATTTATTCCAGGATTCTTTCCTGTTACCTTGTTTTACCTGTAAAAGCGGAAAAGTACAAATGAAACAAAAATACTTGGTAATTGAAATAAACTCGCCTTATTCTAGAGAATCATCCTTATCGATGGTCCAGATTCAATGTTGAGGATATTCAAATGAAGCATTTGCGATTTTGAAGATATATTGTTTATTTGAATAAATACTGTATAAAATAAATAAGAAGATAAGTTATTCACTTGTTTTCAGTGTACTTCTTCTTGCGATGGATGCTCTGACATGCGTTTGGCGACCAAAGTTGGAATAATTCTTCGCAACTGAAGTCTTTCTCTTCTGCAGCATGCTTGGTGGAAGATGTTTGTTCACCTCGTGTCGTTTTTGAAAGATTTTAATGCAGGCCTGTTCAAGGGGAATCACTTTGAGCTTAGTAGAAATATCATTGAAAAATTGATTCCCCTTCCTCGCGATTTTTTAATCTTTGGCCAATGACGGGAACCTTCTTGAAAATCAAATTTTTAGCAAGCAAAAGGTAGCAAGAAGCACATGAATAACAGCAATGCCAAGTTGAAATCCCCACGCGACGACAATCAAGCTCTCCGGGCTTCGTTCAAGAGAGCTAGAATAGAATAAGTTCTGTATGAGTAAATGCGATTTCGATTTTACCCAAGACCTTGTGGTGGAGGATGTGTTCTTTGAATCAAAATTTGAATTGTGCCCACAGCTCCGCCAATCAATGGATGAAAGATGCCGTGGATCGGTACTGAATAGAGTTGCTTATTTTTGAAAATTTTTTCTGAGCTGAGCAAACTGAGCTGAGGTTGAAATTCTGCTGATCTCAAGCTGAGCTGGCCTCTTTTAAAAACAATTGAGCTGAGTTAAGCTGTTTTTTTTCAAAGAAAATGAGCTGAGCTGAGTTGACGACTTCTAAAACTGAGCTTGCTGAGCTGAGCTGGCCATTTTTGAGGTTGAGCGAGTTGAGCTGAGCTGATAGCAGTGCTTGAAAAACCCGCCCGCGGCCCCCGTACCCGCCACAAATCTCGGATTTGGCCCCCGCGCCCGCCCGCACTTAGCTGAGCCGACCCTCAACTCAAAATTGCGAGCTGAGCTGTATAGTCTATACAGTCTATCTATACAGTATAGATAGCTGAGCTCAATATTATTTTCGAGGCAAAACAAAGACGAATTTCAATAAGGATTTCTGAGTGAAATCCCCCTTATTTATTGGCTCATCTGAAAGAGCGTAAAAAATTACTCTAGTTGAGTCGGAAAGATTGGCGAATTTTCGAACTTATGACGTCATAGCACGTGACGGAAGTTACGAAAGTACCAAACTTTGGACGCTTACCATTTTCATGTCGCTTGAGCTATCATGACATGCAATACATGAAAATGATCGTCTGATCGAGATCTTGGTGTGAATTGAGGTTTCATCCCTCGAAAAATATCTCATCCCTTTAATGAAAATCAGGCACTAGTGATAAAGGGTTGAAAGAAATTTTTGAAGGGATGAGACCTAGATGCACGCATAGCTCTTGTCGCGACGATTATTTTCCACTATCACACGCCATGATAGCTAGAGTGGATCGAAAATGCGGAGCGTCCAAAGTTTTGGTACTTTTGGAACTTTGGTCACGTGCCATGACGTCATTTCGAGGGAAATTTCATCCCTTTTTGGGCGAATCTAGGATAACTTTTTACGCTCTTTCCAATGAGCCAATAAAAAAAAAGGGGGGGGGGGTAAGGATTTCACTCAGAAATTCTTATTGAAATTCGTCTAAAGTCGTTATCCTATCATTCTTGCTTATGAAAAATATTTAAAATACCTTTAGTGTCGAACCAAAGCAACTCAACAAGCATGAAGAGTGTCGGAGAATATTCTTTGCTAGTAATCCAGAAGCCAGAAATGCCAAGAGGCCGGGTCATATCTCGATATCGACAAACGCCGAGCCACTGAGTCCACCAAGAAATGGAAACGACCAAACGTAGGGCTCCCTGGCAGTTGAAGAGGAATGACAGGACTTTGTTCAAAGTGTGGGTGACTTTGCCAAAGCCTTCGACGATCCTTGTTCTTTGGAAATTGACGTACAGGGTCAAACAGGCGGCTGAAGCAAAAAGTAGCTCATGGAAGAAGTAAAAAGCATACCCATGGGGAAGTAGCCTCCAAAGTAAAGAGATCGCTGTCCCTCCCAACCGTTCAAAGTCAAAGTGAGTGACCAAAGAGCGATAACTACTCGGATAAGAACGAAGACGCGGTCGTTGTTGATCAAGGTCGATGAGATGAAATTCATTGACGGTTCTTGTCCAAGCTTGCAGTCCTGACGAGGCTCTAGTTAGAGTCATCCCGGATTAAATATGATTTTTTCGTAAGAAATTAAAAAAATATCGAGCCTTCCCTGACAAAATTTTTCCCAGCAATTCATCGGTTCCTCGCCAAGGCGCTTTAGCAAGCTCATTCTTTTCCGAGTCCACCATGTCAAAATGTAGAAGATTATGACCGTAATGATTGTTAGGAAGAAAACTAAAATCCATCATGCTTTCTGTTTTTATTATTTAGCTGGATAAACTTACAATTGACCGTTACTGTGTAGATTGGCGCAAGATTTTCGTAGGTAAATCCTTTGTCGAGCCAATATTCATCTATCGTGTGATTTTCCAGAAACGGGTACTTGTCAATGTCTGCTTGGGAAAAGTTTCCCATCGTGACTTTTGCTAAGAAGAATTCATGAATTTCAAATTCTTTGATATTTTATTATTTTAAGGACCCCCCCATCAAGAATCGTGAAAATGAGGCTCTTTAGTGAACGTTTTTCTCAAAAACTACCTTAGGTAGACCCTTAATTTTAATTGCAAGCTTTTGTTCGAACCCTCGCCTGCAACCGTTCCCCTTAAGATGATCTTACGATCAACAACTTAAGGTTATACGGGCCGTTAAAGGTAAGGTTGTTAAGTGCAGGTTTTTTTCGGGTTTTAAAGTGGGGTATACCCTTAATTTTTTTTCAGGATAAAGATAAGGCCCTAAGCTACGACCGTTTGCTTTTTGAAAGTTTTTGGTCTACGAACTTAAGGAGGACAGCCCCTTTAAAATTTTTAAAGTCGAATCTAAGTCGAATTTTCAGATTTATATTTTCACTAAATATTGCCTAAATTGCCCTAATTTACGTTTTTATCCTCGTGTTTATGATAGAAATAGTTTTAATGGTTGGTATACCGTATAAAAATAGCGAACTGAAGATTTTTATGAAATTTAGAATGTGAATTTTCAATTTTCGAAGCCAATTTCTGTCAAAATTTTCTATAGGAGCAAAAAAATTTTCTAAATAAAAGTTCTTACCCATGGTCTAAACTACCCAAAAAAGCAAAAAAAAATTGGAAATTTCGACATTTTTCATCTTGATGGGGGGGTCCTTAAAGGTTTTTATGCCTTATTTGCGGACGAATCTTGTACCTCGACTTCCAAGAAAAAATTCGAAAATTTGGCCCCCTTGAAAAAATATTGTCCTACCAAGCATCCCTTAAAATTTTATGAGACGATCAGTGTTAGTCTATCACTTTGAAATTAAAAAATGAACTGACGAATATTCGGTTACTTATCTGCGAAGTCTGAGTCTAAAAGTTCTTTATTTGATGTTACCTGGAAAAGCGGGAAATCGCGAGTGCGACAAAATTTCCTGGAAACAGAAATAAACTTTGCTGATTCTAGAGAATTATCAATATATTTCTTATATTTAACAAAAATGCTAATAATGAAAATTTCAGCTACTTTTTTGCCTCTTATCGTTCGCGAACTTCAAGAAATCACTCAACTGAGTTTAAAAAATATTTTGTACTTGCAGCTTCCGGCGCGTCAAAAACCGTCCATCAAATCTTTATCATCTTTGAACTCATTATTTACAAGAAAAAAGTGCGCGTGGAAAGATGAACTGTTTAGTCCTGTCAGACTGCTCTTATAAATGCGACTCCCGGGTGCTTTATCTACGACAAGATCATGTCCAGAGCATTTTCGAAACTTTTATTCTATTTCGGAATTTTTCTGAGTTTTGGGATCATTTCCACGATTCTGAGTGTTCCAAAATTCCTCAAAAAAACAAGCCTTCAATATAAAACGACCAAAGATGAAACGACAACAACAACGATTTCGACACCAACAACAGGTTTTCTATTTCAAAATCTCCGAGGATTTTCAATTATTTTAGAGCCACCAACATCAGAAACCACGCTAGAGTTCTTCACTTCATCATCCCCTTTTTCGACATCACAAAAGGCAAAAGAGACAAGCTCTACTTCCAAAACACTAGATTTGACTGAAACAACAACTCCAGCTTCAAACACCATAATTTTGACAGCGACAACACCAACAACAACGGAGACAACAACAGAGATAGGAACAACGACGCTTACCGAACCAATAACAACACCATCATTTGAAATCACGACAGAATCTCGATGTGCCAGCTTCGATTGCCTAAATGGAGGAGTATGTGTTCTTGAGTACGGATATCCAAAGTGCGAATGTAAGGAGCCCTATTTCGCAAATCACTGCGAGCGGCACCCATGTGACTTTCACGATTGTAACAATGGCATCTGCATATACGACGATAAAAATAAAATTCCAAGATGCGTCTGCGAGCCGAATTACGCTGGTGAGTTCTGCGAACAAACTCTGTGCGAGATTCAAGGATGCGAAAACGGAAGCACTTGTTTAATTGAAAACGGAGTTGCTAGATGTAAATGCCTTGTCTCGTATTCAGGCGAAAAATGTCAGTGCCCTCCGATCTTTGAAAAGCAGCGAGAGCATGGAAGCTTTGTTTATAGACAGTGGCACGGGGCAAAAGCTCATTGCGAAAATAAAGGAGGTTACCTTTCATTTTTTCTCAACCACAAAGAATTTGCCGATTATATTCTCAAATATCGAGGGCAGAAACATGATGAATGGATTGGATACGAGCAAAAGTATCCAAACAACAAATACTTGTACAAAACCGTTGATGGAAATGATGCGGAATACTACAATTGGGCGGAAGGCGAACCGAGTGAGGATTGGGAGTACTGCGTTCAACTTTTTGACAACCGAGATACGATGAATGACAAAGAATGTAGTGCAGAGTGGTGGGCTTTTTCCTGTCGCTTTTCTCAAAACTGCGTGAAATAACTCTCCTCTATTTCAATAAAAATTCCCGCTCAAACTGATTGCTTTGATTTTTGTCCGAGAACGAAATTTCCTTGAAATAGAGATGAACTTTATTGATTCTAGACGCTAGAATCTAGACTCTAGATTCTAGAGAATAACCAATAAGTATAGCAAGTATTTGAAAAAGTCTTCATTATTTCTTGTTGTTTCCTTATCGCCTTATTTTTAAGCTCGGGAATCCTAATAACGAACATTTCAGCTATTTTTTGCTTCTTATCGCTCCTGAACTTCAAGAAATCATTCAACTGAGTTTAAATAATATTTTGTACTTGCAGCTTCCGGCGTGTCGAAAACCGTCCATCAAATCTTTATCATATTTGAACTCTTTATTTACAAGAATAAATTGCGCGTGGAAAGATGAGCTGTTTAGCCCTGTCAGACGGCTCTTATAAATGCGACTTCCGGGTATTTTTTATCTACGACAAGATCATGTCCAGAGCATTTTCGAAAATTTTATTTTATTTTGGAATTCTTCTGAGTTTTGGAATCATTTCCACAATTCTGAGTGTTCCAAAATTCCTAACTAGAACAAGCTTTGAGTACACAACGATCAAACATGAAACAACAACTTCGACGCCAACAACAGGTTTTCTTTTAAAAATCTCCGAGTATTCTTATAATTTCCCCATCAACAGAGACAACAACAACGACGCTTCCCGAACCAATAACAACACCAGCAGCAGAATTCGAAATCACGACAGAATCCCCATGTGCCAGCTTCGATTGTATGAATGAAGGGTCGTGCGTTCTTGATCACGGATATCCAAAGTGCGAATGTAAAGAGCCCTATTTTGCGAATCATTGCGAGCGACATCCATGTGACTTTCACCAATGCGTAATTGGAGTTTGCATCTACGACGAAGAAATTCAGAGTCCAAAGTGCGCATGTGATCCAAATTACGGAGGTGAATTCTGTGACCAAACTTTGTGCGAGATTCAAGGATGCGAAAATGGAAGCACCTGTTCGGTAGAAAACGGAGTTGCAAAATGTGAATGCCGCGTATCATACAGTGGAGAAAAATGCCAGTGCCCTCCGATCTTCGAAAAGCAGCGAGAGTATGGTAGCCTGGCTTACAGACAGTGGCATGGAGCAAAAGCTCATTGCGAAAAAAGAGGAGGTTACCTTTCATTTTTTCTCAACCACAAAGAGTTTACCGATTATATTCACAAATATCGAGGGCAGAAACATGATGAATGGATCGGATACGAGCAAAAGTATCCAAACAACAAATACTTGTACAAGACCGTTGATGGAAACGATGCGGAATACTTCAATTGGGCGGAAGGCGAACCGAGTGAGGATTGGGAACACTGCGTTCAACTTTTTGACAGCCGAGATACCATGAATGACAAAGATTGTAATGCAGAGCGGTGGGCTTTTTCCTGTCGCTTTTCTCAAAACTGCGTGAAATAACTCTCCTCTATTTCAATAAAAATTCCCGCTCAAACTGATTGCTTTGATTTTTGTCCGAGAACGAAATTTCCTTGAAATAGAGATGAACTTTATTGATTCTAGACGCTAGAATCTAGACTCTAGAATCTAGAGAATTATCAATAATTATAGCAAGTATTTGAAAAAGTCTTCATCATTTCTTGTTGTTTCCTTATCGCCTTATTCTTAAGCTCGGGAATCCTAATAACGAAAACTTCAGCTATTTTTTGCTTCTTATCGCTCCCGAACTTCAAGAAATCATTCAACTGAGTTTAAATAATATTTTGTACTTGCAGCTTCCGCCGTGTCGAAAACCGTCCATCAAATCTTTATCATATTTGAACTCTTTATTTACAAGAATAAATTGCGCGTAGAAAGATGAGCTGTTTAGCCCTGTCAGACTGCTTTTATAAATGGGACTCCGGTGTTTTTTATCTACGACAAGATAATGTCCAGAGCATTTTCGAAAATTTTATTTTATTTTGGAATTCTTCTGAGTTTTGGAATCATTTCCACAATTCTGAGTGTTCCGAAATTCCTAACTAGAACAAGCTTTGAGTACACAACGATCAAACATGAAACAACAACTTCGACGCCAACAACAGGTTTTCTTTTAAAAATCTCCGAGTATTCTTATAATTTCCCCATCAACAGAGACAACAACAACGACGCTTCCCGAACCAATAACAACACCAGCAACAGAATTCGAAATCACGACAGAATCCCCATGTGCCAGCTTCGATTGCATGAATGAAGGGTCGTGCGTTCTTGATCACGGATATCCAAAGTGCGAATGTAAAGAGCCCTATTTTGCGAATCATTGCGAGCGACATCCATGTGACTTTCACCAATGCGTAAATGGAGTTTGCATCTACGACAAAGAAATTCACAGTCCAAAGTGCGCATGTGATCCAAATTACGGAGGTGAATTCTGTGACCAAACTTTGTGCGAGATTCAAGGATGCGAAAATGGAAGCACCTGTTCGGTAGAAAACGGAGTTGCAAAATGTGAATGCCGCGTATCATACAGTGGAGAAAAATGCCAGTGCCCTCCGATCTTCGAAAAGCAGCGAGAGTATGGTAGCCTGGCTTACAGACAGTGGCATGGAGCAAAAGCTCATTGCGAAAAAAGAGGAGGTTACCTTTCATTTTTTCTCAACCACAAAGAGTTTACCGATTATATTCACAAATATCGAGGGCAGAAACATGATGAATGGATCGGATACGAGCAAAAGTATCCAAACAACAAATACTTGTACAAGACCGTTGATGGAAACGATGCGGAATACTTCAATTGGGCGGAAGGCGAACCGAGTGAGGATTGGGAACACTGCGTTCAACTTTTTGACAGCCGAGATACCATGAATGACAAAGATTGTAATGCAGAGCGGTAGGCTTTTTCCTGTCGCTTTTCTCAAAACTGCTAGAAATAACTTTCCTATATTTCAATAAAGATCCTCGCTCAAACCCATTGATCATCTTGCCCCGACATGTTCAGTCAGATTAAACACTTATCCTATCAAAGTGTTTACACTTGCTCCTCACGGTCATTCTGAGTTTTCAACTCACAGTGTCTTCTTGATTTAACATAATGAGATGAAAGTTCTATATTTTATCTTATCATTTTCTTTTGGCTTCTTGGGTTGCTACGATTTTTGTCCGAGAACGATAAGAGATGTACGAGAAATCGGAGAAGGCTGCCCTTGTCTTTGAAATTGGTTGACTTTCATGTTTTTGTGAGATTTGTTATTTCTTGAAAACCAACCATAAGTGACGCCGACCGAAATGTCCGCTGTAACCAAGTCGGCCTCCAATCAATCCCCGCTTTCAATAACCGAACAGAATTCGCAGCCCGAATCGCCTTTTTCGCCGACAATGAAATCACAGAGCTCCAAGAAGGTGGCTTTTCTTATGGATACTCAACGCTCGAAACGCTTCACTTGCACAACAACAATCTGACGAAGATTCTTCCAGGAACATTTTTGCCTCTTCTAGAGCTAGAAAAATTATTTCTTCAAAACAACTTCATCGAAAAAATCGAGGATTTCTATTTCAGCGACCTGGCGCAATTGAAGTTTTTGTTCCTGGAGAATAATCGGATTCAAACTGTCAGCAAAAACGCATTCTTGAACCAGCGGAATCTCGAAGTTCTTGATCTTTCTCGCAACTCAATTCTTCATCTTCATGGGTTGGACATGAGCGGCTTCGTCTCGCTGCGATTTCTGAATCTAAGAAGCAATAATCTCTCATCTATCGGGATTCAAAGGCTTCCAGAATCGATCAGTCTTGAATTGATTTCTTTGGATGACAATGACTGGTCATGTGATGAACGAACAAGCTGTTTCACGAGAGAACCTCTTTTAGAAATCATCCGAAATTCTAGTGCGCTTTTGACGGCGCCTCTGATCTGCGAAGAGCCCCAAAAATATCAGGGAAGAAATTTATTCCAAGTTCTGAACGATGTTGATTGCTCAAAAGTCGAGTTGTTTCCAACATTTTCATCCGCGAAATCAAAGTTCGACCATCATAATATTGCTCTGTTGACATTTCTTTTCGTCCTGCTGGTGGGAGCTCAAGAATAATAATCATTCTGCAAATAAAGAAATAAATAAACAAGAATGACAAACTTTTGCTTCCTCAGATGTTGTCAAAAATATGAGTTTTCTGAGTTTGATACTGATAAATATTGCAGTTGGAAAAGACTGTTATGATAAGGAGAGACCATGGGATTATACAGGCGATATTGACTTTACAGTAACTGGAGAGAAATGTATGGACTGGCGGAAAGGGACGACCCACAGGAAACGCGATTTCTTCTATTTTTGAATTATGCTTAGGGTAAAATTATTGAAATCAAGGAAGACCCAAGCACTACCCCACTCAAAGTGGAAGTTCCAATTTCTGCCGAAACCCTGACAGTGACCCAAACGGACCCTGGTGCTACACAACAGACCCTAATGGTGAACCTATTTTGATTTCGTCCCAATCTGAACCCTTCTTAGTTGTCTACGCTTATTGCAATGTACCCACTTGCGATGAAAGCAAATCAAAGGAGCGTCAAAACAACGTCAATTGCATATCAGATTCGCGCGGTACAGCTTATCGAGGCTCTCAGGCAAAGTGCTCTCTCAATTATTACTGGGCAGATAAAAAGTATTAATTCTGTAGCCATCTGTAGATAAAAATTGAATAATTATTGAGCGCCAGTCATAGCGGTTCGCGACAAAAGATGGGAAGTTCTACCTCTGCCAAAGTTGGCACGCGGTGGAACCCCAGCGGTAAAAATAGAACATCAAACAATGAATTCCCTTCATTTTCAGATCGATGTTTTTGATGGACGAAAAGCATAATTACTGTCGAAATCCGACGAATGATCCAAAAGGGCCTTGGTGCTATACGACCAACAAAAATGTCCATTTTGCGTACTGCGGTAAGATAATTAATAAATTGGGCCAGCAAAGAATATGGAATTAAGATATTCCTTCTTGCTGATGATGACAAAAAGAAATCTGTGCCACTGATTCTTTCTTGTTTTGTGACTCTCATCATCTTCAATAAAAACTTATCGAAAATTGATTCGAGAATATCTTCAGTCAAAAAAAGACCTTTTTCTTTGGATGGATGCGTTATTGTTAAACAAGTGATTGCGATATAAATAATTATTGAGCGCGACACTTAGCAGGCCCTTTTCTCTTAGTACTGGCGATTTGAATATTTTATCCGGGCCGCTAAAGTTTTTTTACCGATCTTTTTCTGCAGGTTGCGAAAAAAACGGGAGAGCTTTGTTTTCTTTTCAAAGAGATTTGAACCTTTGAAAGTTATTCAGAAAGGAAAGGCCAGATGAATATGAATATTGCAGACCACAGATTTCGAGTACAAAATATGAAAATTGCGTCATTCTCTCTAGGCGTAGTAACTTTCTATTCGCAATCGCATTTGCGGTCGGAAAAAAATTGCGAATTTCGCAAATTTTTTTTTCTCGCACTTTTCTATAAATAAAAGAAATCAGCATAAAAATCACAAATTGCGAAAAAATCAGATTGCGATTTTTTTTGCGAAAATTTTTTCGCATTCGGATCGAATTTTTCTAGAAAACAGGTGCTTTTGCGAAAATTAACTGTGGTATCTTTCTCGATTTTTTATGTTTTTGACTTCTTATTTTATATTTTTATATTCTTTCATATAAAGTATATTTGGCTTGGTGACCAAATGTGATTCAAAGACTTCTTCGCATTTGCCTGGATAAGCCTTACCTCCCTATCTTCTTTATTCGCCTGCTTCTACCTGTATCCCTTCCTAGAGTAGATATATTCCCTTTTTCGAAGGAATCAAAAAAAGGATAGCCCTGTACATTGCTCAAGCAGATGCTGTCTGTTTAATCTAGGTTTATGTTTATTCATCGAAAATTGATTGATTTAAAAAGCATTTTATTTTATTGCTTCTGAGCCAAGAAAAGGGAGAGAAAAAAGAACAAAAATGCCGCTGGAATTTGAGCAAATCGCGCAACTTATTGCCATGCAAAAGTAAGTCAAAAAAAGATTAGTTTTGCTCTTCGCAAAGGACAGTTTATAATTGCCCGTTCTTGATTGTTTCATGAACTTGGTCAGCAGCATATTGTTAAACTGCTGAGCAAAAAGTAGCAAAATAAAAAGAAGAGGGAAAAAATGAGAGTTATCGGTGTCGATAGACGGTAAATATTTTAGCGGAGATTAATAACGTTTATATCTCCGGTTTTCAATCACTTACGATTCAGTTACCTAGTTCTCAGTTGAATCGAAAAGATTCTTTTTATGACGCTCTTAGAAATGTGTACCAAAGCAAATTGTACGAGCAAAGAAACAAAACGGTTGGTTATGCTTTTAGTGCTAAAATAGGGAGAAGCTTGGTTAGAATACCAATTGGTATTCAAAAACCAATTTTGGTATTCAAAATTTGAATTTCAAATACCAATTTTTGATATTCAAATACCAAAAATTTTTGGTATTCTAACCGAGCGCCCCCGCTAAAATAGCCAAACCCTAACATTTACCCAACCCTAACCCTTAAGTGCTTCCTATTTGGTGGTGAGTGGAGTCAACTAGAAAATCTTGATAAATTTTGCGTGGGTGGCTTTCCGGCTGCTGATTGGCCGGTTTGCCAAACTCAGGCTTCTGATTGGCTGAAAAATTTTGTCGGGATTTTTTGTCGATTCTTTACAACTCCCCAGATATTTGGAGGGTTATCTTGATTCAAGACTTGGTCAAATTGGATTATCCATTTAGACCAGACAATATTAAAAAAATTGAGAATCCGAGCTATACAGTATAGGCTATACTCTCTTAATTACTTTTTGTTTGTGAGCCTCTTGACCCAGAAAAAAAGAAAACTAATTACTATTATAATAAACCGCAGATGAAGAAATATATTTCTCGCCAAATCGCTGGCTAGACATATTTTTTCTAGTTTTGCTGGAAATGAAAACGCATCGTCTTAGAAATGGATTTGCCCCGTAAGTCTGATTTATTAGTTTGAGTTTTTACACGGAGAACATGTATTTTTAATGTCGCTACTGGGTATGAAAGTAATCGACTAAATGAGTTTTTTCTTTTTTCTATTCTGAGCCGGGCATTTTTCCCACACGCCGGAGGCCACAAACTGCGGCCATTAAAGAAATCCACCGAGAAATAATTGATAAAGAGACACGAGACACGAGCACCTACAACAATCATTATACCGCCCTTCTGATACATACGCATATTGTTAATTAATCAGCATAAAACCGACGAACGGATATGCCAAAACGAAACTCGAATGAAAACAAAATAGGCTTCAGCCACTCAGTTCTCGGCTCAGATGGCGACTTTTGAAACGCAAAAAGACTTCATCGATAATTGGAGACAGAGGGACTGGAGGGGTTGAAAGACCTGTAAAGAAGGAAAATAGAAGTGAAAGCGATACAAGGTGAAAAAATTATTTTACTTCAGAGACTTTAACTTACCGATTTCTTTTTGATATAAACCCCCTCCTTTGCCTTGCCCCCAAAAAAGAAGCTTGAGGTCCCTTTCGATTCGGATTTTTTTCTGTCTACTATGCATTTTCTTTACCAAATAAACCCCAAAACAACATTAGCATGGGAGTTTATAACCTCATTACGAACAATTCGGACTCAGTCGGATCATCTATTTTCGTTGGTTATTTTAGAATAAGAGCCATTCGAGTTCGAATATTATTTGAAGTTTCGCTTTTTTGATACAATAATTGAAACATAAAATATGGTCCTTTTTACTCCCTTATTAGCCAGAGGCCGTTATTTGAAAAAACTGGTGAACCCGAGGTAACTTGTGGAGTACTAAATCCTTAATGCGCAAAGGCATCCAACATGTATGAGATTTTTATTATTAGAGATTTGAGAATATGTTTCCAGAAGGAAATATTTGATTCCCAACGTTCTGTATCTTCTTTCTTGTTCGCGCTCTTATGAATAAGTTCACACAGTAATGGTCAATTTTCGTGGGTCACAGCGTTACAGTAGCTTCTTCGGAGAAACTGTATTGAGACAAACCATTCGATATGAATGTCTGACATGATATGACATTTTGCTTTATCTATCGATGAATGTTTCATATTTATCAGATTATATATTGAAATTTGCTAATTGAAAATGGTCATTTCACCATTTGCAGAAGGACTGAATTATGATAAATCTTTCTTTACCGAATCACAAGCGGGAAACTTGCTTTTATACGAGAATTCCAAGATTAAATACAAGGTAGAGTAGGGATTTAAACCGTCCATATTGAGGTATAGTGAGGCATATTGAGGCATATTGGTGAACTATCAATATCATGTTTTCACTATAAAACTGAAAAGATATTTTTTACTTGTTGACCTAGAAAAAACAGTATTTTTGGACATAGAATTTGAATGAGACAAAATGAACTGCTTTCTATCAATTGAACCTGTCGGCAAATCCGATACAAATTTAAATTTTAAAACGCTTGAAGCACTAAAAGATTCAGATATCAAACATTGTTCGCGGGACAATAAGTCTGACATTCCAAAAAGACGGGTTTAAAACCCTCTTTCTCGCATTTTGACTCGATTTTTGGTTGATAGAGAGCTTGATTTTTTAATCGCGAAGAAAATGGATTTTAGGTAAATTTAAATATAATAAAAATGGCTGAGTTGAAGTTTACTGATCCAGGCATGAAAACCGCTAATTATTTCGGTAAAAAGAACGGTTAAACCGTCTGACTTAGACATAAAATTAGTTAAAGTAGACAATTTCGACCCATTTTTGAGATTTGATGGAGTTATTCGGCAATTTTCGTGTCGGTTTTTGCTACAATCTAGGTCTTAGGTTTTTTTTCTGTCAAATAATCAGAATATTTTTAAGGTACAGTGTCTGAATAATTCATTTTTGAGTTTATATGAGGATTTTTTCAGACAAAACTGACACGTATAAGATAGGACGTATAATTTGAGATAAAGTGTCACATATTTCAAACAAGATTTTTTTTAATATTCTGTATATATCCAGTAAACTCTACCGGCGCGCATTTTTGCATAAATATTTCACTACATGAACGCATCAAGCTTCAATTAACGGTCGAATAAAGGCTTGCCACTTCACTGATTGAGAATAATTTGAGCGATGATAAAGTATGCAGCATCGTTCAGTATAGGTACGTCAGATCTTCTTTGAATGCAGGAAGATTAACGACTGTTTTTGAGACAAGAAAATGCTCATTATTGTCGAGAAACTTCAAAAATTTGGAATAATAAGAGGTTTCGCTCAAAAGAATGAGAAAAAGAGGTTCGTTGATTATTTGATAGAAGGACCTTACAAGGGCCTCCGACTCGGTAATCTGTGTAGAGGCCTAGAGAGTAGAGCCCCCCCCCCCGTCAGCTTTTTTCGAAGAATCAAGTTTCGGAATTTAAAAATTTTGACCCCGGAAATCGATTCTACAGGTCAAAAAACGAGGCTGCATTTTTCGGGGGTCTATCTCGACTCTTTTACCCTCAAAATCGCATTTGAAAATTGGACTTTTCGTCAAAAATTGACGAATTTGTCCTAATTCTGGCGAAAATATTGATTTTTCTTGGTAAAAAATTCCTCCTATTACCTTTTTTGAAGCAAGTTTAACCTGAGGACGCAAAAAGAACCAAAAATATGGTGTTTTTAAAAATTTTCATTTTCGAAGGAAAAAGCTGACGGGTGGGGGTCCTTAAACATTAAAAATTCTTGGAAAATCAGAAAAATAAGGTTTGAAAAACAAAAAGATCGAGGTTGAAGCTTTGAACTTTATAGCATCACCAAATGTATCCGTAAGCGTCAATGCATTTAAAAACAGTACTGTTGGTCCGTATCTAGGGCACTCTCAATGACGCCCCGAGAACAGAATGAACACAACTGTAAAGAGCTATTTTAATGAACTTCATGACGACAGGTCACGGTATAAAGGCATTAAGAATGCAGAGCTAGCAGCAGAGGGATTAAATTAGCCAGCAACTTTTTCTTCTTCAGAGAAAACCGAAAACAAAAAATAAACAAAAAAAACATGCCTGTGGCAAGAGATTCCCCTTACAGGCGACTTCAGTCGGGAAAATTTGAAAATTCTTTCAAAAATATTGCTAAAAGATTTGCTTCAAAGGGGTAATAACTTATATTATTGATAAGGGCGTTTTTTTGCCTTATTCGAAAACAACCAAGATTCTTTTGTAAAAGACAAATGAAAAATCTTTCGATTGACTTTACTATTTTTAGGCGTGTGCAAGTAAAACTTGAAGACGACGCGAAAAAGGACACAACAATGAAATGGTATTCCTACCTGATCCTCCTCCTCATGTACATCGTCTATTTGGCCATCGGAGCAATGGTTTTTCAAAAATTTGAGCAGCCAAATGAGGTTAGCAATGAATAGTCTTCCATGTCTCCAGAAAAATGACCTCTTCTATTTCAGAAAAATAAGTGTATAGAGGCGAAAGAAAAAGTCAGGACGAAAATCAATCAATTTGGAGATGACTATTTTTACACTCTCGGCTTGAACTTGAAATTTTGCCGAGGAGTCAATGAATTTCTCGACACCCAATCTGCCGGTGTTCAGCAAGGAATGGGCTTTTGATAAAAAGAAAAGATATTGAATTCAAGTTTAATTTGGATCACGGAAAAGCCACAATCAAAAGATGTTATTGACATTATATCGAATTGGGCGAAAACGAACTGTTCGCAAGAAGCTTATCCAATAGTTGAGCAGTCATTGGCGAAGAGGGAGGACGATGATGAATTTGTCGCTCGTTATAATTTAGCTTGGAATAGTAAGTCACATCTCAATATATTCTGAGTCTTTGTAGTCTTTTGTCCTTCATAAACATTTGGAATCATCCATTGCCTTTAGAATGCCAGGATCTTGCGAATATGGAACCAAACTTTGACCTTGAAGAAATAACGCTCACTGGCAAAGGTTTGCCATTATCAATGTTTGACGTCAAAATTCAAATCCATCCCCATTATTAGCTCTCCGGGCAATTATGCAGAAAACCGCGCAGTTCGGCGTGAACAACTATCTATCGCTCAATAAGGACTGCCACGAAAGGTTAGCGAACTCTTCTCAACCCGAAGACAAAATGAGCCTTTAAAAGAATCGGCAGCTGATTCGATAATTGGCTTATCTTTTGAATAACTTATAAGTTCAGATGGAACTATCATAATGCATTTTTCTTCGCGGGAACATTGGCATCTACCATTGGCTATGGCAACATCGCTCCTGAAACTAAGTATGGCAAGATCTTCTGCCTGGCTTTTATCTCATTTGGAATTCCGTACTTTGCCTACATGATGTCAGTAAGTACTTTTATGGCGTTAAAAGCCCTTTGGTGCATGTTTTTAGAGTAAAAAATAATTAAATGACCTGTCATTTTTAGACTGATAATTATGCCTCTGTAAAGCTTAACAAAATTATTCATAAGAAAGAAAATCGGGCAAAAATGAGAATAAGCCGTTTCGTAGTTATGTGTCTAAAAATGCTTGACAGCTAATTAAAAAATAGCTCAATTACAGTAAGCCCTGATATAAGACTTATACCAGCGCCATCATAAAAATCTTTTTTAGGCAATATCGGACTTGATCAACCACCAAATGGACCGGATCCGCGACTGGCTGGAAAAGCATGTCTTTCCCGACGGAGTCAACTACTATTTCATTCCAAGTTGCTATACCTTTGGAGGACTCATCTTTTTCATCGCAATTCCGAGCTACATATTTACCATTATGGAAGGTACGCATTATCTTTTCTGGCAGATTTGTTACTAATTAAACAGATTGGACGATGCTAGACGCGATCTATTACAGCTTCATTTCTCTCTCGACGATTGGCTTCGGTGATTTTATTCCGTCCATGGAACCGCCAAATAAATACGCAGAATATGTCCGAAACGACACTGCTTGACACGGGTCTCTTCTATTTAGATGAGAAATGATCTTGAGACATAATGTCTTGACGATTTTTTTATGAAATCAAGATGACCCACTCGAAGTTTTGAAGCATTAATCAACCCTATTCCGACCGAACAGGATGATCAAAACGACGATGGACTTTCAAAATTATGCAATCCTTCAATTTGGCCGGAACATATTGAAATCATTTTCAACATGTATCGTGTCATGGTCTTCTTTTGGATCCTCTGCGGATTAGGTTTCAAAACTTCCGATTTTTCCGAAATCAAAATTTTCTAGTCTGGCTTGGTGGTGTGATTTCCATCATGACAGAAATGATTCGACACCGAGGAAAATCGCTCGACGACGAAAAACAGAAAAATGAAGAAAACGAGGAGAAGAAAGACAAGAATTTGAGACAACAGTCGACCAAGAGATTGAACAACGGATCGTTGCAAAAGGTGAGCAAAAGAATCTGCCAAAGATCAAGGAAATTTTATAGGTGGTGAAAGTCTAATGAGAACGCGCTCTTTCTTGTATATTTGTAATAAATCAAACTTCCAGTTCAATTCTACGAATCATTTTTATTCTAGTTCTACAGCTCGTTGTGCACAGGCTTTTTGATAGTCTTGACGTTCGGCGCATTCGGGTTGAATCCGACAACTGGCTTCTTCACTTTGTGGAGATTGTCAGCGATCATCTTGTTGATCGCCTCGTCAGTCAGTTTATTGTCTTCGGGACTATCCGCGTTCAATCGAACGACGCCGCTGGAATTTCAAGCGTTTCAAAATTTAACCCGTCGGAGAAAAATACCTGCAAGCGTCCGAGAGCTCATGACAGAGCCAAACGCCCATTTTGTGATGAAATTTTCGAACAAGCGCTTCTTCGAGAGTGTCTTCGTGGCGATTTAAAAATGCTTGGCAAGATCGAACCATCTAAAAACGATTAAAATTGGTCCTTATATCTAAATCCTACCTTGTCCACAGGGAATTTGAACTCCTTTGCTGCCTCCCTGTAATTCCTCTTTCCACAAATGTGGTCGAGAATGATGATGACTTCGTCGTCCCAAGTCAAGCCTTTTCCATCCAGTTCATCGAGCTTTCCGACCAGCTCTAGAAAGAGTTGAAAATGGACAGAAGAAGAGGGCTTACCTTTAGCCATGATATGACATGTTTCGCAGTAGATTTGTCGGGAGATTCCTAGGGGAACTTCAGTTATGGCAGCGACTTGACCAAGGGTGGCAATGAAAGGGATGAAAAATGCTCAGAAAAAGAACGGAATATGCAAAGTTAAATTGGCGCGTTGTCATCGATAGACTTAGATCTTTCGTAACTACAAAAAAAAACACTTAAAATTTCATCCCCTTAGGCAAGAAGAAAATTGAGCAGCTTCATTATGATAATGCTTTTTTTCAATTAATTTCTCTGTTTATAACTTGTGGATAATCCTCTTTGTTATGGCGGACAATAAAAAAGCAACGCAACGGTGACGAAAAATATTCAAAGCCACGGGCTGCGTTTTTATCATAAAAAATCTCTAAGCTCAACATGAGAAAGCATCGCCTCGGGGCAAGGATGAAGGAAAATGTTTCTTGAGATCTGGTGCAGATTTTAGCTTCATATCGTTTTAAATTGTTGTTGTGTTTATTCAAAATCAAGAATCTAAAAGTGGCAGGCTTGAAACAATGATAGTAAGAAGAGATTAGACAGCTTGTGTTGGTGTCATTTCAGTTTGATCTTCATTCTGGCGAGTGCTTTCGCTAACCATGCTTCCTGATGATTGCTTTCCAGGATTGTAATCGCCATTGCCGTCATCATTGCCACCTTTTCCAGCAACGAAGTAGTAGACAAGTCCAGCAATGAGTCCAACTCCGACGAGACAACCGATGACGATTCCAACAATAGCTCCGGTTGACAGTCCAGTTGGGCAAGGCTCAGAGACAGGGAAGTTCCTAACAATGAGATATTACAAAAATTATCACTGAAAAATCATCGCATCTTGTCAACTTACACTGGTGCGTCAGGATGAGCCTTGTTGTATGCAGGTTCTTTGACATCCTTGATGAATTTGATGATTGAAGTTTCTTGTCGAGGATCGACGCAAATATTATCATCATTACTTTCTCGGAAAAGTCCACTGGTAAATTTATCGCAAAATCGGGCTGAGCTGGGTTCTTTTGGCACTTCATCAAATTTTTCTTTGAGCTTTTGCTTGAGCGGACCATCCGGAATTGCGCCCAAATCTGGTTGGTATTTTAGTATTTGACGCTTTTTCGGCAATTCGTACCTGGTTTGTTGGCGATGAAACTTTCGGAAATCTTGATACAGTCATAGTCTTTTTCACAACGGGTAATCAAATAATCTTTTCCATCGACAACTCCGCCGTTGTAGTACAGATCATTGAGATATTCACCAAGGCCTTCAGGATTGAAGCAAATGTAATCATTCTGGCAAGCTTCGAGGAAGGACTGGCAGAATGCCCGGCATGCTTGGATTTGAACCCTTTCGCTTTGATTCCTCTGGAAAGCGTAAATATTGGGAGAGCACTGGGAGGTGCAGAAATTGCTCTGCACATACGCCTGGCATGTAGAACTCATTCCGGCTGAATTGAATCGTTTAAAATTTAACAATGCCTACTCATCGCTTTTCTTGAGCAAATACTCTGGTGCTTGACCTTTTTTGATCAAATTTGTTAAGGAAAAAAATTGAAAACATATTCTACTCACCATTTTGGACTTTGTTTCCTTGGGCGTCGCAGCCGGAGAAGTCGAAGATGCCGTACTTGGTCAATTTTCCATCAACATTTTTGAATTTGTTGAACTCGGTGGAAACTTTCGCGTCGTCGCAGCAAGAATAACACGAATACTATGAATAAAAATAATAGAATGGCAATTTTTTCTTTCATTGTTTTCTTACCGAAGGACAAAGATCTTTTCCAGTCGGTTCCGGGCCATTTTGGAAATGATAAGGTAAGTTTCCGCATCTCTCTTCCCTGGTTACTTTGTCCGCCGGAGTCGTTGTTGTTGTGGAAGACATTGTCGGCACCGGAGTCGGATCAGTAGGCAATGGAGGGAGCGACGGCATAGGATCCTGGCTCATGACGCCAGCAAAGGCGAAAGCAAAAACTCTCATTGTTCTTTTGGCTCTAGTTTCGCGTGTGGAACTGGAGGATAAGAAGGCAGAAACGGCAATTTTTATTTGCGCGCGGGAATCATCTATTGCAAATATTGAAAAAGCATTATTCGTAGCGCTCGGTCACGATTCTTGCTGCCAAATTTGCCAAATATGGAAGGCGTCGAACGATAGTTTAGTTAATGATGAATGGATAGTAACAATCATAAGTCAATGACTCTTAATTTTTTGCCAAGGAGCCGTATTTCCATTTTAACCCCTTTTGATCAAAGATCAAAACGGTGCTAATCAATTTACTTCCATAACACCTAAGGTCCCTCTCATCAAAAGCCCCTCCTTGACCTTCTTCATCTTTCCCCGAAAGCCGCGCTAGAAAAGAGAGACCGTAAAATTTTCAACATACAAATTTGAAAATTTTCAAAGTTCGTTTTAGATTTCGCGCAGCTGGGCCGCCGGCGGGAGCTCGATTGTGGCCGATTTCACGTGATAATTGCCCGCAGCGGGTGCCTTGATTGCCTGGGGCCGACCTTGCGCTCACCTGCGTAGCTGGTTGGTCACGTGGCCTCGTGAGCGGCTGGTGGCGCTCTTTTTCGGGGAATATAATCCGCGAGAAAAGCCAAGAAGGCATATTCACTCCAAACTTCAAGCAGAAAAACAGCTTCTTACAGAAAAACTCGCCTTTCAAGCGCGAAAAAGCTTCATCAAAACTTTTTCTTCAAACTCCCTCTCCACCAAAAGAATCTTACTCCTCAGAAAAATGGTTCAAATCGACCTCAACGACACCATCCGAAAAGATGGCCTCTTCGCCTGCTTCCGCCCTAAGCTCCCCAAGAACCTCCCTCGCCTTCCAAAGCTCAAGAAAACCACTGAAAAGTTCGAAGAAACCGCCGACTTTGAGTTCGAAATCCGCCGCTTTTCCGGAGAAGACAACGACAGCGAAGACCGAGTTTCCTGGCGACGAGAAGTTCGAAAATCCTGGTTCGAATTCGATCAATTCCAGCAACAGAAAAAAGAACAGGGATCTGAAACGCTCGAGAATCTCCGCCTCCAGTCCCAGGTCTACAGAGAAGAGGTTAACTCCCTAAAGCGACAAATCGACGAGCTGAAGGAGGAAAAACGACATCTTGCTGAAAACATGCTCCCGAAAACTGCAAGATATCTTTTGTAAATACCGTTTTTCTACTTTTTTCTTCAAATAAAACTTCAAAAATTTAAGTTTTCTATCGCTTTTTTCCCGAAAAACAACGATGTTCTCGAACCTCCAGTCAAGTTATTACACACTTTTCTGGCCAATCAAATCAATTCAAATATTTGGTATCATAAAAAACTCTTCAAAAGAATACCCATTTTTTTAAAACAGAGATTTTGCCCAAACCTCCTTTTCGAAAAATGAGCGAAAGAGACAGATTGGTCGATCGTTCGCTTTTTCCGCAGCTTGGAGAGAAAATCTATTTTGACAACGCTGGAGCAGCGCTTTATAATTCGAAGCATGTCGATCGTGTTTCTGAGGCATTGAAAAATACTCTTTTAGGTTAATTTTCAGAAATCAACGAAGAGAATTACGTTTATTTCTTTTAGTAAATCCGCATTCTTCAAGCGATTCGGAGGTGAATTCAATTGAGCTGGAATTGAGAAGTCGTCTTCGAGATCTCTGGTCGATGCCAGAAGATTATGAAATTATTTTCACTCGGGAATGGTTTTCAACATCTATTTTTTCTTCTTTCTAGCCCTTCTGCTTTTTGAAAACAAAAGAGAACGCAACAGAAGCAATCCAACTGACAGGCAGAATCTTCAATTTCCAACCTAATGACATCTTTTTCTACACCCTCGACAATCACACTTCTATCGCTGGCCTTCGAAAAATGGCGAAGGGAAATGTTTTCTGCTTCGAAAATCGCCACAAGACTCATGTCATCCAAAGCTCTTCTGAAGAAGATGGCCGATTGCTGGTCGCGTACCCAGCTCAAAGTAATTTCGATGGCTTTCGAGCTGACTCGCCAGTTGAAACGATTTCAATGCACTATCCCAACGCCACTTCAACCCTTGTTCTTCTCGACATTGCTTCCTTGGTATCTTCATCTCCCGTTCCTTTTGCAACGCACAAGTTTGACTTTGCCCCGTTTTCTTTCTACAAACTCTTTGGGTTACCAACCTCTCTCGGCGGCTTGATAATCCGGAAGGAGCATTTAAAACCGCCAAATGATTTCTTCGGCGGCGGATCTGTCAAAGCGTGGCTCCCGACCGAAGCAATAACGATGGAAAAAGATGGAGTCGAGTCTTGGTCGCTTGAAGTCCACCTAGCGCGGAGATGCTCCAAGCGTTGATTGGGCTGAACACCTGGTTGGAATTGACGAATGGCTTGGAGAACTTATCGTCCTTTCTTCAGTCATTGACGGAATTCGCTCTTGAATCATTGAAGAAAATTGCGTATCCTGATGGAGCCCAAGCATTTGAAATTTACAACCGTGGAGATGAAGAATCTTCTGGGCCAATAATCGCCTTCAACTTGAAAAAACAAAACGGCTCGTTTTTCCGGCCAGGGGATATTTCAAGACTTTTGGCGTCCGAAGGCTTCATAATTCGATCTGGATGCATGTGCAATTTAGGGAAGGGTTGATAGACAAATCGGTTGGTCATACGTGGCCTTTGCGCAATTTCTTTTTCCTGCTGAATTTCAAAATTCTACATTCCACCGCGAATTCGATTTCTAAGTCAATTTCTATTCAACCTAAGAAAAGGCGCCTGCATGCAAGCTTTGCAGAATTCAAGCGCGGATGTCAAGAAGAATTTTCTCGCTGGACATAGCTGTGGGGATGAACTGGATTTGGATGAGAATGGGCGGCCACAAATGGCGCTGAGAATCAGCTTTGGCTATCATAGTTCAAAGGGAGATGTGGAGAGATTGGTCACCTTTTTTGAAGATTTCATCAAAAATTCAACTTTTTCTCATAAAGGTAAGAGCACAAATCTGTCGGAAAATGTGTGAAATGGTTAATCATTATTTTAGAAAGACTATTAATTAACATTCGCTTAATTAGATAAAAAATAATATTTGTCTATAAAAATTTAAGAGAAACTTATGGTTTTCTCTTCATCGAAAAATATTCAGATAACAACGAAGCATCCTTTTCATCTTCTACGAAAAAAGTCCGTCTCCAGTCGTTGTTTGTGTTTCCCTTGAAATCAGCAGGGGCATTATCTCTCAACGAGATGCGATTTCACGAGAACGGCACGCCGCTGCTAGACCGAATCTACTGCGTAGCGAGTGGAACATCTCGTCAGGTTGTTCAAGGCAAGCATCTGCCCAAGCTAGCGAAAATCCAGCCGAGAATTGACTTTGAGACCGGGAAATTGACTCTTCATTATACGGGGTTAGAAGATTTACTAATTGAAGAAAATAATGACGATGAAGAAGATGAGGAAAATGGCAATACGGAGGGCTTGTCGATTTGTGAGGAAAGGATAGATGAAAGTTGACGTCTGTGGGACTAGATGAATGTCAGCGAGACAATAAACGGATTGTCAAAGCGTGATCCTATAAAAAGACCAGAGTTTGTTTGAGGAAGATTCCGATGAAAGATTGTGGAGAAAAGGCTTCATGTTGGCTCAAAAAATGTCTCAACAGACAGCTCAGGAAAGAGATGCGAAATCTTACTACAGACATTTTTACGAAATCGAAATCGAATTCTTTGAATCCTCAGATTATTTTATTATCAATAAATTCATATTTTGAAGGTAGTCCGGTCACCATCAAAAATAAGATATCAGGTTTTTTGAGAAATTCATCTTACTGAGTCTTAAAAATTTGTTAATAATTAGATAAATATATCAATTATGGTATCTTTCGAAAGACTTTTGAAAATTTCTTCTTCAATCGACGGCCTAAATCTTCAAATGAAATCGCCTCTTCTCCTCGTTACAACAGCTTCACTAGAATGGTTGAGGAAGAAACTTGCGGAAAACGGCGTAAAAATGACAATCAATGATCTGGTCATGCGTTTCCGGCCAAATTTACTTCTGGAAACAAATGAAGCGTTTGAAGAAGAGTCGTGGAAAGAACTGAAAATTGGTGATTTCCTTTTGACTGTTCAGGGAAACTGTACTCGCTGCGGAGCTGTCTGCACAAATCCAAAACTGGGGATAAGAGAGGGCGAACCGTTGAAAACCCTGACTCAGATTCGTGAAAAGACGCAATTTGGAATCTACGTCGAAATTTTCTCCTCGAAAATGCTGCTCAAAAGAGGCGACTTTATTGAACCTGTTTTCAAATGACTTTTTTTTTTGACTTCATAAATAAAGAAACCCAAGACGCATCATAAAAACGCGGCAAAACAATAAATGACCTGGCGCTTCTTTTGTCTCACTTTTAGCAAGAATGAGAGGTGAAGTTTTTCAAAGAAAAGGGAAATATTGCGGATGAAATTGTGCAGTACAGAGATGGCAGCAAAAAGCGTTATTTTCTTGTTCGGATTGAATATTTTCCTGACGATTGGGCTTTCTTCTATGCTGGTAAGTTGAAAGAAGAAGGAGGTAGACGAAGACAAATTGAGAAATCTTGTCTGAAATTATATTTTCTTTCTTCAGCATTTCTAAACTGAAAAGATAACAATTAATTATCTCTGCGAAATCAAATGATTGTTCGGACAAATTCCGACAAAACTTCAGCTCATTATTATTTGTTTATTACCAAGCGGCTTTTGACATTTTCGGCCTTTCCGATCAGAGATAATTCATTTCACGATTGAGGAGCCACGCTTAAAAGAAAGTCTCAGAATCACGCTCCCCGTAAAAATTGACTTTTAACCAAGAGTTGGAATTCACGTTTTTTGAAATAAATTTTATCACTTGCCACTTGAACTTACACAAAAATCAAGTGAAAGAGAAGTAAAAGAGAGGAGGGAGATGATCCCGAAGATTCACTGCCCGAGATCTACGATCACCAATTTTTTGGTGATCTCTTTATTTTTAAATTTTGTTTCGGTAAGAAAATAGGTTGAGGGTCACTATAATTTATAGTCTATAAAAGCCCAATTATCAGCATCAATCTTCCGTTGAAAACCAGAGGATTCGGCCTTTTTGACTTCCTCTTTGATATTAAAATGATTCTTTTAGTTTTATGTTTACCGTGAGACGCTACTTCAAGTCAACGGCCAACACAACCACCAAGCTCGTTCAGTCCCAACGGCGGTTGTCGAAATGGATTCGCCAACTTTCAAGGGAATGTCCAATTCAAAGGATAGTCAAGGAAAAATCAACCCGAAAATAATAGAAACAGACGAGGCGCAACCTCAGAATTCAAAAAGAAAAGCTTATTTACTCGTGACGATGTACAGAAGCGGCAGTACGTTGACAGGAGAAATGTTCAACAGAAATCCGGACTTTTTGTACTACTTTGAGGTATGCCTTTTTCTGAAAAAATGATAAATAATGAGTGAAGCCACTTGCAATTTTTGGAAACAACAATGCTCCACTTCAAAAGATCAAGATGTTGAACGATACTTTTCACTGTCATGCGCCAAATGCTGAGAATTTCAAGAAATATGCAAACCCAAAAGAATCCACGACAAAAAATTGCCTGAACGAGGTAAGAACATGTTCACTGAATTTTTTTTTGGAAAATTTCATTCCGTTATTTTTAAGAAAAGTCACTGTTCATCCTCTTTTATAGGGAGTCTGCATGTACCAACTCTCAACTCGTTTCTGCAAGCCTCCATTTTGCTGGAACCCTGAAGCTCCGGCGACTCAGTGCAAGAAGCAATGCTCCCCACCCGGCTCAGATCGCGCAAAACTTGATCACATGGAGCGAATCTGCAAAGAAGAAGTGGATACAGTGGCAATCAAGACGATCCGATTCTTGGATTTGAAGCGGCTTCATCCTTTTTACGCAGATAGCTATCCGATTGATTTCAAAGCAGTCTTTCTTGTTCGTGATCCTCGGAGCATGTATCACTCCAGGTAGGGATGATCTTACGTAACAACTATGAAGAAGGATTTCAGAAAGAAAATTCACCTTGAACTATTGCACGGAAAAGCGAATGAAATGGGCGGATTCATGAAGATGCTAGAGCAAGAATGCGACCTCGTCGCGCAGAACTTAGAGCTCTTGAGCAATACAAGGACTTTGGAATCAAGGAAGACCTTCTCTCTTCGATACGAGGTAGATTCGCCGAAGGGGGGGTATTTTTTCTAGATCGATATACTGATCACCAGAATAATTGTTTAATTTTTGTGAAATCAAATTTTAAATGTTTCTGATTTCACTGAAATATAATGTAAAATTCCAAGATACGTATTAAGTAGGAAGTAACCGATCATTATCTATTTTTTTAGGATATCGCTCGGGACCCGATTAAATATTCCAAAGCAATCTACAACTTCCTTGGCGAAGAATTCAACGACGAAGTCAGCGGATTCTTACACGATGCAATCGCTCCGCCAAAGAATAAGCTCGACAAATCAAAAGCTACTTACACAACTAGCCGAGCTATCAACGAAACAACCGTAAAAAGAAAAGATAAAGCAGAAAAATGAAAATTTCCTTTAGATCTTGAACGGTTGGAGATTGGATAAAATGGTCAACCCGTCGGAACTAAACCAAATTCAAGAGAAATGCGCGAAAATGATGAAACTTGCCGGATACTTACCTATAAAGCCCGATCAAAAGAGAGATTTAACAATTGAATCCGTTGATATAAAGAGCAAATACGGAAATCTGTAGTCTTATTAATCATTTGTTTCCTGCATATCATCATTCTGCCAATAAATTCAAAAATCTATGAACGCTCAAGCGTTACTGCTCTTCCTTGTTTCCGCTTGATTGAGGATATGGCTGAGACCACTTCCAAAGTACCCTTTCATATGTAGATTTAAAACAGAAGTATGGAAAAGAAACTTATTTTTCTTCTTTTTGTCATTTTTTCATCGCCCTTTGCCTCCCGATATACCCACTCATCATCGCATTTCGAGGAGAAGAAGTTGATGAACCTGTGGTTATGAATGCGACGAGATATACGAGATTGAGTCCTGACGAAAATGATACGCTAGTAGATGAACCAGAGGTTTTGAATGCGACGAAATATACGAGCTTCAGTCCTGATAAAAATGATACGCTCGCTACTGAGGAGGTGATAAACTTGGAAATTTCGGAATATACCGGTAAAGCTTTTCATCGTGGAAAATGGGTGGATGCTATTCTGTCACCGATACTTTTACGTAAGAAATTTTCTGGTGAACCAATGTTTTAAAAGAGTCAACTGGGGCTGCTTAAACTTTTGAGTGAAAGATCAAAATTTTCACCACCCGGCCATTTTGAAATTCAGATTATCTATTTTCTTTTAGACTATGAAGAGGCAAAAAATATTGCAAAGAAAACAACAGTACAATGGTTGATTCGAAAGTCGACAATTTGATGCCCGCACCAAGGCATACTCGTCGATTATACAGTATTGCCTCTTCATAGTCTAAAAAGAAAATAGATAATCTGAATTTCAAAATGGCCGGGTGGTGAAAATTTTGATCTTTCACTCAAAAGTTTAAGCAGCCCCAGTTGACTCTTTTAAAACATTGGTTCACCAGAAAATTTCTTACGTAAAAGTATCGGTGACAGAATAGCATCCACCCATTTTCCACGATGAAAAGCTTTACCGGTATATTCCGAAATTTCCAAGTAAAATTAATACTATTGGATAAGGGCAGAGTATTCTACAGATCTTGAAGGCCTCGAAATAGACGACGAGTACCGAATGAAAATACAAAGCGAGCTTGATCGCGAAAAAGAAAAACCTCTCGGAAAAATTCTCGTTCAAGTTGATACTCAACCTGACTGTGATATTCTGAAGGTAAATTAACTGATTATAATTAGTTATTAGATGTTGTATAGGTAGTAATTAAATACAATTTCAAGCTTAACTCAACATTTGTTAAAAAACATCAGCTACTTGTGGGGCCGGACGTCAATCCTTACTGGAAACGAGTAAATGATACTGCATCCAAGCACGGAAGGCTGATTCTTTCAGGATATTTCACAGGTAGTCGCGGAAATGCAATATTTTTTATCTTATTTTTTCATAAAGGCGATGAAATTGGTGATATTTCTTGGTGCCCTGGTAATCCAAATTATCTTCAAGGAGCGTTTATTTACGAGGACGATGTTTTCCTCGGAACAAATTCAAAAAGGTTAGGACTGGTTTTCAAACAATTCTTAATTTCATTTAGGGCTTATGCGATTTGTCTCCGCTGATTCTCATTTTAAACCATATTACCATGAATATGCTTCAGCAAAAATTACAAAAAATAACAAAATATACAATACTCTTCTATGTCTTCAAATATTTTAACTCGGTGCCACGCCGAGGCCATTTTTATGCGCGAAGAAAGCTATCATTGATAGCCTATCAATAATCCATTAATAGACCGCAACGGACCCAAGCACAAAAATCTCTCTGTGTTTTCCACAATGCATTTTGGTGCTGGCGAAAACGCCCAGCGGGCATTCCTGCTCCTGGTGGTGGAGCAAGCGCCGCTATTGGTTGCTGCCCGGCCTGCTCCACCAAAGCCAAGGAGTAGAAAAAGGAAGAATTTTTATTAAGAGAAAGAGGAACCCCTTCCCTTTTTCTTCTGAGTGGGGCTAAGAATAACCGGCTTTGGCCGGAGAAACGGCTTTTAAAATGTTGAATCAGAACAGGAAAGGGTTGAAAACTCGCAAAGAGAAATAATTCGAAAGAGAAATTTTCTTTGGTCAAATCAAATTTATCTTTATTCAGATAATTTATTTGCCCATAAAAATTTAAGACAAACAAATAATTTAATAATTAAATAACAATTCAGTAAGAACGTCATCTTTTATTTGATATTTGTGAAATGAAAGAGCAAGTAGAATTGCTTAAAAGTCTGCGCAAACAATTATCAACCAATAAAAGATCCCGTATGGGGATCAGTTCTGTTTCATCTGGCGGCTACGTCAGTGGCGGTGGCCATTCCCGGAGTTTTTCCCGGCGTTTTGGCTGTCCGACCCTTCCTTCCCGAGCTGGAATAACATTCTTTATGTTCATCCTCTCCTTCGCGACAAATGTCTATTTCTACATTGAAAACCAAAACTTACTTCACAACTTGGCCTACAAAGAACTTCACGAAGCAGTCAAAGTTCAAGAATGCCAAAAACTGCTAGCCATGAAATCAAAGAAGATTCAAGAGCAAATGCTCCAAGCATACGCTCACAAAAACAACCTAAACGGATTCATACCCATGCTTGACGACGATGACGGATTTGACGATAACGTAGGCAAAGTTGATGGAATTCATGGAATGCCTATGCCCAAGCATTTGAATCTCCCGCAACCAGGAGTGAATAGGGCGCCAGCGTTGGTTCAAAATAACGATTATGGGCACGAATTTGACACGCACCTCGACCAGGATTCTTCTGAAGCGCCGGAGCCGGATTTCGCGTATGATTTCGCGCAAGAACCGAATCCTAGAATCCAAGCGCCAGCGGCACCTGTGGACTCCTGGAATCAGCAAGTTGCTCTTCCCGCTGCTCCTGCGGCTCCTGTCCGATACGAATCGCCAGTGATCGACCCTCAGGAACAAGAAGACCGGGAAAAGGAACGAGAAGTGATTCAAAAACTAAACGACTTTATCGAAAATATCAACAAAAACGGCGGCGCGGAAGCATTTGCGAATCAGCTAAAAGAAGAGCCGAAACTCGAGGCGCAAATCGAACACGTCCAGATGGCAGAGCAGATAATTTCTGATGCGGAAGACAATGGCAGCGAACTAGAGGTCGCCGACACGCTTCATGAAATTGCTGAAGAAGTGGCTGAAATAGTCCAGGATCCAGTGATGGAGGACATTGTCGAGGCCCAAGATGACGGAGAGATCCAAGATGAGTTTGATGAAATCAAGGAAGAGACCCTTGATGAAACGGCTCAAGGGGATCCTTTCGAAGAGGCTGCTCCGGCAGATACTTCTGAAGAAACGGCTGACCCATGGGCTGCACAGGAAATTCCTCAAGAGCCGGAAGCCGCAGAACCAGCATTTGAGCTTCCAAAAGATTTTGGAGAGCCGGAAACTGGCGATTCCTTCGGTCAAGAAGAACAAGAAGAGAACACCGAGAACAATTACCAGAACGATAACTACGAGAACGATGACAATAACAACGAAGTTTTCCAACAAGAAGAGGAAAACGACAATGGTGAGATTGCAGACCCTTTCAGTTTTGGCGACGCGCCGCAAGAAGATGGCGGCGAAGATGATTTGTCAAAAAACTGGGAGCGCCCGATTGGGATTCAGGAGTCCCAATCGACGAGGGCAGAAAACCTCCAGACATCGGAGGAGAATATCCTGAACCAGGAGAACCAGCTGGCGGACTTCGAACCGACGGTAAATCTCTTCTTCGTATTCATTAATATTCATAAATTTTTAGATGGAGCGACAACCGTTGCCCCAGGAGCCGGAGACGAGCTGGATGGAACCACAACAACCGATAGTGGAACAACAACTACAACAGAGCACTCAACAACAGCAGCTCAGTGAAAATAGTGACGTTGATCCCCTTAAACCTGTTGTTGTCCTCGGCGGAGGAGCATCGCAAGCTGCTCTTGGCCAAAGATGGGACAACGAGGAAGACGAACTCATGCCAAATCAAGGGTAAAAAACCATATCTATCCTTCAAAATCATTATTTTCATTCAGATTCGGACAAATCAACCCTTACAACCAATTCGGCCAATTCAACCAATTCGGTCAGCCAGTTCAGCAACCCTACGCCAACCAATTCGGCATGAACCAATTCGGCCAACCAGTTCAAGTTCCAAAACCAAAGGAAGAAGACCCTGATGAGATAAGCCCCGTTCAGATCAAAAACGTACAATCCTTGGCTGAATCCGGAGGCAATGCGAGAGACTGCAATCATCTTTACAACCTTGGAGTTTCACAAAACGGAGTTTATATGATTCGACCAAGTCCTACCGACACCCCTGTTCAAGCGAAGTAAGATATACAAAAGCCTTATCTTTTTAACTTTTTTTTCAAGATGCGATTTCCGCTACTCTGGTGGCTGGACCGTCATTCAGCATCGTTTCGACGGCTCGGTTGATTTCAACAAGGACTGGGCCGCCTACGAAGCTGGTTTTGGCCAAGCCCAGTCCGAGTATTGGCTTGGCTTGGAACACATAAGCAAATTGTCAAAAGCTGCCGACACGAGAATAAGAATCGATCTCACCGACTTCCAAGGGCACAGTGCTTATGTCGAGCATGAGAATTTCTTCGTCAATGGACCGGAGGATAACTACAGGTAGACAGTAAAGAATTTCCTTTTTTACAATTTTTCTAGACTTCATGTTGGAATCAAGCGACACGGAGACTTAGGAGACTCTTTCCAAGTGACTTCTGGCGAGAAATTCACGACCTACGATCGCGACAACGATGGATGGTCCGGAAATTGCGCTGAAGACCTCCGTAAGTTCACAAAAGTAAGATTTCTCTAAAACGCTTCTCAGAGGGCGGAGGTTGGTTCTCAAAATGCTCGTACGCTAACATCAACGGAAAATACTATCCAACGGGGATTTCATCAAGAAGAGACGGTATTTATTGGGCCAAGTTTCCAGCGGATTACAGACCTCCAGGTAAAGTGCCTCTTTTCAGTCTAAACTGATCATCTTCTATAGATCCGGAGAAACCAGGCTACCGATTGAACTCGTTTTTCTACTCGATGAAAGAGATCAAGATTTCAATACTGGTCGATCCAAACAAATAGCTGCCAACAATCAACTTTATAGTATCAATTATATAATAATAATATCCTTCTTTCTGTATCTATTTAAAACTATGTTTGTTCAAAGCACCAATTCCTAAATACAGTTTATTGAAATATCAATCTACATTTGATAGATAACAAGTTCAACTTATCGACTCTCTTGCATTCGAAAAGATCTGGTTATGTAATGAAAACATAAAAAAACTTAGTAAGATTTTGTGTAAGTTTATCTTGTTCTGTGAAATATACAGTAACTGTTCGATGGGCACACACAATATGCACAATTACCATAAATAATAATAATTGTGTAGAGCGAGTTGAGTTGAGCTTTTTTCAACAGAGTGTGGATTGTTTCTTTAAAAAAAGTAAGGCGGTATTTGATTTTTACTTTTCATAGGTTTTGGGAACAGGAATTATTACAAGGTTTCTTTAGTTATAGATAGGGATTCTCACGGAAAAACAAATCGTACTCAATTTTCGTGAAACTTTCACTCTAGATGTAATTTTTTCCGCTGATTCCAAATATGCAAAAATCATTATGAAATTCTGAGCAAGTGGCAAGCTATAGCCGATAAGGTAGCTTGGTGGTAAGCCCTAGTATTTGGTTCGTTTTGGAAGTAATCCTTGAATATTAGTCGGCTAATTTTTAGCAAAATGGTAGCTTACCACTTCCGGGAACTTTTTTGTTCAGATAACCCGCCGTTATTTGTGACTGATTTGCTACAGTAGGTCAGAGTGTGCACCCACCGAGATTATGGGGCGCGCTAATGCTTTCCGGGCCTCCCACGGAGCGCGTAAAGCACTACCGCGCCGTCACTTTCAGTCAATCATCGGTTGTTTTCAGAGGTTCTAGGGCTCCCCCGGTTTTCAAACTTATATATGATCTAAAGAAAGGTCTTTTATTGAACATATATAAAAATCTGAATTTAAAAAGGTCGGTTAGGGCTTCAAAAGTAAGAGAAACCAATTTTGGGGCCGCGCTCGCCGCTCAATGTACTATCGCGCCGCCACCAAGACTCCATCAACGGGACATTTGAAGGCCTTCTAGTTTCTCCCCGGTCTTCAAACTTTAACAGACTCAAGAAAAACATCTGTTCTTAGACATATCTCGGAATCAGAGATTCAGAAGGTCGGTTAGACACATAGAGAGCAGGTTTTCTTTGAATTTTCGAGAAAACTACGCTTTTTAGATGAAAATTTAAGTTTTTGAGCTCAGTTAATGAACAAGCGTCATCTTTTTTCATATATTCAGAAGTTTTTCACTGAAATTCTTTCAAGTTACGCGAAATAGATTGCCATCATTTTGGGCGAGTAGCGCCTCACCGCGCACCGTTTTTCCGTGAGAATTCCTAGTTATAGATAAGAATGAAAATAGAATTGTTTCTTTTGAACTTCACCGACGATCAATAGCGAGATAAATACTGATTGAGTAGGCAAATTAAGGCTGTTTTGATTGGTCAAGAAAATAACACCCGTTTCTTGGCCACGGAGGAAATAAGGCAAAACTGAAATAGTTACAGATTTTTTCTTTGAACGAAATTGCGATTGTCTGTCACTTTTTTGTCACTTTCGAACTGTTGAATTTTTAATTTGTGGGTTGATTGCGGACTTCCTTGAGCTGGGCCAGTTGGGATTCGAAGACGCGGATCTTTTCTTCGATCTGGCACTGTTCGTCGAGATATTGGCGCTTTTCCTGGACGTATTTTAGGAAATCGTCGAATTCCTCCGCCTGAATTGCTACTGTTACGATTTTGAATGATGAAAGGGCTTTACCTCAAGCTGGCGCTGTAGGGCTTCTGTAACAAAGGCCTCTCTTTGCATACAGTGCTCGGAGCACTTGTCGGATTCGGACATTTGCGACTTCAGAACTTGGTATTTTTGCTTTAGGGCTTCGGTTGTTGCGAGATCATGACTAAAACTCCATCAGAAACAATCAAAAAAGGAAGACTCTAACCTTCCGTTTTTTAAACTTGCTTCGGCTCGCATAAGCCGCCCAGCCAATTTCGACCTGAGTTTGAAATTCGACTCGATGTCCTCGACAAACAGCATGTATTTGGAAACAATGTTTCTGGGGCACTTGTCCTTGATGATCGCATTGACGCTTTCGCCAAAAGACTCATTGTCCCTGTAGCCAAGAATCACTTCTTCCTTCAAGTTCGCCATGTCTACAAAAGAAAGTTTAAAAATCACGATTGGCTTTGGAAATCAACAAAGACACAAAAATATACAAACTTTGCATAATCTCATTACTCGCGGTCTCGAGCCTGCCAGGCTTTCCAATTACCAAAAAATGCAGAAAACTTGCTTACCTAGAATTCTCTTCTCATGTTGCATGATGACATCGCTCAAGCTCGTTTCATCCGAGTCCGAATCGTCCACATTATTCGCTTCTTTCTCCTTCAGTTTGAGCAAACCACTTGGGTCAAAATAATCCTTGGGCAAAAGGCATGCGTCAGGTTCTGGTGGAGGTGGTGGAGCATCTTCTTCTGGCGGATCCGTGCTCGCGCGCTTGATCTTGTCGAAGATTCCAGAGATTTCAGATGGGATTTCGACCTCGATACTTGCTTGGGGTTCAAGTTTAGGCCGTGAGCTCCCCTCAGGCGAGTGAGGAGGAGAATCACAAGGGGGCAAGACAGGAGGATCAGGGAATTCGACCGCTTCTTCGGGGATCGACGAGTGCGAGATATTTAGACTATCAGTACTAATCGGCCTGAAAAACGACGAAGAACTCGGCGTTGCAGGATTGGGGTGATTCGCACTTTCACTTATTGAATCTAGAGTTCCACGGGATGCCGTCATTGCCGGACTAGCGGAGGTGGAACGCAGTGCTTCTTGAGACAATCCAAGAGCTCTGAAGAAAGAAAAGTTTAAAAAGAGACATAAAATTATTTTGAGCGTTTAAAGAGGCTCTGAGTTAACCAAACGACTAAGCCATTTGTCAGATTTATGGGAAGGGCTATTTTTAGCTCAATCAAAAACGATGTTCAAAATAAAAGAATTTTTTGTTGATGATCACTATTTTAAATAGTCTATTTATAACTGAAAACAAAGTGATTTTAATCCTTTCTTACAGTCAATATAAAGATAAGAAGAAGAATAAATAAAGAAAAACATTTCTAATAATCAGTTTTATAAAGGAGATTTCAAAGAAGAAATTATGTGTGTTTACCTAATCTTGTCGGCAATAGCTGATCCTCGTCTGGAACTATTCGGTGTCGAGTTATTCTCATCATCAGAATTCTTCCTCACGGGGGTTCGAACTTTTCTGAAAGTAACATTTCCTCCATAGGGACTTCCGTTTGGCGTGGTCTCTTCTTCTCTAAGAATCTCCATACTCTGACTGGGCATTAAATTCGTCGCGTTTAATTCATGATTGTTTCCTCCTCTTATCTGCCCTCGAAGCCCCGAATCTCCTGCCGAGTTGAGAGCAGCGAGACGGCTTGTAGGAGTTGTTGTGAGCTGAGTCATGTTCTCGGCGGAACGACAACGATCCAGTTTCATTATATGGCGGTGATGCGTCCGCGCATTGTGAAAAGACGTAACACTCGAGACTTGGGCAACTTTTGGCGCTGGCGGCGAGGCGGGCGTTCCGGGGGTCGAGATTGAGGATTGGGGAGAAACTGGGGAGGCAGGAAGGGGCTTGTCCGCAGCAGGGCTAAATATAGTTTCTCTTAATTTTTCTTGAAAAAAAAATCGTACCTTTCGGGCGAAGAACTTTGGTCCTCGTTGAGGGGAAAAATAATCGGCGTCCTACGTGAATCGGAAGGCGTTCGGAAGTGAAAGACGCGCGGCGACGACGGACTTGACGAGTTTTTCCCACCTGAAATTGATCGACTTTGATTTTGATTGATTGAGGGAAGTCTTACCGGAAAGAGAGCCAGTGGAATTGTCGAAGGAGGAAGAGGAGACGGGCGGTAAAGGCATGCTCGGCAAGAGTGATTCGGGGAAGGAGACGGGTCTAAAACACAGGGTTAATACAGGAAGAAGTTTTCTTATCAGCAGTGGGCTTAGAATTCGAAGGTTTACCTGGAGGAGTTTTCATGATTTCTTTGATTATGATTGTTGCGCTTGAACTGGAGTGGTACGTAGGACGAGTTTAATGCACTTGTGGTGGAACGAGTAGTAGAAGGCGGTATGGAACTTTTGTGTAGACTCTGACTCGAGCTGGTAGTGCCCGGTTGGTTCGACGCGTAGGCGTTTCCAAGGCGGTTTGCAAGGGCGATCGAGCTCGGCCCGGGAGGCGGAATCTCCGTTCGATTTCGGATGTCGGGAGAAACGACGCTGCTCGTTGAAGTCGGAGTTTTGATGACGGGAGTTCGCGCATTCGTATTTGGAGAAGTGACATTGTTGCTGGGCGGAGTCGGAGAAATGGAACTGTGAAAAGGTCCCTGGATGAACTTTTTTTAAAAAATAACTTGATTTAGCTCGTCGGTCAAGCTGAAATTGCGATTGGCTTGTGGCGGCGCTCAAGGGTGGAGCCGGTAATTGAACTGATTTCGTGAGTGGTTCTCTTATCACGGCTCCCGCTGGCAAATGAAATTTTAGCCCTCCCATTCTAGCGTTTTCCCAAAAACGACAAATTCAAACGACGACCTTTTTTGATCGATGGGAAAACGACCTTATCCAAAACTATTGTATTTCAAAATTGAGCGACTTAAAAAGTTTTCACTCAAGAAAGATAGATAACTTTTCTTCCCAGATGGGGCTTTTTGGCTAAATCTGAAATATTGAGATTCTGAATTTCTGAAATCCTCAAATCTTGCATTTTTTCAAAAATCCAAAGAGCCACTTGTCGACTCTCAGCGAGGTTCATTCGTTTTCTCAAGTGACGCGGATAAGACCGCTCTCCAGCGCCAACTTGAGGTTTATTTTTTCTGCATCATATGATGCATTACAAGCACAAGACTCCTAAGAATCATCAGCTAGTAAGATTCTGCATGTTATAATGTATTTTTAGGGCAAATTTGAAAATATAACGAGACTCCCTTATTATCAATTTACAGTAATTTGTCTACGGTTCAAGTCATAACTTTCTGGCAGAGTTTATAAACAGATCTGAAATGCCTTTCCCATAGCAGTAGTTATACGATTGAAAAATGGAACGGCGCGGTAATTACGTTTCAGAATTCTTGTGGGCGCAGGTACCCGGGCTTAAATTGCTGCCTCAAAGGAAACCGAGTCGAGTTTTAGATTGAGGTTCTTTCACGATTTTCAATCCCCGCAAAATATGTTCATGCGTTTTTTCGTGTTTCTGTTCCTTCCTATTCGAAAAACGAAATTTATCTATAAACAGAGAATTTAATTAATTGATCTTTTTTCTTGCTTCTAAAATCTTGCTGTTTGATATAAAATGTTAGATAATTGCCTGTAAATATTCACTTCATTAATGAGCATATTTTATGATCGAAAAAGTCATCCAATTTTCTAACCAAAAAACTAGAGACAGGACCTTGTATGGACCACCAATGGTGGCATAATGTGAATGCCTGCCTGTGTAGATACCTGAGTCAGGGTCCTGAGCAGTATTTTTCAAGTTCTTTTTCAGGACTCTAAGTCAGGTTTCTACGCAGGTAACCCTTCATAAATATACAGTAAAAGATCAATTATGCTCGAAAATGAGAGCTGGAAGTCCAACTGGAAGACTTTTAAGTCCCTATTTTGGCTAGTATGGGAATATGCTAATCCATATTATTCACCGCTCAGAGGGAAATTCCTTCGCCAAGTGGCACGTGACTGAGTTCAGGATTTACCACGCTCAAGTGCGTGGGAACGGAATGCTTACACGGACGACAAAAGAGATTTTTCGCCCTGTTTTGTTAGTAGCAACTAGTACAGTTACTCTCTGTTTGGACCTGTTCCTTTTAGGAGAAGTTGGCGAGGTCGGATTCGTGCGGTCGAGGGAGCGGCGCTTGACGAAATCGCGCAGTTTTTCGCGAATGTTGTCTGGGTTTGATTTTACAGGCAGATGCGCTAGAATCTAGTAGAATTTTCTCTAAATTGGAAAACGTACAGGAGCCATTGGAAGGGGCAGAAGAGCGGCTAATATCAGCCAGGTCGGAAATACTCTGACTTCTTCGCGTCTCTGGCGGCGGCACGGAACGACGAGTTACAGGCCTAAACGATTACAGTAACTCGACTGCATATGCATCGGAATTGAACTGGCTACCTGTTGAGAGCAGCAATCATCTCCTCGTCTCTGAGAGGCGCACTCGATTTCGAAATCTCCAAAATCGGTTCCGAGCGCCGCGGTTGACGATGATTCTGATTCTGTGGGTTGATGCCCCTCTTCGGCGAGATGCACAGTTCTTTTCTCTTCAAACTCGTCCTGCGCAAAACCTGAGCGGTCACTTGCGAGTTGATATAAGTCGAAATATCGTCTTGGAAGAGATCGTCCTTGGCCTCGTCTTTTTGATGGATACAAAATTTGGTACTCGACTAAAGGGGGTGATCAATCAAAATTTGGAAAAATTTGAAAAGGAAGAACCTTGAGCCAGAATAAACAAAACAAAAAAATGGAAATTTACCACGATTTTCGCGATTCGGTTTTATCTTCATAAAAAAACGAATGAATTTCAAGAAAAAATACTGCAACTTCTGTCGATTTTAATTAAACCCTAAACAGCGCGCAAAGTGCCAATTTCGCGCTGCAATTTTCGCACTAAAGGGGAGAAGCAATTAACCTCTCCAAATTCCAAATTATCGCCGGAGCTTCTTGAAAAAAGGCTTATATTTTAAATTATGAATTGGATGAGTCAAATACGCTCGCGGTACTCATCGCACGAAATTCCGTTTAGCCTTCTAGTTTATTTAAAAAAAGCCTTTATCCGGGCGCAGCGTGGATAATCGCTTTGTAGAAATGGGCTCCTGTCAGGGCCACAGGACGATAAAGGAACGTGGGGCGGAATGCTCGCTAGAATTTTGGTGCGACTGTAGATACCTGATTAGCCGAACTAATGTGTTACGTTCTAGCGCGCCCACTAAGTGTCCTAATAAGGGTTTACAAACGTAAAAGTACAAAAAAAAAAATCGAGAAAAATCGCTATTTATACGCTGTTACAGTACGTTCTGTGAAAGAAAAGAGGACCCGAGTAGATCGCCATATGTCCCCGAAAGCTCAAGGGCTTTGCACAACATATGTCCTTTTCACTCGGCCCAGAACCTCTTCAAAATGAATAGCTGCTCGCCCATTGTCCCGCAATATGTCTCCCTGTTCTGTAGATTCAATTGCGCCATTATTGTTTGGCCGCCTCTTGGTTGATTAAGGGCCCCTACTGCATTTAGCTTTTGACTCTAAAAATATTTTCATGAACAGGCAAAAAGGATCATCCAAGATTATCCTGCTATCGCTTTTGAAATGTAAACGGAGGAATTTGAGGTTTGGAACTATGATCGCTATCGCATCATTTTTCGAATTCGAAATGTCAGATAATTTATCTTTTCTGCAGTTGATTACAGTAACACTCCTTTTTTCTAAAATTGAAGGGTCTTTCTAAATGCCTCTGTAACTAGAAAATACATAACTAGCCAAAGGTAATGCATAATCTTGCGTTTTCATACCCACAAATTTCGAGCCGCAGGTTTTCTTTCTTGTGGCTCCTAGAATTAATGAATTCTCCTTCATATACAAACATACAGGTAATTTTATTCCTAGCAACTTTTTTCTATGATGAGAATTTTCATCGTTTCCTGTTGGTTTGAAAGAACTAAAGACCGGAAATTTGAACTCAGTCCAATTACACGAAAAGAGGCGGCTCTCCTGTCTGCTGTGCTCCTTAATCTTTTCATTGTTCCGTTTTTTTTGGCGAACAATTAGCACGGTGCGAAATAATTTACTGCCCAGTAGCGGATGCGCCAGGTTATAACCGCGACAATACTGAACAAAACCGCCGCCAGAAGAATACACTTCTATTCGAAAACTGAAAAATATATTTCCAACTAAGTTTCTAAACCTAATTCGCGTGTTCACCCAGCCGCCAAGCTACCGCAGAATTAGGTAAAAAAGAAAGTTTTTCGTGCATCTTTTCCGAATCAAAGGGGGCCAGTTTTATTACTGTATGCATTTTCTTCCGCAAAAAATCTTCTTGGCTTTTTTGAAGACCCTTTCAGGACCCTGACTCAGGTTTTCTACACAGGTTACTACGGAAAGACTTTGAATAAATAGAAAATCGACGTTAATATAATTTCTTGGAAGTGACTTAGTACCGTAATTCCTTGTTCCTTCCTGATAAGAACGAACATGTAAGGAAAAACTTTTCGGAAAAAAAAAGTAACTCGTGGAAAAACGAGATAGAACACGCAAAATGCATCCGGATAGGAGCAATTACGGGGACGAGTTGTGTCCACTTCTGGAGCAACAAAAAGCGAGCCGATCCCTCGACAGGCGAAGTGACAAGCACCTGCGGAAGTGGCAGTCGGATAACCGCCCCGGCCCCGACTTGATCAAGCTTCTACTAATTCCAAGCTATAAGTTGGCCTATCGGAAAGTGGAAACAGGAGGTGCTCTCTTATACTTTTAGTCGCATTTTACGAGAAGGATACGCAAGTTATCAGTAGAAGCTTACTCAATAACAGTCTGTTTTAGATCGAGAAGCCGCTTGCGGCTCTGAGTGAAACCAAAGTTGAGCCGCGCGTAGCGCGGTTTTTACTCGAAGCCGCAAGTGGCTTTTCGATCTATAACAGACCGTTATTGAGAAAGTTTTAACTGATAACTAACGTAAATTTCTCAAGAAAATTTATTTCAGAAACAAGGTGCAAAAATCCAAGATAGCACTTGTTTGATCCAAACAATTTAGCTTTCCAAGAGGCAGTTTTGCTTCCTTTGCAATCCTGTCTACTTCTTTTAACTCCATTTCCGCGTTATCTTATCAAGCGTTCTTTTTTGCGCAAAAGGCATGTGTTCCGTGTCCAGCATACACATTACCAGGTTAAGTCGCTTATCGCCCAACCGGCTGGTCAAAAAAGATGAGAAAAGCACGCTCCACTGAGCCCGGCACACCACATTTTGACGCTAATTGCCTCCTTGCATTCCCTAATTCCATTCCCGACATTCCAAACAAGGCGAAAAAAAGGGGGACACAAAAGTAGGGGTGACAAAAAGAAAAAGTCTGAACACCTGCAAAACAAAGAATAAGCTTTTGGAAGAGAGGGCTTTAGAAGCAGATTTTGTGGTTTTGGGAGCATTTAGCAAAGGTGGGGCGAAATCGCGGTTCAAATTCAAGCAGGCGAAAGAAAAGGAGACGATAAGGGGAAGTTCATAATAAGGACCTACCTTAGGTACACTGGACTTACGAATCCCGCATAACAACAAAAAATTGATAAAAATCCATTAAAATCAGAGTTCTAGTCATTATCAAAAGAAGGTTCTAAAAAGCTGAGCTGAGTCTTTGCCCCGATAAGAAACGCGTCTTATCATCCCGTCCATAATTTTTCCATTAACTCTGCTGCTATCCGTTTTTTGCGCGTTTTATCTAAAACGAGCTGGCCTTGATTACGCTCCTCATTACCCGCTCATTCCCGTAAATTTCCACTATTACAATCAACATTAATTTTGTATCCATTCCTACACCAGTAATCGAGGACGAGCGCGAGTGCATGAAGCTCGAAGTATTCCCGCTCGCATTGAAAGAAGTTGGCGCTGGGGAGGAATTTTGAGCAGCGTTGTTCCCAGAAGAAGCAGGTTCTTTCCATCGCTCCAAATTTTCGCGGATCGAAGGCGCTTGCTTGATCACCGGCTGAAATAAAGAAGGGTTAGTATTTAGGGTAATTACTGTTGATGGATAATTCATTTTTCTTCAATGCGATTTTTGAAACAAACTCAATTTTCTTCACGTGCAAATCCGGAAACATGAAAAAGGTTTTCTCTCAAAATACAGCCCAATTTAAAATTTTCCCTCCCCGGAAATCGTGCTCACGAGATCACGTGACGAATTTTTTAGGGCTTCTCTTCCCTAGTCATTTTTTTGGAGAAAAGGGTGACGCGATTTTCACACACGTCTGCGGTTTTCGCCACAATAATAAAATTATGCAAATGTCGCGAGTTTTTCTTGCTAAAGTAAAGATTTTCTTTAAAAATAAATTTCACGCTCTGACGTCGCCAGATATCCGGACGCGCTTTTTGCTTGACAAAATACTGTAAGAACTCTTGCTTACTAAAAGTTCAAATTTTAAGGGAGTGATACCCTTAAGATTTTTCGTTATCATCTTTTAGGTAAGTTTGATTTTTCAGGCCGAAAATCTTAAGGGTATCACTTCGAAATACCAGATTTATATTTAATTACTAATAAATGTTTGAAAAAAATGCTTCTTATAAATTTTCTCTACTTTTTTTACAAACAAACAAAAAACGAAGGCTCCACCCTTCTTTCTCATTCCGATCTTGTTTAAAACTAGCAGTTGTATGTTTTGAAAATGGTACTCTTCCGCCAGTACTCAACTCAAAATAAATGAAAAACATGTCGATCCCAAATCTTATCAAGCTTATTTTTTTTGAAAAGTTACAATAAATTCTTAAGATTCTACTTTTTTCGTTCATTTTCTTACAAGCATGTCTAATTCGATTTTACAGTCGCTCAAAAACACAGTAATTATATGAAGAAAAAACTGACCAGGGTCAATATCTTCGCAGAAAAAAAGAAGCAAAAAAAGCAGTAACCTGTGTAAAAACCTGAGTCAGGGTTCTGAAAGAGCCATAATTAAAAAGCCGTTTCAGAACCCTGACTCAGGTTTTCTACACAAGCTGCTGAGCTCAGAAATTCCTTCTCAAGAAATCTGATCCTCTCAGAATCTCAGACTGATGACACAATCATCTTTGTCCGTAAAAAGCTTCGTCATGGTCATGGATACGATGATTTGTGATGAAAAGCATCAACTCACCCTTGACGGGTTAGATTTCCTTTTTGTTTATTTTTCCGGGACCTGTAGCCACGTTTTTTTCTTGTTTTAGAAACAGAATGCTTTGAATTTTTAAATCAATCTTTTGGTCTCGAAATGTTTTAAAACAGGCAAAGGTCAACTTGATAAATTAAGGGAGGTCGACATTAGAAGCATCTAACTTTAAAATAATTCGTGTTAAAAATGAAACAAGTTTCGTTACTCGAGAAAAATGGGCTTATTTTGAATGCGGGCGGAGTTAAAAATAATAAATCCTCGAGTTCAGATTTTTCGTAAATAATGAAACTAATCTCATCGGATTACGAGCCGATCACCTGAAAATCAAAATATTTGCGCTGGAGCGCGTTATTACACGCACGTCAAATTCCGAATTTGCGCTTCTGAATTTTTCTCTCCCGGCGAAAAAAAAGCAGGGCGAAAGGTTAACCCGGTTTCATTTTATAATAAGAGCTTTGAGAACTTTCTCTTCAAAATCTTGTTTATCGCTTTTTTTGTGATTATAATTTCGAGCCGAAAATTTGCTTCAGTCATAAAGCAAAATGAGCGAAGCAAATTTTCGCTTCGAAATCTTTTTTGCCTTTTTCCCTACAAAAATTTGAGTCAGAGATTCGCTTCGCTTCCTGTGCTTTCAGTTTGAAGCGAATCTTCGACTCAAAATTTTTAGATCGAAAACAGGCAAAGTTAAAATTTTTAGCGAATATTCTGTTCCTCCTATCAAGGGTCAATTTTGCGTCGTAATAATTGAAACTAGTTATGTTTATTTAAACGCAATGATCCTAATTTACTGCCCTGGGGGACGTGTTATTTGAAAAGGTGCCGGAAGCGGTAACCAAAACGAAATAATGATGTCACAATTTACTCTCGCCGTAATCATGGGCAATTTACGGAGCAAGTACGGCGTCAGGGGCAAATATTAAATATTTGAAAATTTGGGCACGTGAATTTGACTTTTACTATTCACTTTTACGCGGAAATATCATTTATTACACTGCCGTTTCCGGAATTTGGGCGAAAAAAGGATGAAATAAAATGGAATTTAAAGGGCTGAAGCTTTTTTTAAGGTTGTAGCACGCGATAAAAATGTATTTCAAGAACTCTTGCTGCCAAAGAATCAGTTTTCTTTCGTTAATTTTCCTAATAAAAATAATTAATAAATTAAATTTTTGCTGTTTATCAAAATCTTACGCGATGAAAGATCATTTTTTTCGTGTCAAAAGCCTTTAAAATACTCATTTCATCGCTTCCTATGCCCTCAGTACACACAAATGCAAATAAGGGGGTGTCTTACCTTAACTTTCGCCGTAGGCTTATTAACAAGTCTTCCAAAGGGTTGTTGCTTTGGCAAATTATTGGAATTATTTTCCATTTTCTTTCAAATTCTTTCTTCTTCAGTTTTATTATCTTCTATTTTTTCTCTTTGAAATTCTAGCGGCCATCTTTTTTTCTTTCTTCTTTGTTTGTCTCTCTTTCTTTCTTTGTTTTTATTGACTTACATTTTAATTAAAAATTTTTAAAATTGCAATTTTTGAAATTGAAAAATTCAAACTTGGCGAAAGCAAAAAAAGAGAAAAAACGCGGCTTGGGAGCTCGAGTTTGAGAAAAAGAGCGCGGCGCCGCCCACGCCAGGCGGAGCTCTTTTTTGGCGCAAGAGCGCACCTACGCAACTCCACCACCAGATCAAGTCCGCGAACTTGAATCGCCCCCACAGCGCCCAGCGAAATGACTCTGGAATGCGCAACATTCTTATTATAGCGATTTTACAGTAATTTTTGTATCTTTTCTAGAATTAGATTTTCTAGGCAAAAAAAAAAAAATTTACAATTGTAAGCTCCTGAGCAAAAGTTTTAATTCGCTGGAGCCGCTGTAAGACTCCGTTCTTAAAAAAGCCGCATCGCGGCTTTTCATTCAAGATCTTTCAGTCTTTCGGATTTTTACACAGGCTACTCAGTGCATCAAGTATGCGAAGTAATTGATAATAGTAATTGATGATAATTAATAAAGTTTTTATTCTGGTAAAACTTGTATTAAGTGCAAATTACAGAGCATTTTGTGCGATAGTGTAATTCAACTCAGCAATTTCTTTCTCGATGAAGCCGTTTCTCAAATTTTGGAATCGCTGCGCTTTCAGAATCTTCTTGTAGAATTCCGCATCTTTGAAATACGCACCCATCCAAGCGATGAGAACAAGGAAGACGAGCATGATCGTATCGAAGGCGACATGGCTAGTCAGCTGATTGTTTGAATCGAAGGGGAGGAAGATGTTGATGCTACTGAGAACAAGAAGGAGTAAGGAGATGCCGAAAAGATAGGCCAGAGAAATTGTGTAGAGATGGAGGAGACGTTCGGTTTCGTTGGCGCATTCTTCCTGATAAGGATGAATACGAGGGGTCCCGAAGTGGAGGGGGCGTAGGAGTTGATTAAAATCTTACCTTGACATAATTCTTGAGATGATGTTTGAGCTCGTCCACCGAAGCTTGTTGAGGTCCAGTTTCTTCGTTTTCGTTTGCTTCTTCTATCAGCGTCGCTACTTTCTGCTTCTTTATTGAGTGTCTAAAAATGAATTTTGATCAAAGAAGGAAGAAGGGTTCTCACCGTCGAGCATTTTGACTTGTGGCGGAAATTGCAAAGGCTGATTTTTCGTCGTATTTTGAAAGTTTTATGTCGGACTGACGAACTGACACGGTCGATTTGCTGGAACTGATGGAATTTGACCGAGCGGGTTTGATTGGAGACACTGCGTTTTGAGAGACTTTCTCAGTTGTTGGGATTTGGACTGAAGAGGTTGAATGAAAGCCTTCATTGAAAAGGGAGGAGAAAATGACTTACTGGAGAGCTTTCTTTGTCGAGTTGGATGTTTGTGCTTTTGCTTTTCTTTCTCTTTGATGACCTAGAAAAATGAGTCAATTCTAGATTCATGGATTCTTCTTTTATCGGACCAAATAGTAACTGAGGGTGTTAAATGAATTACAACTTGTAAGTGAAGCTGATAAATTACAGGAAGGTAGTCTCGCTTCTACCTTGTCTTCATCTTCCGGCTCGGGGGCTTTTCTCTGCGGGAGTTCCTGTTTTTCCATTTTTTTACTTCGCTCTGGAGAAGGAAAATGGGAAAATTGAAAACAAAAATTAGCATCTAGAGAAAAAACCATATCATCTAGAGATACTCTTGCCAATCCCGATTACTGGCAATACTGTATTGCGCATACAAAAATTATTGATAAGTTTTTCAACAGATTTGAACTCTTCCACTCATTAGATACAGTTATTAACCTCGAATAAGCATGCTCAGTAAGATAATTTCTAAAATCAGATATCGTGTTATTAGTTTATTGCCAATAAATTATTGGGTTTATTCGAGTACAGTTACAGTATCTGCCAAAACTACTCGCAGCAGCCATCATCCCTAAAGACAGATTTATACGGTAAAATCTTCTTGTTCCATGTTACCTTGTTCCCGAATTCGATCGGAGAACGGCTTGGAAGACGAAGTATCCAACAGTCAGACCAACAACAGCTGCGAAAAAGATTCCAGGGTGGAAAGTCATGACAGCTAGCATCAGAATGTATCCAAAGGTGATTTGGACAAAGTGAAGGAGAGAGGAGCCAAGAGCATAGAGCCATTTGCTCGAGGTGCCGAACGAGTTGTTTTGCTTTCTCGCGATTTTGGCTTTACCGAACTAAAGGAGCTCGAGTTTAGTAAGAGCTTGGGGAAAAAGAGTACCTTGATGAATTCGACCAGAAACCCTAGAATGCCAATGACGACGCATGTCCAAGCAACATCTCCAGTATTTTCGACGTTCCACTTTTTGAAGATGAAGCCTTGAATCGGAAGAATCTTGTTGAAAGCGAGAAAATGCCCTGTCCCATGCGAAAGGTCTGCAAAAAGAGAATCAGCTACTTTTGAAGATAAAAGAAATTTACCGGCTCCGTGATCTCCATGATTACCTTCCATATTGTGCCCCGTATGGTCCATATTTTCGCCCATATTGCCGTCCATATCCATCCCGTTTTCCATATTTATATTGTCCGTTTTTTCTCTGGTCAAGAATCAAATTCGAAAATTGAAATAACTTTTGAATTCGGGCTTTATAAATCAACGAATTATGGCTCTGAAATGGCCCCCGAAGTCGATTTTACGACAGTTTCTTTGATAAAATCTTCATTGTCCCATAAAAGAATGTGATTATGTAACACAAGCTAATAAAGTTCAGAAACTCATGATTGATTTTCTGATAAAATTGGTTATAGTTAGAAACGAACTTTTCCAAAACGATCAAATATTTTCTCGTCCAAGTTTAAACCGAGTATAAGAAGAACGGAAAGAATACTGTCGATGAAAAGACCGGCTCAGCGGGATAAGAACTGATCGTTTCTTCGACCTTTTGTGCGATTACAAGGCCCTACTTTCTGAAAAAAAAAACTTAGAATTTCCAATTCTCAGTTCATTGCAGACATGAGTAAATGCGTTTTAACAGTGATTGAAGACAAGTAAAGAGGATGATTTTGTTGGAACAGGCGCTGCCACGAGACGTCAGAGCAAATTAAATCTGTTTACAGTTATTTACAGCAGGGTTTAAACCATGTTAACATTCATTTTTCAACAGAGAATATATTTTCGCCCTGATTGTGGAAAAACCAAATAACCTCTTTTTCTGCAAGTTCATTTCTTTTTCAAAATTTTCTGTTGAAAAATCCCTTGCTCTTTTCCATACTCTAACCCTAACCCTTATTTTTGCAATCAGGAGAAAAAAAAAGGAAGTTTAAAAGCTAAATGTCCTGTTCTTTTTTAACCCGTTTTAAAATTTAAAGCTTTTCTATATCTTCTCCATCAACATTGCCGCTTCAATTCTGTCATCTCCTGTTTAATATAAGCGCTCATCCTTTTTAAATATACTGTGCTGGCCCAGTAAATATACAGGGGTCGCTCCAGAGCATCCTTTTCTGCGACCAGAACGCAAAATTATTGCTTATTCAAATTTTAAATTCAGATAAAAAAAGTAAAATTGCGTCTGGCGTGAGCGGTTTCTCTTGTGGTAGCTCGATATTGCAAAGGATAGAAAAAAGAAACATGGGAACTGGAGTTTAGACGCTTCGAAAATACAGTCAGAGACATGGAAAGAGACGGAAATGATGCCTGTAACTCGAGGAGCGCCAGTGGCAGGGCTTTTGCTGGAGAATCGCCGAGATTTTTTAAAGCGAGAAATTCATCTGTGAGAAGTTATGTGGCGATAAGCATGTTGGAAGACTGTTGCTCAGAAGCGAGTTTGATTCTGACTGTAAGTACTTAGAGACATGCAAAATTTTTCTCGAGAATCCTAATTTTACTGTCAATTAGTTTCTAAGATAGTCTAATTTATGCATAGCTAATTAAGGGAAAAAGAGAAAACACGTGACATCTGTTGATTGAGATCTTAGGCTCATATGCACCTAGATCCATATTTATTTTTGACGCAAGCAACATTTTGGAAGGAATAAAAATACGTATGTCTGCATTTGCCCTTTGAGCTCTGCTCTCCAAATTATCATGACTAGGGATGCAAAACAAGACCTGATTAAAATTCGCTTCGCTTAGTTTTAATCATGGGATTCTCCAAGATTCATGAACTTGGCACTGTCCTTTCCATCCATGGCGAATTCGATCCGGGCTATGTGAAGTGAAAACTAATTCTTCTAGACAACTCTGTGTTTAATCAAAAAACAGTGGTATGATACAGTATCTTAGATGCTTATAGACGGAAGGCACAAAAGTCGCCGAAAATGACGTCTTCAACTGCAATTACTGTAATTGACCCGGTAATTTAAGGTCTTCATCATTGCAACTGCGTCTGGCGGATTAACTGCCTTTTACGCAGAATCCAAGCTCCACAGGGCAACGAGAGTATTCGGGTACACTCACAAAGACGCCTACAAAATCAGCTCTGCCTTCTTCATCGTCACTTCTTTACTCGTTTGTACATTGCTTCTGCTCTGTGTGAGGTGAGTTTATTGCTTATACTCGGCTTTTCATTTGATTTTCAGAAACTCGGCAAAGAGCCGCGAAAGGTTTTCGAATCTCTCCACTTCTACTCACACGACTGTTTCTGCCTAAATAAAAGTCTATTTCTCTCAATTTTCATTTGATCAAAGCTTCTTATTAGTAAGCGTTAGATGATTCCAAAATAACTTCACGAGAAAATCATCTTCCGAGTTTCAAAGTTCAATCATATCATCATGGAAAGAAATCCGTTTCTACTCACGCGCCTCGGGCGAGATCAGAAGCTTTCTTGTCACTATCAGTAAGCTGTTTGTCACCCTTCTTTATTCCACCGTACGGGCCGGACCTGCGCAAATATGACATTACGTACTGTCGATTTTTACGTAGCGCCTGACGTTCTCTATAAAAACCAGCTCGAATCGCTCTCCTCCAAAACGAAAAAAACGAATCAGAAAAAGAAATGTCTGGCTGCGAAAGAGAATGTCTAAACAACGGGCTTTGCGAGGGACCTTTTCACGGACGGTACATGTGCAACTGCGCTACTGGTTATACCGGAGACAGTGAGTTTTCCCCTCTTTCCGGAGTTCTATTTCTTTTCTAGCGTGCCAACTGGTCTCATGGGATCATCACGAAGTACCCCTCTGGTTCACGAAAGAAATGAACGAGCGAAACGATGTCCTCGAAGCTGAAAATGACCTCTTGACTGGACTCTGCATCTTTATGGGCTTTGGATTCATGATCATGATTTGCGTCTCAATCTTCGTCTACAGAAGGTAAGAGCCTCTTTTCATGATATCAAGGAAGAGATTTTCAAAAATGCGCTCGAAAAAACGGCTAATTCTCGTCATTTTAGATATCAAGCCGCAGCAGTTTCTTATCATCATCAAGAAAACGCGATAATTCGAAACTTCAGCAAATCATCGATGGAGAACTCGGAGCATGAGACGGTTTTCATTCCTTCTGCGAAAACTGCAGGGACTGATTAATTAATAATTATACTTTTATCACTGACGATTTTATTTGATTTTAATAAATGAGACGAAGAGTTTTGTAATCAGTAATTATCATTTATTGTCAAAGAAAATACCCATAAAGCACTCCAAATTCTATTTGCAAAAACGCATGGTTAAGTTTTTGCAAAGCATCCATCTCGTCGTCGCCATGTTCTCCATGCTCGTCATTCACAATGTCTAAATTGAGTCCTTGAGAAGGAGATCCTCCAGTTGTGTGTCCAATATGCGACAGGGACATAGCTGAATTAAGGACCCCCCGTCAACAATTATCGAAAAATCTATTTTCGGAATTTCATAATTTTGACCCCAGAAATGGATTCTATTTTTGGGAGTCTATCTCGACTCTAACACCCTCAAAATCGCATTTGAAAATCGGACTTTTTGAGGAAAAATGACGAAAAAGTCCCAATTTTGCTAAAATTTTGGATTTTTATTGGTCAAAAATTGCTCCGAATAAGTTTTTATGATGTATTGAACTTCCAGGCACACTAAGAAGCCCCAACATTGTGCAAGTTAGCGTCTGGGCAAGTAAGCGTCAAAGTTGCCGGTTATATAAAATAATTTTTTTTTCTCGAAATTTTTATATCGAACACTGAATACAGTATTCAGAAAGTATAGGAGCCATTATTTCTAAGTTATTTAGACAGAGGTTTGAGAATTCAGGCATTTTTTGTTCTAATAATAACGCTTCGAAATAATCAAAAATATTTTATTATAAATAATAAGAGCTTAGAAATTTTGAAATCGACTGTCAAAATGAGTGTACTATCGGAGTACGAAAATATTATTTCAAAACGTTAAATTAAATTTGCTCAAAAGAAATGGAAAATATGACCGCTTTTCACACGGAAAGGTCGAGGTTAGATTCTACGAGGGGACTGACTGTCTACCAGACTAAGACATGCTGAAAGAGCCATTCAACGCTCCACGGATCGCCCACGCACTTTAGACGCTAACTTGCCCAAGACGCTAACTTGCCCAAAACGCTAATTTGCACAACCTTGGGGAAGTTAGCGTCTGGGGAAGTCAGCGTCTGGGGAAGTTAGCGTCTTGGGGAAGTTAGCGTGACTCAAAAGACACGGTTTAGTTTTAGCAATTCAATGGAAAAATTTCGAGAAATCAAGAGAGTAAGATTTGAAATCGCTCTAAAAGGAAAATTTTCAATAAATTTTTTTTTTAAAAATACCATATTTGAGTTTACCGTACATTTTTAGGTAGGATTGCTTTTGAAATGAAAATGATACTACTTCGCATTTAGGCGCTACGAAAGTTCAAATTCATAGCTTATATCCTTAATTTATAATTGCTAAGCTTCAGCTCAAGTTTCCAACTCAACCCAACATCAGAAAAATTTAGCTCTTCGGTTCAAGAGAGGCCTGATATTGACCCCTTTTTTCGCTAAAAGGTCTTAATTGATCGGCTTCCTGCTGGTCACTCTGTGACAAAGTAGAAAATGACGCAATGATTTTGAGTAAAATGATTTTGGCACAATCTGCTTATTTGACCGCTGCTAAATTGACCATACCCACTAATTGAAATCCTTTTTAGAATTATGCGAAGAAAGAGTATCCTCAAAAAACCACTCTGTCGAAACAATGAAAATATTTCTTTTTCCTTTTTTCACCTGTAAGCTTTTTCGAACTGGTAAGCTCATAAGAACTTTTAATAGATTTCTATATGATAGATCTTTACTGGGAAAATTGGAGCAAGCAGCGAGAAGATTATGTGATTGACGATGCGCAGTTTCTCAACCATTTGTCATTCGAAAAAGAGTTCGGACCACTTGGGTATTTTCTTTGACCTGTTATTTATCCTAGGCAAATAAATATATTTCATTTTATTGATAATTCACTATCTTTAGGCCTTTCAGTACAAATTACTCTGAATTTGCATTCCCTTTGGAGGTAACTTGTGGATAGAGATTACACTTCTGACGGATTATGACGTCAATCAGAAAGTTATATTAATAAAAAAACATATGCCTCAAAATCTCAATATAAGGGCCGCAAAAAGAAAGACCTTCATCAGATTTTCCTTTGTTAAAAAAATCAGAAACGCGATGAGAACCATATTTTTTTCTTTTGTTCTCACGAACATTTTTGCAATGAAATTATCGACATCATGGATACATGATCGACAAAACACGGGCGATCAAGAAAAATTGAAAGATGCTAAAATGGAGAAAGTCGACGAATGTTTCAATCAAATGGAGTGCTTTCTATTTTTTGGATATTTTTGAACTGTTTTTAGATAAAATCTTACTTTGAAATCAAGGAAGAATAAAAAGAGAAATAAGCATATATTATTTATTATATACTATAATACAGGTTAAAGTATGTACAGATAGTGTTTTTTCTTTTACCACACGAAATATTCTTAGTGATTTTGGGCATTTGAACTTTGAAAGATTTTCTTTTACCTTGTTAAACCTGTATCAAACAGATTTTTTTGAATATCGTCCCTCTCAAAAATATTTCTCAAAAGCAATTTTTCATGAAAATTTTTAATTTAAATTTTCCACTCAAAAATCAAAATTGATATCGAAAGCCTTTGATATCTTCTTTCACCCAAAAAATTGTTATTTTAAGTCACGTGTGTCATATTGAATTAAAAAAGAAGGTACAGTTCAAGCAGCATCTGAAGTTATTTTGATATTGACAAATGGATATTGAAAGTAAGGAGCCGGCGCTAGACATTTTTAGTGCTTTGGCGCTGTTAGGGGGTTAACCCGCGTTCGCCGGTCATTGCTGGAAGAGCCAAAAAGGGATGGAAGGGTTGAATTGCCGGATGAGAAGGGGAAGTTTAACTAAAAATTGTTGAGGATTTTTTTCTAGTTTAAAATGACTCGAAATGGCTGTAAGTACCTTTTTGTATGTCTGTAATAAATTCTTTTTGACATTGTTATTCGTAGACTGGTTATTGTGATTATTGCTATTTTGAGAAGAAGCGTTTTTGTAGTTTCGATCGAGGGTGTTTGATTTTCTGACTGGGTTCCTCCCGAAATGGTGGCGGGGCATGCATCCGTTGACGCGGTTGGACGGGCGGACGACATCGTCGTAGTGGGACATTCGATGCTCGACATCGATGCTACTTATCAGTCGGTTTCCACCGGTCGGTGCTTTGGGCACACGTTCCAGAGAGCCGTCGATTCTTGGAAGACGGAAGCCAGCTTTTTGATTAGCTGTAGGGAGGGGAGGGCGCTGCGAGGGCGGGCCGGGCTGATATCTGATTGGCTTGCTGTTCAGCGGTCTTAAGGGTAAAACTGCTTTAACAGGAGCCTGTTTCACGAAAGTCTCTGTCGCTTGCTTCTTATTTGTCGATTCTAGATCCGTCACATCCAACGAAATCTCCGTCTTCGGCTGTTTCTTCGTTTGTTTCTTATTCGCCACATCAGTTTCACTCGACGACGATTTATTTTCAAAGCCAGAGTCACTCTCGTTTTGACTCGGTTTTGGCTTCGTTCTGTTTCGCTCCATTTCGTTCCGAACGTCTCTGAGGGAGACAACATTCGACTTGGTGGCGGTGCGCTCTGCTTTGCGGGTCAAGAGCTCATATGCGGCGAAAGCGCGGCTTGGACGATGCTTTTGGACGGAAGTGATGACTTCGGAAAAGTTGAAGCCGAGGGAGGAAGTAAGGGTTTTGATCACATCGGAGTTGAGAACTCTTTCGTCTTCTTCGGCGGAGAGATTCGTATTGGTGGCGACAAGTTGGCTAAAAGAGAGAAATATTGAGGTGAAATCAAGGAAGAAAACTTGGGAAAAAACCGCGTTCGGTTTTTTTTTTATTTCTTTACCTGTAGTCAGTCGCTTCTTTGAGCCATTTATGACTGAGCGCTTCATCAACAGTAGGCCTCTTGTCTGGATTAGCCGCGAGAATCTTAGAAATAAACTCTCTGCAATTCTTCGAAATCGTAGTTGGCAGGTGGTTCATTTCACCAGCGACCATCTTTTTATAGAGCGAGGAGATTTTAAATGGCTCGACGGTGAAGGGCAACCGCCCGGTCAGAAGGGCGTACGCGACGATCCCGCTAGAATTATTGAGTTAGAAAAGGGAATTTAGGGTTTGCGGTTAAAGGGGATGAGCGCGGTTCAAGCCGATTTAAGGGAGGAAAATTTGATTTTTGAAAGCAAAAAAGTGTTCGAAAAAGTGAACTTACGCGGACCAAACGTCGACTTTTGGACCATAGACCTTCTTCGCCAGCAGTTCCGGTGCCGCATATGCAGGTGAACCACATTGTGTTGTAAGTCCCTCTTTTGATGAGTTTTGATTCTCACCATGGCCAGGCATAAAATTCGACAGGCCGAAGTCGATGATCTTGATGTTCCCACGCTCGTCCAAGAGCAGATTTTCGACCTTGAGATCTCGGTGAACCAGGCCATGAGTATGGAGATGCTGAAAGAAAATTTACATAAAGCGCTAGAATTCTGATTGTAAAAATAGCAAGAAATGAGTATAGCGTAAATAATTTCGGAGAAAATTTATATTTTTTAAGTCCCATGTCTGTTTCAAAAAGAAACAGGGAAAGACACTGTCTAATAAAACATCATGAGAACGCAGCTGCCTGTAACTACACTCATTGTTGAGATCACAGAAGAAAACACTCGACTGATCCCACGTTTCTATTGAAACAGAAAGGCAAAAACTGCTTCGCTAATCATTTTTTGAAAATGATTTTTCGAAATGATTTTTGAAATTCTCGATTCTTAATTCGGCTGCTGCTTTTTTAGAAGTTTCATGTCACGTGATCAGCTCTTTTTTCTTGAAAATCTTTAAATTACATGACCGTGTTGTGCTTTGCTCGTGTCTTAGTGAATTTCAAGGACGCGGCGTACTTATTATTCGCGTTATTATTACTCTACGCCGACTCCGGTAGAGGGATTGAGTCACAGCTTCTTTTTCTCTTACCTGAAGGGCGACGAGGACTTGAATGATGTACCGGCGGACTTGGTGCTCGGGAAGACCGCGGGAGCCTTCTACCATGTCGATCATTTCTCCGCCGGAGACGAGCTCGGTGATTAAATAGTAGTTGTTCTCCGTTTCTGAATGGAAAAGAATGAGGACAAATCAAGTTAGCAGCAAAAAAAGCCGCTGTTTTTTGAGACAAGAGCTTTTTCCTGACAGTATTCCAAAACCACCCCAGGTGATTCTATCGGCGACGTTTATCGACATTCCTTGCACTGTTCTGATTGACAACTCCGGAAATGCGAAATCGCTTTGGGTAAGGAACTTTAGCGCGTGCGTTTGATAGATGCACTTGGCCAAATTGACTCAGTGTTTATCGAAAAGGCCCCTCTCAAGGGGGAGATTTGTTTGGGCTTGGAAGTTTATTCTAGCGCGGAAGTTCGATTGACAAGTGAACAAAAAAAACTTGCTAAAAAGCAGTTTTCTAAGCCCATTTTCGAGTCTTGTACTTTGAGCGACAGAGTTGTTAATTGAACCTCTCCCCTTGAGTTGGGTTGAATCCATCCCCGGAGAAAAAATATTTACTTACCCAAAGTGTCGAGGATAGTAATGACGTGTCTGTGATGAGCCCTCTGGAGGAGGCGTCCTTCGCGCCGCAGATTTTTGAAGACATACGGGTCTTTCCGCGCTTTTTCTTTATTGATGATTTTCACGGCGACCTGAAAAAGGGATGTAATGAAATTTTTGAATGGCTAAAAAGGGCTGAAAGTAATTAAAAACGTGGCTCATGTCCCGTTCAAACAAAAAAGGCTCACTTTGCGACCGCTAGAAACATGGGCGGTCTAATTTTCGCGCGTTCTTCAAACCATGGTAATTTAAACCAAACAAGCCGACGTCAGATCTGACAGAAGCGTAATTCTACTGTCGAATTTTCATGTTCTACTGTCATTTGAACTGTGAGAACTTGGCATTGAGAGCAGTTCCCCATTTTGCGGACGCTTTGAATTTGGAACGTCTAAATTTGCACTCCTGTCAAGAATCAAGCATTTTTTTCAATGATGACTGAAAGAGTCAAGTTCTTTATCTGATGTCACTCAATTTCATACACGTAGCGAGCTGCTTGAAGACCTGGCAGTTACCGCGGATTAAGGGGATGACAGAGCGGAGCAAGATATGTCCACGAAGGCAAATTTGAAAAGTAAGGGGCTTTTTTTCAAAAAGAAATTCCTACGCAAACATGTATCTTTCTACTGTATTTTTTCGTGAAAAGGAGGACAAGTATGAAACGTGACAAAAAACTGGCATATTTGAGCATCTGCCCCTAAAGAACAATTTCGCCGCGTCAAATTGCAGGTGTTTCAATTTGGCCATTTCCGGCCAAATATTTTCTGAAATCAGAATGGCGAAATTGTTAATTGCGTCCATAAATGTCAGAATTGGGCAAAAAACGCAGCCGCCAGAAGAAAAGTCCTATCATTAATTATTCAGGCTATCGTTATTTACTCATTATCGGACGGACTGACAGTATGCTCATGACAGTAAAAAGCGGTTATAAATTTTTCCGAAAAAAAAGAAAGGGAAATTTGAAAGTTTCTTTCTTCCTTGATTTCAAGGTGACACCCTTAATTATTTTGGTCACAAGAATTCAAGAAGAAAATCTCCACTCTGACCAATGATTAAAAATATTCAGGTTATTTCTACTAGGTTATCTCTTTGGTAACAATGTCCAGCTTTTGGCTTTTGCGAGTCAATAAATTATTACCGCGAAGAATGGCCGCTGCTGGGCGTTATCGCGCACGCTGCGGAAGAGGGTTAAGTGCGCTATATCCGCCTGCTTCTGTATTTGACCAGTCGAGTTTGTATCAGCTGCTGAGAGCTCCGAAAGGGCGTCAACTTGACTTACTCGACTGTAGATTGCACTAGTGCAAGTGGAAAAAACACTGCCTTTTAGACAACGCTTTGGAGAAAGCAAGAAACAAAGCTAAGACGAAGGTGCCAGTTTTATTCGCGATAGCTTCACGTCAAATTCTGATGGGTTAATTCGGCACTGTGTGGTTATGATTTTGCCAGAAAAAGGCAACGGGAGGATAAATGAAAAGCAATACACGTAATTCAGAGTCACTTTGACAAGGTCGAATTTGATTACAAAACATTTTCTTCAGTAAGAAACATTAAAGGACCCCCCGTCAACAATTTTCGAAAAATTAAAAATCGGCTTTTCATGATTGAGACCACGGAAATGGATTGAACGGGTCAAAAAACGATTTTGTGGCTTCAATTTTTGGGGATTTTTCTGGGCCGAACCAAAATAAGGAAGTAATAAGCTAGGAAGTGACAAAAAAGGAAGTGATTTTTTTGAAATGGGTTTTGATTGGCCGGTAGGCCAAATGCAGAGATCTTATTGGTCTTCAGAAAATGCACTTCCTTTTTTGTCACTTCCTAGCTTATTACTTCCCTATTTTAGTTCGTGCCATTTTTCTCGACTCTAACACCTTCAAAATCGCGTTTTTTTTTTTAACTTGGGTTAAAAATAGCAAATAAAAACCATAAATTTAACTTTCTTTTGAAACAATATAAACTTTTGGAGATTTCCAAGGCCGATTGTCAATTTCGACTTTTCGCATTCGTGCACTAGAATATAAGATAAAACTTTACCTTTTCTCCAGAAAGCACATGTAGTCCAACCCTCACTTTCGCAAAGCTGCCTTCTCCAAGTTTTTCTCCCAGGAGGTAGTCTCCTACTCTCTGTATTCGCATTTAACAATTGTCAAATCTCAATTTTGAAACTCTTTTGTCTCAATTCTCTAATTCGGAAATGGTCGAAAATTGGAATTATTTGAGTACCAAGGCGAGAAGTCAATTCTGTCACATGTCAATAAGAAATTCGAAAGACAAAATCGAAAAATGGATAGATGGTGTATTTCCAAGTGTTTGTCTTGGGGCGAGCTTAAACAGAACCGCAATTCGCGAAGCGCGAAAATTTTCCACCGAACTTGCATTTTTACGACCTGTGAAAAGAAAAAATTTTGACAAGGGAATATTTGAGTAGTGGACATCCTTAGGGCTCAGAAAATAAAGACATTTCAGAACAAGATGACAGGAAATATTTGCCAAAGAATTTTTTAACCCCTTGACACATGAAGGACGAAATTTCGGGATCATTTGAAAGAATATCAGTAAATAAAAGCTTCAAGCGGTTTTTGACTCAAAAAATAGAGCATAAAAACTTAATAGTCAAGTAATTATCAAGATGGTGATCTTTTTTGCCACTTATCCGTCGATGGGTTAAATAATCATTTTCATTAATTTTATTTTTCCCAAGAAAAGCCGCTTTCGGCTTTTGAACAAAAAGAAAATTTATGAAAATTCATCTCTTAAAATAACCGCTCAAAAGCCGCAAGCGGCTTTCCCGTTTTTTTTTCAATTTTGGGCACTGATGTGTCAATGGGTTAAAAAAACCTTGTTTCAAAGTTCGTCACTTGTTAGCATAAAACCAACGTGTCAGTTTATCGTAAATTTTTCACGCATTATGCGCCGCGTTTACATACGAATTTTGACGGCTCACGTGTTCTGTAATAACTCGTTCTCAAAAGAAAAGTCAAGAGAGTTGAATACGATCCTTGTAGTGCGGAAAATCCAGCTGGGAGGTTTTGACGTTTTCCAGGAGCATTTCTGTGATGTTATTTTCTGAATAAAAAAATTAAGAAATTTTTCAATTTAGAAAATAAAAAATGGTCACGTGTCAATTGATGGAACGTGAAAAAGAAGGGATGAGAAAACATATGCGGCTGATCTGATAAAATGAATAATGACGGAGTTAATGAGCTCGTGAAAATGAGCTTAGAGGACGCAATCAGCCAGATTTTTCGAAGAGGAACAAGATAAGCAAATTTCGATTTTCGACTCAAAAATGATAAAAATGGCTAGAATATCGGGAGTCATGTGAGGGGAATAATTTGGTGAAAAATTTTTGATCTTGAATTGTTCGTCTTTTTGAAGTTATTTTTCCTAAAATGTCGTTTTTCGTGGAAATGAAAATTCAACCAATCAGATTCTAGCTTTTTGGCTATCAGCTTATCAAAATCTAAGCGCCTGAGTTTCAGCCAAAATTTCATAAGCAAAAGATCTATCGAGTCATCGAATATTATTCCTCGCTGACATTCGTTTTAACCCGCTCTCACGTTTGGGAAAAAGAGTGCTCATCTCACTCGAGCAAATAGTTCGGACGTTTCAACCCCTCGAGAATCGGAAGTGTCCAGACATCGCCGATTCACCTTCTCGCGCTCTGATCTCGAAAACCTCAAAAGGAGGCGATTTCGAAAACTCGTCATTAGAAATCGCAGCGTAAGGAGGTCCTCAAGAACACGATTTTTTCAAAAGCGCGATTTAATGACTTTTCTTGCTCCAAATTTGAGCTGAAGAGGGGAACCTCCTTAATTTCTAATTCAATAAATGGTTGATTTATGGTTTTTAATTGATTTTAATTCATTTTACTAAAAGTTCATTTTAAAAGGTACGCCCTTAAATCCATTTCGGAGTCGGATTTTCCATAAAAAATTCAGATTTTGACTATTAGCTTAGACCTCGCTCGTTACTCTTGAAAAAACAATCAATTCCAAATACTCTTCCTTTTCTCTTTCAGTCTCTACCTCCGATAAGAAAGAGCAGCTCGCAGGCATAATCACTGTAACTCAGAGTAAAATCAAGTGCCGAAGACATCCGAGGATGCGATGATTTGACTGCTAGTAATTGACTCCTGTCGCCGAGAATAGAGAAGGAGAGAAAGAGAGTTAATGAGCATACTGAGCTTTAATAAAAAATGGATCATTTTTGCGCCTAGACCTACTCTCTTTACAATGTTTTGTCTGTAAAGGGCACTAGACCTAACTGTAACCACTGAATTCACATTGCCAAATACGGCGACTGGAACAGCATGAAAAGATAAAAACCATATCTTTGTGACACCCTTAAGAAACCCGCTATAACCGAAAAAGTACCTGAAAAGCTCAAAAATTTTAGGCAAGAATCTCGATTTTCAGAAAATTTTCTCTCTTTCGGAAAAAGATTGTTGAAGATGGTGTTAAACGAGGACTGTAATGGAATGGCGCGTGTAAAATTTTCTACAGCAATGAAAATATTAACACTTTGGACATAAAAATTTCTCCTCGGCAAATATGCTTTAAGCCGCGGGGTTTTACGGATTTTGCCACGGAATTAACCACATTTTTTCTACTGTCAGTACTGTCTGTTTTTTGATTGGTCTAATGGAAGTGTTCCTCGAAACTGAAAATTTCTCCAGAGGCCAAAATAAGGGTTCGAGCTTAGAACTGAAAAAATCAACAAGTGCGTCACTTTACTATTTATCAATGGTATACCCTTAATTTGGAGCCTAAAATGTTGTGTCGAAATCTCGAGCCATTTTTTCTCTACGTCAATTTGAGCTTCTCAAAGCTTCGAAATCGCGTAAAAATCCACAATTCTCTGATGTTCACCAGCTCCGGGACAGGGCTCAAATAGAAAACGCAAGTCACTTGACAGAAACACTTAGAAAACGGACTCGATAAATAAACGATAAGCCCCCCTGATGCCCGAAAGGGCGAAGCTGTGATTTTGAGCGGTAATATTTGAACTCGTTCTGGATAAACTTGTTGAATGAGCTTTTCAAATTTGCGATCAGAAAAGATTTTATGCAAGAAAATTCCGAATTCTTTTGATGAAATCGCAGTTCTTGCAATTTTCTGATCTCTATCGAAGGCATACCCTTAAGAAATTTGGAAATGACTGGTCCGAATCGAGTATACACCCTTAAATTGAAGCTTGATCAACACAAAGACCTTCTTTTTTAGGGCAGATACCCTTAAAATCAAAATTCTAGAGATAATGCTACTCACAGCGGGGTTTATTTGACGCAAAAGCACATGACTCGCTGATAATTAGAACCCCGCGATAGGACTATCCTTCCATGTATACACAAGTTATACAGTCATCTTCATTCTTATCACACGTTGCGAAAAGTTCAAACTTTGCATGAAAAATTTAGCAATTCAAATATTCTCCTCAGGCCGATTTTTACGGTCCTTCAGTAGCGCAAATACCAGCGCAATAAATCGCCATAAAAATTACACCGCTCCGAATAACAAAGTCAAGCTACAGTAGCTCGAGAAGATTTACTGTGCGGTTTTTTCATGTGTTATCAAAACAAATAAAAAGTATATGCGCGAGAGTTCATTTCCTGTCGTAGGACAGGGGGTGTCACGATCTGGCAGGTGCACTTTTTTAATGTTGGTTTGATACTGTTGGATCTGACAGTAGATGATAAGGATGATGATTGAATGGCTCGAGGATTTGAGTCAAGTATTTTATGAGATTTAGGGTCAGCAAGAAATTGAAGGTCTTTTAAATCGTGAATTTTCATGATGAGTCATCGAAAATTATATCTCATTCTATAGACTGAAGCTCACTCTATAAAAAATATAGAATTTGATGCATTCTTTAAGGGTGTACCAGACGATAAATCAATTTTAAACTTTAGCTCTTACTTGTGGCCCAGTTTTTCGTCTCTTCGAGCATCCTTTTTTCCGTCTCAAAGAAGCTTTATCCATAAAAAAAAGCCAAAGTCAAAGTCAAAAAGAAGCGTGTGCCCAAATGTTTCAAAACTCGCGGAACAGTCTAGAATTCAAATATGTTCCGAATCTCTCGAAAGTGCTCCCGGGGTGTGGTGACGTGCGAATTTGAGAGAAAGAAAAAAAAGTATTCAACTAAATCAACTCGCGTTTTGATACAATTAGAATTTGGAAACAAGAGAACTAAGACTTGCCAAATACTCGCACCGCCCCGGGCGAGTGGAATTCTAAAGAAGTAAAAAATGAATTCAATATTGCGAAAAAAGATCGAACGATAACTTCAGACATCCTTTTTCCGAAGAAAGGTTGGCTTAAGGTTATAACCTTCCTTAAGGCCAAAAAGCATGCGATTCTTAAAGGCGTACCTTCGATATTCAAGCTCCAAAATCGTTTTAAAACATGACTTATTTATGTATACAATAGATTATCGACAAATCCTTCCATCCAAGGAAATCGACCTTGACTCTCTTAAGGGCCTCCCACTTGTATTTCCCGCCACTTATTCTCTTATCAGTGCTTTACTCAACAACAAGTACAGCAGCAAAAATAGTTGTCTAAACAAAAACCAAATGTTCCGTGTAATCTGCTAACCCCCTCTGCACATGTTGGCAACAAAATTGACCAAATCCCCGTCGCCTACTGTTAAAAACAGCGCTCCTCGGGTTTTTCGTTTATTGTTACTCGATAGTTCTGAGTTCTAAATTTTAAATAGAACAACACGATTCGAACAATTGTTTTAACAAGTGTCCCTATTTTAAATTTCATGGAGCTTCAGGTTTATTTTTGAGCGATTTAAATTTAATGTGAGCATATGTGTATTACACGAGTCGGGACATGAATTAAGGGTGTACCTTTAACCCGCTTTTTCTCTAGTATTTTCGAGGTACAGTAGATTTGGAGCGGTCCTCGTGGGAATGGGGCGATGATTTTATACTGTCATAAGGAGCGCGGCTGAGAAAATATGGAGGTTATGAAATTATGATGACAGAAGCAATAAATGTATTTCAACAGAAAATTGACTAGGGTGGGCGATTTGGGAAAAGGGCTAAGTTGATTTTTAGCCAATCAGATGCTAGAAAATTTTCGCTCCAAACCCGAAGCGCGGCTTTAACCTCAATATCACTCGAAACCGCAAGCGGCTTTTTGACCCCCTGAGGAAGATTTTAGGGTACACCAGTCGATATTTTTAGGTTAAAGAGGATCCAAAATTTATCTACTACTTCTCTTGTTCCCCTACACTCAACCGTAAGGAACCACGGAAGGCTAAACAGTTATCAAGATAATGATCCCTCTCGACTCAAGAACGAAATGTCAAGTTTATCTTGATCCACCAAATCCGGCGATTATCCCCCAACTCGACTGCAGCACCTCTAAGGAGAGACCGCTTGTTTTCACCTTGGTCAGATTTGCTAAACAGATATTTTGGAGATGGAGGATTTTCTGGATCGTGTTTCTGAACCCCACGGTTTTAGAATTGCTTCTAAAGCTGTGGCGGCTTGGTGATAAGGGCAGTGTGTGATAAGAGAGATTGGTGAATACAGCTTAGCGGGGTACTTTGCATCTGAGCTGGGATTTTTGCTGATAACGAAATTTTGAAGAATATAAAAAATGTCGACTCGAAGAATTGTTTCTAAAAGGCGTCATTTTCTAGCACCTATACCAAAATCGAAATTCAATTGAGCTCCGTTTCTAAATGAAAGCGAGAGCCCAAGTGTCTGTGGCTTTGGCGTAATGAGCTGGTTAATCAGGCGGCGGAAAATCGTGATTTTCCTTTGAGACACGAATTCTAGCGTCGCATTCGACATGGACAGGCAAGATTGTGAACCGCCGAACTGTGTGCGCCGCGACCGCCACAAATGCGCAAGCTACCCGAGCTCACGGTTTCTTGGGATTTTGGTCGAACAAAAACAGTTCTAATTTGAGAATAAACTTCTTATTGGAGCGTTTTCCATTTCAGGGGACCTCGAGCCGCAAATTCCAAAATCCTTTTTGCAGATTTTTAAAGAATAGACTCGCCTTAAATTTTCATATTTTCTTTTAAAAATAACGACTGGTAGAGCCTTAAAATCGTAGAAAAAGATACCTTTTGATCTCGCTTCATGTTCTATTTTTCTCAAAAGCTTCAGCTCTTCTTACACAATTTTAAAAATCTCTCCTTTTCTCTTGAAAAATCAGCCAACAAAAATATTCAGTGGATACAACACTAACTGGTGCGTTCGTGTGTCCATGGGTTGAATTTTTAATAGCCCGGGCTCCTTACGCGTTACCAGGTTTCTGTGGCAATGTTAATGCTAACACTGGCATAATTAATAAATTAATGAAAAGTTATTTTTTCAAAGAAAAGCCGCGATGGAAGAATTCATCAGGAAGTGTAAGAAATTTTATGAGAAGTTGAAAGTATCAATTTTTAATTTTTCTTTGACGAATTCTTTTGTCGGTTCCTGACAACTCCCCTTATTTCAACTAAGAAGGAACGCAAAATTTGTTGTTTTTTTTCAGTTATTCTTGGATACAGTTACTGTCGATGACCTGAAGTTCATGCCAATTTTTCGCTACAGTCACTTCTGACTGTATTTGACAGTCAAATAGCCAAGTATTGAACTGTTGTTCATTTCTTTCTTTTCGTTTCATTGAATTTCGCGGCCAATTCAAAAGTGTCGAAATAAAACTATCATTTACAGTTGGTAGTTCATACAGTCCCCGATACAGTCAACTTTTGTGACAGTAAGCGATTTCTGTATTTGTTCCGCTAAGACCGGAACTTACATTGTGATGATAGGAATTTCAAATCGGGAGCTCTTGGAAATATGATAGACAATCCATTTATCGCTATCCTCCGGGAAAACATGGAATTACGAGGAATTACGTGTAATCTTCCGTATCTCTATCTGGCTTTCTGGGGTCATTTTCCTGAATTTGAAAAAGGGAAGGGGAGCGAGAAGAAGACTTTTGGACATCCTGAAGTCGACCACAAGTGAGATCATCCGCGGACGAGGATACTTATTTTCCGCTCGAAAATTAGTACCTCCCTCGTGATGATAACAAATATTGCTTCGCCGCAATATTGATAAAAAATTATCGGCATCGTGAAATTTTAAATTATAGTCTTGTAATGTTATTAGAAAGAGGTGCCCTCACTACCGTCCAATCAGATAAGGAAAGTAGAGAAATAGCGCCATCTTTCTTTTTCAGCGAATCAGGGTGCGTTTTAAATTATGATCGAGAAAGAACAGAAAAATAGCTCGCAGCCAATCTGCTGCAAGAAAAGACAGAACAGCGCCATCATCATTTTCGACCAATCAAAGAGCTTGATTGGTTTTACCTCTTGAAAAGGCGATTTGTGGCTTTATCCAATCGAAAATTCTCTTTTCCTGACATTTCTTTATCAGTCAAAAAGGATGACATCACCCGCCGCGTTTTTTCGCTTTCAACAAATCCGGAAACCAACGAGCCCCCGCTGTGTTTAGAACTGATAGCGGAATTGTGGTGCAAAAAGTGTTGTTTCACGCGATTTCACCGCGCAAAAGTCGTAAGTAAAACGGGTTCTTGTTTTTATCACGGCGCGAAAAGCAGCTGGGTGATAAGAAGACTACGGCTGGCTCTGAAGAAAGCAGCATATTTTGACAAATAGCCGTTTGAAGACGTGGAGACTTTTGTCAGTAGAAATCTCCTGTAAGAAGGCGAACACGAATAATACTTAGGAAGAAAACTTCAATCTCAATTACGGATGGGACGCCCTTAAGTTAGGCGAAAGAAACGGCGCGTTTCTGAGTCAGGAAAGTACCAAAAAAGGGGTCATTAGGTGATCAGGAGTTAAAAGCGAAAAAGTACGCTATTATATAATTCCATGCAGCTCGTTTTCTCGTGAACTGGCGAATAACATACACCGCATCTGTAATAACACACAAGCAGCTCATCAAAAAGGCATTATCCGCGTGCCGAAAAATCTCGGCTCGCGTTTCTAAAGATTTCAAGAAGCAAACGAGCCTTTAAAAATGGTTTAAAAAAAGGTTGAATAGAGCTCAACAGTTTTTTTTTTAATCCATCAGCGAAGGGAGTTTTTGTTATCGCGACATGATTGGATTTCTGTTGCGCGAGATATTTTGCTGATTGAGCTGACAGCTTTTAAATCATAGAAGAAAAACGGATTACTCTTTTTTTGAAGGATTAGTGGGGAAAAATGTGCACGAAAATTAAAAGCCACGTTTTCTAAATCCGCTTGAAGTCGGAAAAATAGTATCTTTACTCCCTAATTTCTCGAGTTACTGAAAGAATTCTGGCTGAAGAATAATCCCAAATTTCTGTCAAAAACTAAGCTTCTATTTCAACTCTTTCACTTTTTATAACTAAACTTCAATTTTAAATCAATCTTAAATCCCTTTTTACTTATTGAACCCCTTAATTTTTCAAAAGAAATAAACATCAAATGGCTCGTAAACCCTAAAAATAAGCAACAAATATAATTTTTCAATAAAAAAGGACTCAAAATTCCGCCTAAAAATGCTTATTCTTGTTCTCATCCCTGTATAAAAAATCATAACTGTTCACCTTTTTACCTGTAAATCGTCTCGCACAAACTCGGCAGGAGATCCGTCCTTATCAGCAGAGGAGAAACTCAGGAGCAGCAACTGGAATCTGAAATATACCCTGGTCGGGAATACCTTGGTATCCCGCCTAAAAGTTTTAAAATAAAAATCTATAAAAAGCAAGCCAAGCTATAAAATGCGATGCCGATCCAGCAAGAAGAAGGAGCAAAATCACCACGTGATCAGGAGGAGGAGGATGAAGCTGCACGTTCCATTAACGCGTGTTGGGTACAGTCAGCAGGTGAAGACCTAGAAGTATATCATAAATACGCGTCGGACGGATTCAAATTCGTAAAACGGGAAAAAAAAAGTCATAAAAACGGAGGTGGAAAAATGAGAAACTTCCGGAAAAAGAGGATTTTGAGCATGCGATGGACAAATAGCGGGCCGGATTTTTGATAATCAAATCGCGAAATTTTTGATTTCTAAAAATCGTGTTTCGGAGACTCGACTGTTTTGAGATTTTCAGAATTTCCGTCTTCCTTGTTTCAAAATCAAGGGTCTTTGGCGAGATATTTTGGGATTCATGAGCGAAAAAGTAAAAAAAAGAGACTCGACTTATTGAAAATTTTTATAGAGAAAATAAAAAAATAGGAACATCTTTTTTGCTGTTTTTGTAAAAATTATTATCACATTTATTTTACGGCTATCAGTAAAAACAAGAAGCAACGTGGGAATCGATCGGGCTTGGGAATTTATTACTTAACCACGGGAGTGCTGAAACCACATTCTAGTGATCCTGCGGGCACGATTCGGTAATCGCCCTCCATTAAATGGCGCTACTTAGTGGAAATCCATCTACCCATAATAATTATGAGGTTGCTGATTTTCGATAACCTCGAAATTTTCATCATGTTATCATTTATTTTTAATCGCTCGTGACGCCCTTAATTCTCAATAGAAAGGCAAAAAGGTTACAACTTGTAATCTTCTTAACGAAAAAAATAGACAAATGTTTAATTATAATAAACATGAAAATAAGGGTGTCACAAGACAATTTACAGAATTTTCACATGAATTTAAAGCCGTCTGTTTTTAATTTTCATCAAAAAATATCGAAAAATTGAACTATAACATAAAAATCAAGCGATAATCGAGCTTTGTTCCCAAACCAGCGCTTCCAGTATCAATTCATGATTCATACAGTATCAAACTCAAATACGTAACAAATATCGATCAGATGAAAAATCATCTTCGGCGCGCTCCCACGAATCTCCTCATTTTTCAGCTAATTGCGCGTAATTTGTGCTTTTTTCAAAACTGACTCGCCCTTGAGTAGTTTTTTCTTCTTCTTCCGCTGAGAAATTTTCAGATTTCTACTCTTCAAAGTAGAATGTAGAAATAAAAAGAGAAGGAGAAGCGCTAATGGATCTTGAACCGACAAGAATTTTAGGTAACAAAATAAGCTCGTGAAAAGAGAAGAAATTTGCGTTAACCGATTCGCGCGAATAGACCAAAGATTTGGTCATAAATACAGGTCTTTTATTCTTTTCGATTTTCGGGTACAAATTTGAGAGATTTTGAGGGAGTTGATGTAGAGAGAAAATATTTATTTCGCCTCAAAAATTAATTATAAATTTAACCCGTTTGCGGATTTGGGCCTTTTCTGTGTCAATTTTCAGAATTTTCTGGATATCTCATTATCAAAACGATAAATTTGAAGCAATTTACTTCTTCAATTACTATAAAAATGAATTTACTTAAAAATTTGACTCAAAAAGCCAATATCCGACAATGGGTTAAAATTTCTTTTAAGAGACTTTTAACGAGACACTGAAATCCTCCTTGAGAGAGAATTCTTCAACTTGAGACTTCTCAATTTTCTCAAATGAATCGTTCTTTTTGTTATTTTAATTGTGGAATAATTTCTTTCAGAGAGGAAATAACTCCTCCTGAAAAGTTGATATTTGAATTGCTGAACTGACTTTTGACTTTGTTCACCTTTGTTTGATAAATAGAGAGTTTTTCTTGGTTTGTTCAAGCCAAATCACCTCAATAAGAGATTTTATCTGACACACCTGACTTCTTTTCAAAAAATATCAAAAAAACGACTCATTCACCGCGCCGCTAGAATTTTGAAAATCGGACAAAAGATAGAATAAGAAAAAAGAAAATGGAGAATTTTGAAAGCTCAAGAATTTTGGGTAAGACTTAATTTTAACCCATCGACGCGAATATTTCCAATTTATTGGAGGCTTGCCAAAAAGAAGCCAAGTAACAAGATAAAAGTTTTTGATAAAAAATGCATAAACAGTTTTCATTTATGCCAAAAAATTGGTAAAAACCGCGCTAAAGAGTTAATTTTTTGAAACTTTTTAACCCCTTTCCGCGATCCTCACCATTTTTCTGTACTTTTGGAAAACGTCGCTCGATGTTTCTTGAATTCGATTTTTTTTTCACCAAAAATTGGTCATTTTCTAAAATGGGTTAACTATTGAACATTCAGTTGATGAAGATTGCTCAATAAGAATTTTTCTGAAAGGAATTTTGCGCAACAAAAATGCTCACGTTGGAAAGCTGAGCTGAAAATTATAAAATTCGTGGAATCCAGAGAGGAATCTCGCAAGGGTGTGCGGCAAGGGACACGATACGGGAGGTGTCACGAGCAAGAGAGGGCTCTTTGCTGCGGTCCCCTCGTTGTTGCCCCCGTTATTGCACCTAGTACTGGAATGCGCCAAAAAACGTGATATAACATGGATTTTTTCTGAATCGATATTGAGAGTTTATAATTTAAGTAAAATTCATTTTTAGAAAATATTTTCTAAAAAGCCTTTTTGAACCAAAATTTCAAGAGCTAGAAATAGAGCACTCACTTTCGAGTATTTAAAGTGCCCTTTTCTTTTCTCGTTTTTACGACAGTTTTGTTGATACAGTGGTCTGAATCGACATTTTTGGATTCAGACGGAAAATATTTCTGAGAAATTTTTTTTTTTGATGAATCGACAAAAATGGAAAAAAACGTGATAGATAAAATTTCACGCGCCGAAACGTTTGGCCAATTTTTTCAAATTGATTTTTGAAGCTCATAACGACAAGAAGAAACTATGATCTCATAACATTTAAAACATTTGGCGCGAAATTTTTGTTCAGTCATATTTTCCGTTCTTTCGTTTCATTTACTATCATTGTTTTAGGAATTGGAAATCCGACACTGGAAATATGTGCTTGCGCAGGAAAGAGGTGGCTCCTTAAAAATTAAGGGGGTAGCGTGAAAAAACGCGATTTTGGACTGGGCTTAGGTTTTCTTCCCTTTTGGCCGCCGCAAAATTGAGTAGAACAGTGTAAAATTTGTTAACGCGTTGATGGCCTTTTGGAGTCCACCTCCTTAAAAAAGCGCCGGGTTATCTGCGCCGCTGGGAAGTTTTAGAAGGCTCAAACACAGAAGGTTCCGAGAAGATGATTGAGGAAAGGTTATCAGCGCCCTAGTTACGATTATCCGTTCACGAACAATTATGCCAATATTGTCTTTATTGCTTCGTATTCGTAGTTTTTTGTATATTTTTGGTACAAAGAGAGTTCATAGTTTTTCGTAATGAAGTTGACTAAAGTACGAACCTACTATTATTAGCGCTAGAATTCAGTAATCGATGAAATAATTGGTTAACCCCTGCCCGCATATCGACCTACGCGTAGGTAAATTTTCTTTTAATCGCAATTATACTTATGGAAAAACGACATTTGTTCACGTTTGACATTTGACATTGGAAATTTGATCATGTCCAGAAGATAGCTCAGCCTTTTATCTTTCCATTCAAGTCCTTTCGAAAATTTTATCACGACTCAAAGACCCTTAAAGGGCCCGACCTACGCGTAGGTCGATATGCGGGCAGGGGTAACAAATTTTCCGTGCGGGCAGGGGTTAACTAAATATCGTTGATGTTGTAATTTAACCTAGATTCTGTGGTTGATTTGTCCTCTGCCAATAATTAATCGGCTTTTCGACTTTTTCGCAGTCTTGAAATCAAGGAATAATTTCTCAGTTCTTTGGATAAGGTGTACTAGAAACTGAAATTCGAAAACTCAAATCGCCGATTAAAGCCTCTATCTCCGATTTGCTTACACCCCCCATCCACCAGTAACCCGCCGCCCCTCCCTTAAGATAAAACATAAGAAGCCGCTCACCTTACGTGAGTCTTCGATTCTAAAAGCAAGAAATTTTATATTCGGTTATGATTCGCGCATAATCGCGAATTTCGCGACACGAAATCGAGCCGATATTCATCGAATAGAAGCTTGGTCAATATTTGAGTGGGATGTTTATGAGGTCATTCCCACGTTTTGACCCTTAATTTTTAAGTGCTTCTGATACCCTTAATCTATTTGACCAAAATAACACCAATAAGCTCTTGCTCAAAAAGGTCTTATTAGATAAATCAAATGTTATTAAGAAAAATAGGCAAATCTTTATAATATAGACTATATTTTCGAGCGCATACCCTTATTTTATTGACCGCTGCTAACCAAAATCGAAGGAGATACTTGCATACTTTCCCGTTCGAATGATTCCATCTGGTTCAACGCTCAACGTGCTGAAAGCATTCCAGTGGCTGGCCAGGAATCAAAACCGCACCACATTCCTGGGCCGCGTCGGGACACGGATCTTACACAGCTGATCTCGCCTTTTTCCTCGCGAAAAAGAGACCTTCCATGATCGTAAAATCAACCATTTTTCTTGTTATCCTAAATTTTCTGCAGAAAAAGCCCCATTCTGTAATCAAAATTTCAAAATGAAAAAAATGGAGAAAATCACGAAAATCGAAGCTTGTAAATATCCGAAATTCTAGAGACGACGAAATGTCGAACATCTTACGCGACAGTATACAACGTTGCGGAATTCAGGTTCGTTTGTGGCTCGAACAAAAGCGGAAATAGCTTCTCCCTAAAGCTCCTTCCGAATTCAACTTGAAATGAAGATACTAAGAGAGTGCTTCTTTCATAATCTTCATTTCTAGGCTCATTTTCGAACGGTTAACCAGTCGACTGGAAAACGCTTGGTTCTTGCGACCAGACGTCAAAGGAATCGGTTCTACAGTATTCACCCGTTTTTAAGGGTGTCACAATCATATTTCATAAAAGTAACTTATTCGACCAACCTTACTGTAGTGTCGTCTGACCAATGAAAATGTCCCGCTAAAATTAACCCTTTTTAATTTGATGCCCTAAATCTGACCAAAAATTAACCCTAACTACAGGTAGTACACAATGAAAATATTTTAGCTAAAAACATTTCGGAACTCCGTGTTCACGTTATCATTTCCTCCACCATCAATAACCACGATAAGAATAAACAAAAAGGAAAAAGTGATCAAGGAGTACCGGCGTTTCCGCCCATCAATATTATTAAAAGGGCCCTTCCCTGTTTCCAGCGCCCGTGTTTTCCGGCTCAAAAACAGCGAAAACGCGTGTCCCCTTTTCGATTCAATTTTCGACTCATTTCAGAAGCTAGTTTATCCCGAAAATAGAACCGAATAAGAGGCCCTTATGTTAAACCAACCGTCGTGCGCTGTGAGCAGCCCCTAAAGCTTCCTTCAAAGGTACCTAATTCAAGCATGAAAAGAAAGGTTCAAATCAAGATGATCTTAGGTTGACCTAAGACGTTCGAAAATGCTGTTTGTGTCAAGCATCGAATTCTCGTCCCGGGTTTCCGCTTCCGGAGCTGTCAAGTTATTCAGACAGGCGATTGGAGAGAACAAGGTGAGACCTTAAGGTTAACTCAACAGCGTAATCGGACATTTTACGGGCTACTCTGGCTGTATTTTCGATAAACATTTGTATAATCAAAATAATGCTAATGTTTATAGACATTTGAAGACATCTAGGGACATTCAATGTCCTCGAATGTCCGTAAATGTCTATTGATGCCAGAAGATGTCTCAAAACATCTGTAAATGTCTTCAAAATCCCAATTATAACCGAAAATGAAGAGCTATTTTGTTTCATAAGAACTCAATTTCGTCTGTTAGACATTTTCCTAAACCAATTATTCCTAGCTAACTGCTCTTCAAATCAACCACCGCCGAAGCGAAGTAGCTCCTAAGGAAGAACTGCTTGAGTTGATGCTTCATTCACGTTTCATATTTATCACGTCAAGCTGTGTTCGAAGAACCTTTGGAACTTATGAAGAATTTCTCGATCAAATTCCATCTTCAAGTGCACACTGTCTTGTCGTCACTCGAGTACGTATTCGCTTATTTCGCTGTATTTAAAAGGGGTTTTTCGAAGGCAAATTTGATGGTTTTCTTGAAAAACGATTTTCCTCCATTTAGGCTGATCCTAAACAGTCGTCTTCTTGATCCGCTGAAATGTGAAAGATTACGCTTTCTCGAGACGCAAATCTGTCACGATTGAGCTCGGCGAAAATTTATTTGATTTAGAACCGGTTGGAAGTTCCGTTACCGCCACAAACGCCGCGGTCTAAGGAATTTGATTCAATTCAAAATGCATTCGCCAGGGCTTGCGTCTGAATGTCGCCGCATTAGAGCGATGCAAGGCCCTTAAAATCGAAAGAAAAAGAAACGAACAAAATGTGATCAAAAATCCTCTTACACATTCTTCAGAAAACTAATCGCCGCGAAAGAATTCAGATCAACTAACTTGGGGAACCCAGCATTCTTGAAATGAGCGAGGAGATCTTGGCCCCTGTTACTATTCGCGAAAATTTTTGAAAAATAAGGGGATCTAAAAGAAAGAACGCGATTTTTAGATCAGCTGAAGATTCATACGTAGACCAAAATTTTCCGAGTTTTTACTTTAAGGACCCCCAAATCAAAATCATAGCAGCATGACCTTTAACGGCCTGTATATCCTTAAGTTTCTGGTGAGAGATCACGATTAAGGGTGTATCAAAGATAGCTTCCGAGAAAAACTTGCTCCAAGAAGGCCTTTTTTCGCAATTCTTGGTGGGGGATCCTTAATTAACTTTTTCTAAGAACCAAAAAGAACGCTTCTCCAAGAATAACAAAAACCCTACCGGAGCGTCTTTTTCGCCACTGAATAAATTGGCTTTTTCAGGGGCGAAATCCGACAAAAGTTACTTGCGGGCGCTTATCGGTTGAGCTTTCGGTCATCGCGGCGGAAAAAGTGAACGACACTCAAGGTACCGTAATCGTATTATTTTATCAATTTGCGCAAGTCTGGTTCAGGCGCGAACGATGCCTTCGTCGGCGCTTTCTTGCACCAGATTATCGATGAAGAAGAGTTGAATGAAGAAAATATCAAAGAGGCGCTTACGGCTGGGCATTGGGCGAAATCGGAAGTTCTTCAGCGACACGGGGCGAATATTCCGAGACAGAAGAATTACTATGCTTGGAGAGCAGGTATCGAAAAATTCTTCTCTTTCTGATATTTACCTCGAATACAGGGACCGCCGATTACTCCCATCGCTGCCGTGGCTAGAACCCCTCTTGGACTTTCGTTCGTCCTGACCGCAATCAATCCAAAAACTCCCAAAACTGCACTTTTTGAAAACGAAAAAATCAACGAACAACGAACAACTGATAAGAAGCACTTCTTTTAACCTCTCAAATTAAGGAAAAGGGGGTCCACCTTTCTCTGCCTTTTCTCGAAAAGATAAGCTAAGTACACCCCTTATTGAAGAATCTCACTTTTTCTCCGTCTTTTTCCCGTTTTTTCTGAAAATTTGAATCAAAAATTACCTGAAAATAAATTGATGAGATTCTGGATCGTTGGTGTTTTTGTTTGTTTTACCTGGGAGACCAGTTTCCAGCTCTAGAATGGAAATTTTTTAAGTGAAGATCTAAAGAGCTAAAAACGTGTCCTCTTTTCAGGAAGCTGAAAATTTGGCAGAGCGAATTTGGTTCCACTTATGCGCTGTATAATTATTTTTTCGAATTATGGATTTATGCTAAGTGCCATGAAAGTCAATTTTTACATACCTGAATTAAAAAGATTAGAGTCAAAGTTCAATTCACTAAAAAAATTAACAACCCCCGAACCTCTAACTAATAGTCTAAAAGTGATAGTTACAAAGAAGCAGGTTCTTCTGACTGTAATTGAGTTTGCTTGAGTTGAGATGTGAGTCACGTGATGATGTTTTGGGCGCGGCTAGAAGGATTTAGTTAGAGGGTGATAGTATTTTGATTTGATTCGATTTGATTTGGCAAACTCGGATTTATGAGAAGGAAAATTTCAAAATTTGAATAGTAAATATACAAATTCCAAGTCTTAGAATTTCGGTTTTTCCAAATATTTCGAAAAATAGAAAATCAAGCAAAAAATATCCTTGAAAAATCAATTTCAACTTTTTTCTGAATAAAACTTTTTGTTCATTTAACCATTCCTCAAAATGAACGAGCAATTTAAATATTTTACTACGTAGTAGTCTTTAGAGAACTCGGACGGTCGTAATTTTATCGCCGCGTTCCTACAGTTGCGAAAATAGTACCTTGCGGTGTTTGAGGTACACGCCGCGTTAGAAATCATTTTCCTTATCTCTAATCACCCCAAATTCGCAAGTTTTAGTCGTCACACGCGGTGGATCACTGATAAGACACTGATAAGAACAATTTTAATAGAAAACGGCTCCGATCGTTTGATTCCTCTTAATTTTAGAATATACAAGCAAAAATGACCGCGAAAAATCAGTAAGTCAGTCAGGCCATGAAAGTGAATCTGACCGTGACATAATTTTCGCCGTTGCGGGCTCAGGATGCGACCGCCAAAATCGGATCAGATTATCCAACCTGCGGTATCGACAATACCTTTTTAATGTGAGGCAAAATAGGAGGGCCCCCTCCTCCCCATCGATAATGTGGTTTCTAACCGATAACACGACTGTATCAAAGAAAAATTATTCTTACAGTCATCAAGCTATCGATAATTAAAGAATCAAAATCAAGAAAAATAAATAAAGGCAAAGAAAATCAATTCTCTTGTCAAAATTCTCGCTCAATTTGGTCTCATCTTTTGACCCATATTTTCTCGAGTTGACAAGAACGCCTATCCTGGATAGGCTATCCACTCAATTAGAAGTGACACTCCGGGTGGGTTAATGTTTGTTTCTATCAATCGCGTTTTTCTTTAGAAAAAACGAATCTCGTTATTTCCGTTAATCCTTTAACTGTTTCAACTCCACGATTCCAAACTTCTTATTTCACTGCATTTATAATCGGTTTAATAAAGGGCGTACCTTGCATATTATGGTGAATACAGTAGAAACGTCTTCTACGACGTTTAATATTGATAGAAAAATATTTTAATGAAGAATATCATAACATGGAAGCATAACGATTTTAACCTCCTGTCGCGTAGAATAAAATTGCTTGCCCCGAAAATCAAAGCTCAAATAAGCGACACCAAGCGAGCAGATTTCCTTTTCTCGAGTGCCTGGAGGACCCCCTGCTGGAAGAATTCTTAGTCACAAGTAGAATAATCTCTTCGAGGGGATTGAAGATAAGAATTTTAGTTTTCTATTCGAGAAGAAAAATAAGGGTGTCATTGAGCTATTTTTATAATTAATATTTTTATTATATAATTCAATTAGAAAGCTAGGATAAAATCAAAAAAATATTTTAGACATTTTTCTTCATCATTTCTTTTCAATAAAGGTCTGTTGAAACTCATTTCAACTCGGGCTGAAAAACAGTTTCTGCCAAATTCATAATTAGTCAAAAATATCAGGCAGCTCAGGATTTAATTAGAAAGCTTAGAGCACAACCTAAAATAGCGAATCAACATCAATTCAATTAGGAGTTGCTCAACGTGGTATTTTGGCTAGAATTTGTTTTGCGCCAAACGCGAAAAACAGCAAAATTAATTAAGCGCTGTTAATTTTCAAAAAACATCAATAATTTAGTATAACACGAAGTTTTTCTGTCTCTAGAAAACGTATGTTGCTCGCACTCATTCCAAATGTTAAGCTGTGTTCACAAAGTTATTGGTCACAATTAGCTATTAATAGAAGTGGAATTTCTGAAGAGGCGCCACGAATTAACTGAGAGGGCCTCCTTAGCACGTCAGAATTGTCAAGTAGACAGAATTCTTTCTGATCGGTTTATGCATCTAGGAATTTCAAGGGAACCTCTCTAAAGAAACTTCTGAATTCATCGGTATTAAGTTGTAAATTCTAAGATTATTTTATTTAGGGTTTGAGCATATTATAATCGATTTCGAGCTTCTTAATCAAGGTTTTTGACATCAAGAATGACAGTTTTTATTAAGCAATTTACCAAATTAACAAAGTGATACCCTTAATAAAAGTAGCTTATACGAAGACAATTCAAGGCAAATCTTCCAAGAAAGAAATATATCCCCACTGAACAAAAAATATTAGGAAAGAAAATGTTTATACTTATAAGTAAGAATTTATAAATAAACTATTTATAAAAACCATAAAGTTCTTTTCGAGATATAATTATAAAAAATTTTTTGTCAGTTCACCCTTTGATAGGAACAAGCTACAACAAACAAAGCACTTAATTTTAGGACACCCTTTCTGCATACACTTGGGGAGAAATAGAAAAGCAGAACCATAATTTTAATTTTTGAAATTAAAAAGGCGCTAAGAATATTTTGTCGTCTTATTTTTAAATCATAATTGTAATCGCTTTATTTACAAGTCGTCGCCGCCTTCTGAATCTCATTTCCTTTGGAAACCTTCCAACCGGTTTCTTTGTATAAAAACCAAGTGTTGAAAGATTATCGGAAGCGTCATCTCCAGCCGAGAAAGACGCTTCCGATTGGCCTGCAATCAAATCGGCATTTTCATAGAGGCCGTTTTGTTTGTAAACTGATTCGAAAGCAATTCAGAGCGTCCCGTTTGTTTTGTCAGTTGAAGCCGACTGTTTACTTTCGACTTCTAAACATGAAACATCTTCGCGGAAACATCTGATCGATTTTTAAACAGCACTTGATCATTATTTTGATCAAGACTTTTTCTTAGATAATTTTTAATTGAAAGAAAAACGATGGAAAAGCCAAGATTTTGAACAAAATTTTTACAAATGTATCTTTAAAAAGGCGAACAAAAGAATCTTAAAGAAAAATAAGAAAGTGACTCACTTATTTTTCATGAAAAATTTTATTTTTATCATAATAAGAGATTGTTTCCCATTAAAACGAAATTTTTGGCAAAAGTCTTTTAAAAATACGAAATTTAAAAGAAGCGTTTGACAGAAAATTGATCAGGCGCCGATTTTGGGTTAAAATAATTGTCTGAATTGCATAATCTACAACAGGCTCCGCTAATTCTCTCCCTCTTTCCCCTTGTTACCACAAATCTCTGCCTCAAACACCATTACTAGCTCCGAGCGAAAAAGTCATCCTGTTTCTGCGTTTCCGGGACCGTGACATTCGCTTCAAAAGAGATCCGCGCCGCGAATATTTCAATTTTGCCTTTCGACCAAAAGGACCTTTTGTTTTTCACGAAGCATTCTTCCCGCAGAGAGTTGTGGTTTGAAACCATCGGAACATGGCATTTTGATTTTGACGCGCAGGGTGGGGGACCTGATTCATTCGAATTTTGGAATGATGGGAACCAATCAAAAGGCATTTACTTGAGGGCCTCGCTTTAATTGTTGTTAAATCGTGCCTCATTTGCCCCTGAACGTGACAATGTAAAGATGACTCATTTGCAATGTAACGTCGTCATTTAAGACATTTAAAGAAAACAGGGATACGCTTAATCAAAAGTTAAGGGAGCAACTGGTACAGGCCATGAAAACCATTTATTTCTACACAGTCAGCCTTTTTCCCCGAAATTAATTCTTCCTTCACCGTGGACTCCTCTTAGAGAGAGTGGGAGTATTTTTCACAAAGTGTCCGGGCACTCACGTAACTATTCGGCAATAATTTCGTTTTATTTAATTTTCATTCTTTCCGCGAAAACGCCAGACCATCTCTTTTCTGGACGAATTCTAAATTGAAACGAAAAGAATTCCGGTTTTTCCTCACGTTGAAAAATCGAGCCCTTCAGAGGTGAGAAAAATTGGCAAAATTCGGTAAACGTGAAAATTGAATTTCACTGCTCTGACCGACGCGAATTTTATGAAGACAGGTGGCGTGAAGAATAGAACTTGTTTTCTGTTGAATTAATTGGGTTTTGACTTGACATCATTTTTTATGCGAGAAGTACTTTTTAAAACCTCAAAAAGATTTCAAAATCCCTCTTTCTTTCGAGTCAAAAATAAGAGCTTTTAGGGCAAATTTGTGTTTTCTAGCAACACCCTTATTTTGCTACAAGAAATACAGTGGGTATGGTCAAATTAGCAGGTAGTTTTTTGGCAGCTTTCGACAAAATATGCTAAATTGACCATTTTCTCAAAAATATTCCGAATTTCGAGAACATAATTTTCAAATCATCAAATTGGGCACTACTGTCTCGTCCTATCTTAATTGTATTCTATCATTATTGTATTCTTGCTTTTTTCAAAGATATC